AGAGAACTTCACTGAAATCCATTTAACTTCACATGAAAGCCATGGAGCTGCCAGAAAAGCTAACCTGCCTAAAGAAACTATTACCTATAAAATTTTTATTCTGTGGGCAAAACTTCACATCGTACCTTTTTGAAAGGATTTTAAATAGTAAAACAGCCGTAACAGTTATGTTGGCCAGTTAGCATTATGTCGTGTCTATCAAGCTTAGAGCCTCCCAGCTCACAGTCATGGCTTGTCAGGTTTGATGGGGAACTGGCTAAACGCAATGTCAGAGTCGGTGACCTGGGGCAGTGCACAGAAGGCTGCTCACCAGCCTGCCAGCAGCCCTGTGGTATCTTATCAAATCCAGGAAAACGCTGGAAGGAAATTCATGATGTAGATTTCCAGTGTTTGAGTCATGGGTTCTGCTTTTCCATGTTAATGCTTTGTAACTATGAATGAGAAACCAGGCACCCTTCCCAAGTGCTGCCAGCTGTTCACAACCTCCTGCTCCTTGCACACAAGGTACAGTACACAAACCACACATAGCGATAGCTGCAAGCCCCCCAGTTCCCAGCTGCAGGATTTAAGCATCACAGCAGCACCAGGCTGGCCAGGCCTCATCGTCAGGCGTTCTTCTGTTACCTGACCCAAGGCATCTCCAGCGGTGGCCCCTGACTCCCCACCAGCAGGCCCTGGGGAGGCCTATGCCAAGGGTGGAGTCGGGTTCTCTGCCTGATCCCTTTGCAGCTGGAGAGGCATCAGGACACCTTCCCCTCCAATTGCTATTCGCACTGCCGTCCCTTGATGCTCAGCCTCCAGCTGAAATTGTGCTTAGCAGGGAGAGACAGAAGTGGTTGGCGTAATTCAGAGTTACAAATCAACAGACAAATGCAGAGCCCTTCCTTTCAAATTTGCATCAAGCCTAGCAGTGTGTCAATTTTAAGCCGACTGTAATGCTGTTGCCTCCGCCCGATTTTGGTCAGGCTACTAAAACAGAGACCCTCATTGTTCACTGAACAGCCCTCATGCAGTCAAGATTCAGATCCAGATGAAAGAACATAGACCAGCCCTGCTGAAGAGTCACATTAAGGTACAACAAGAGAAAGAGTAGATGAAACTCCCCCAGAGCTGTGTGCAGCTGGGGGAACAGCACGGGAACCTTTCCTGCAGAGCTGTTTTCCAGGACACACTAGCAAAGACTAAACAGCCCTGGGCTCTGGTATTCTTCATCCATTTGAAAGGAGGCTGTGCAGGCCAGAGGTCAGGGAGATCTTCAGGCTCAGAACCTTCGTCAGTCCTAGAGCACATTGACTCATGTCATAGCATGAAAAACAGAGCCAGAAAACCGTGGTTTTAGGGCCTTTGACCTGCCATGGCTCTAATGAGATGTTACAGCAATGTTACATAGATAAGGCATGTATGTAGATAGTAACTGATGTGCTGTAAAAGCCTTTTGCTTGTGTGCTCCTGCGTGCAGCTCAGACAGCGGCTTCCTCCGCAGGCAGCAGGAGCGCAGGCCGAGGTGCCCAGTGTAGCTGTTAACCTCCTTTTCAGGACACTGGGTTATGTAATCCAGCGGTACGACGCACCAGAGCCCGTGTGGGGTTTTCACCATCACTTCAGCAAAAGCGCCCCGTGATGTTGAAAATTTCACAGTTCAGTGCACAGTAAATTGATTCTTTTACTAGGTCAGGCCTGGTAACAGGCGTTGATTTAAGCAGCTTACTACAACTGATGACTAAAAGCTGTTCCTAAACGGCAGCTCTCTATGATCAGAGGCTGGATTCTGTTCCTGGTGACCCATCCCCAGAGACACAGCCATGCTGGGAGCGTGGCAGAGCAGGAAGATTGGCCACTTCTATTTGGTAGCCTTCTCAGAGAACACCGAATGTCATTTACTTCCTAATCTTCCTACAGAATATAATGAGTTCCTGCTCTGAGCTATTTCAGAGAGATAATGTGAGTGACTCACTTGAGTTGTATATTGACCTCAGGCACTGTAAAGATATATTTTACAGTGCTTTTAAAAACAATTATTGCAGATTGCTGTGCTTCTGAAGATTCCTAGAGTGCACTTAGAGATTTTTCATGGTGTGTTAAACCACACACACCTGGCCAATCCCCATGTTATTTGTTATTAGTCAACACATCCATAATCATCGGACACACCATCTTCCAGGCTGTGTTCTCCATGCTAAAGAAGCTTCTCAATTCATATTTACAGTCTTGCCTATGTATAACAACTCTATAAGAATTGTATTAATTATAATCAGTGACAGATCCATACTAAACCCTACATTCAGACATGGAAGTAGATTCTCTGATGAGCTCTTATCTCTAAACCCTGAGCTGAAACCAGATCTAAATTGCCACAGTCTTTAAACTGTTTAGTTATGGACCTGGATTCAGCAGGTCTGGTTTTGGCTTGTGTTTAATAACTACCCACCACTAAATTTACATTCTTTTTGTGTTTTATCATCAATACCAGATGCTTTGAAGCACAGATTTTGCTAGGCAGGGAAAAAGCTGGCACCATGTTGCCTACATTATCTACTGAGTGAGATATCTGATCATGGCTTCTACTTTCTAGAAGTGACTTTTAAAGATAAACATTCTCAGGCTTTGCTCTTCCCCATAAATCATTTGTCTTCATCCTTTAAGTTTCCACAATCCCCATTATACCCATCTGAGTTCACCCACCTCACACCCAAGGCCTCATATTTCCGCCCTCTCCTTGCCTTTCAGATTCACCAGGTCACAGCAGATCAAAATACAAAAATCTCTCCTACATGTTCCACTTTCAGGGGCCCAACACAACTTCCATATCACTAGGGTGACCCCATGCTCCACAGTAAGTGAAACTGGGCCCTAATTCTGTGGTTACCTATCAAAGTTACCATCTGTATTGCAGACACAAGCATGGAGACACAGCCCAGGAAAAGGAGTCAGTCCCACTGAAAACAGTCCACAGCTGCTTTCTGCCTGAAGGCCAAAGTTCCAACTGCTTACTGCTTAGTTTTGAACTGCACCCCATGAAGGAGTGACAGACACGTTCAATGAACAAAGGGCCTGAGGTGATGTGAGGGGATCACAAAGTCAACGAAATGGAGTTCAACCAGGATCACTACCAGCATTTTCTATGAACAAGGAAGTGCCTACAGGGCACCGTTATGGAAAAATCTCCAAAACCCTTTCCAGGAAATCAGCATGCTGGGGGCCTCTCTGAAGTACCTGTGCATTAATGCATACAGTGTGGGGAATAAGCATGATGAGTTAGAGATCTGTGTGCAGCTGCAGGGCTAGAGTCTCGCTGGGATCACGGAGATGTGGTGGGATAGTTCCCATGACTACAGTGTTGCAACAGAGGGATACAGGCTCTTTAGCAAGGATAGGCTGGGAAGAGGAGAGGGAGTGCACGGAGCTCTTCCTGCAGGTAGATGGAGTCAACTGAGAGCACATGTGCAAGGATTAGGGACAAGACAGGTAGGGGTGACATTGTAGTGGGTGTCTTCTATAGGCCACTTTACCAGAAAGGCGAAACAGATGAGGTCCTCTACAGCCATATAGGAGCATCCTTACTTTCACAGGTCCTTGTCCTCATGCAGGATTTCAACCACCTCATTATCTACAGGAGGAAGAGCATCACAGTGCATAAGCAATCCAGGAGGTTCCTGGAGTGCATTGATGACAACTTCCTCACCTAAGTGATAGAAGAGCCACTGAGGAGAGGTACTCTGCTGGGCCTTGTTGGGGATGTGAAGATCAAAGGCAGCCTTGGCTGCAGTGACCATGAGATGGTGGAGTTCAGGATCTTGAGAAGAAGGATGGTAAAAAGAAGCCTCACAACCCTAGACCTCACAAGAGCACTTTGGCATCTTCAAATATCTGCTCAGAAGAGTCCCATGGGATAAGGCCCTGGAGGAAAGAAGGATCCAAGAAAGCTGGTTCAAGGATCACCTCCTCCAAGCTCAAGAGCAGTCCATCCCAATGAGCTGAAAGTCAGGCAAAAAAGCCAGGAGCCCTGTGTGGATGAACGAGTTCCTGGCCAAACTCAAACACAAGAAGGAAGCATACAGAAGGATAGGTATCTTGGGAGGAATACAGAGACATCATCCAGGGATGAAGTTAGGAAAGCTACAGCCCAACAGGATTTGAATCTGACAAGGAATGTCAAAGACAAGAAGGGCTTCTATAAGTGTATAGGTGCTTGAGCAGGGGCCTTGGATCAGAGGTCTTTCCAACCTCAACCATTCTGTGATTCTGTAATGACTATTAACTGATTAGTAAGTGACAAGGGAAAGGAAAAAAGAAGGGAGGGGAACATGTATAATCATTTCTGTACCACTCTGTTCTTTCTTCCCCATAGCCAGTCAAAAGCTGGATAAAGAAAATGCAGTTTCTCTCTCTTACGACTATGGAAATTTGGGAAGCCCTCCTTTATCAAGGCATGTAGGTCTCTGCAATCTCCATTCAGCATGACAAAAATCAGTGCCTGAAACACTGAGAAATTATCATCTGGTGCTTCTCTTAATTTTCACATCAAGACACAGACACCTTCCAGAAATTCCAAAACTCTGCTTAGTCTGGTGCAAGTCACTCACCTCAAACAAACACAAGGAAAACTAGTTACAATTAAATAGCTTATGATGAATCCTAGATTTTCTTTTGGATAGACCGGTCCATTTTAAGCTTAGACTCTATTAATGTGTGAATCTGAGAAAGAAGGAAAGTCAAATCAGTTTCTCTCCACTGAAAACACAGAGGTGCATCTTTTAAGCAAGCTAGCAAATGCTTTACTGGATTTTGGTTGGTTGGTTAGTTAGTTATTCTGGCTTTAGAGTTGTTTTGTTAAAGCATAATGGTACTTTAATGGCTTATCTGCCAACAATTTCAACTTCATCTTTAGTAAATACACTGAGGAAAGACTGACCCTCCACAACAACTGAAATGTACTCGGGCAGTTCTTTATGCCCTTCCACTTCCATGCAATCAGTGAAGAAGAATGTTGATCCTGGGAGTGGTAATAAAGACTAGGAATTTAATAGCATTCTAATACAGAACTGAAAGTGTGTTAGCTATTCTTCTAATCAGTGCATTACAGGAATAAATACAGAAAATACAACTGTGACTACACAGATTTAAGTACTAATTACATGAGGTGGTAAACCATGGTGCTCTCAAGATTTTATGTAAAATCCACTGAATCAGTTTAGTCTCCTTAGATTGCAATGGGCTTTGGCCAAGTCCCTTAATTATATTAAAATACATCTGTTATTAAACATCATGTTTAATACAGCAGTATGCAAATGCTGTGATTTGTAAATATCATTATGCAAAAGTTCAGGTCCTCTTGAAGTCTGCAACATAATTTCTGTAGACATCAAGAAGAACAGGTCCGGGGTATCCGTTTTTAATTGCATGGTATACAAGTAGTGGCAGAAGAATACAATACAGTAGTCACAAAATTAAAGAGCCTTCTATGAAACCTACAAAGAGGAGCAGCACAGAATCAATGAAGTAAAAGCAGTATATCAAAAAATAATAAATCAGACTTGGCAGTTTTGGAAAACAGTACTGAAAAAAAAGACAAATTAATTGGCACAGTTTAACAACCTAATTTCTAAGTGCACTTTATAATAACGCTCCTTACAAGTTGTTGTTTTGCCCAGAAGATGATGACAAAAAGCCTCATTAGAACATCACTGTTTTATAGTGACAGGTTTTATTGCATTGCCAGCTGTGAAATTAAAAAAAAAAAAAAAAAAAAAAAAAAAAAAAAGACATCCCCCCCAAACTCCTATAAAGGTTCCTAAAAACCCTGTTTTCTTTTGTTATCGTCAAAAAATAGCAACATAGCACTTCCATATGTTTGTGAATATCCACAATTCTATTTTTAAAAAAAATAGAAGTTAAAGAAAAGTGCTTTTTGTCTTAGCTTCAAAAATAATGTAAAGAAACATTTAAGAACAAGATATTTCAGTGGTCAGAGAGATATGTACAATGTTACAGATTTAAATCCAGTCTTTCAAATACATGTTCATGGATGCAGACTTGAGAACCTGTTGATCCTGAGTAAGTCTAAAGACTGGCAGGATCAGGTTCTTATCTTCACCCATTATAAACTTTTCCAGAATCTGTCCTAGGCTAGAAAGTATAGATACAGTATATACTCTGTATACTGATTTATACAAAAGGTCTTTTACAGCTCTAACCCTGTTATTGCTAGGCTAAAAATGAACATTTCAAACAAATCACATGAATCATAAAGGATAAAATTGAGATGCAGCTTCTGACGACTGAATTTCCACTTGAGCCATTTTAAATTGGGTACACTGTAGCCACTTGCGAAGCACAGATGAGCTATTATTCATTTGTCCTGACCCCTGTAACATCCTTAGGCTGTGATGGTTGACATTGCTCTGGATGGCTTGGAGGCGTAGCTGGAGTCCAGCAGATAAGTGCTGTTGAAATAATGGAAAACATTCAATTTCTTTCCTTTAATACATACATTAATACAACACTGTGAAAGGTCCAAGCTGTTGGCCAGGGTAAGTTCCTCCATTGCCCCAGTGTCACCTTTCTTCCACATCCTGCACTGTATGGCCATGAAAGGCAAATATGCTTACAGAAACTCCATACTGAGACCAGCTCCAACACTTTTATTCTCATCACCAAAATTCTCTTGACTGGCAAACCACATTGATCCATCTTGGTTTCTTACAAACAGGACCAGATGGAACAGTTTTACCAAAGCAAGCAGGCCCACAGTATCTGCTATAGAACCCGAATCCACCTCCTGAGTCAAGAATTCCAATCCTGATTTATCAGGGGACTCTCAAGTCTCCAACATCAAGAAAACCACATGGAAGAAAGGCCCTGCTGCAGAACCTGGTTAGAGGAAAGCATTTCAGAAGAGAAAGGGAGTGCAATACTGATTACAGGACAAGTATCTTAGCTGATGATGCTCTGTGTATGCTCACACTTGAGAGCACACTTCAGTGCTGAGCCACCCAGTGCATCTGGATACGCCACAATGATCTGTGTCCAGAGAGTTTAGAGACCACACCTAGTGATCTTACTTCCAGAGTTTATAGAAATGTGTAACACTAAGAATAAAAGGATAAACACTAAGAATAAAAGGATAATGTTTTAGAAACAACTTACCTTTAGATTTGACTGTATCATTGGCAACCACATTGGGATGAGCTGTAAGAGAGATGTATCTTGTTATTACACAAGTGACTGTAAACATGTTCCAGTTAGTGTGGCAGAGATGGGTGTATCTAATGCATTTAGCTGTCTGAACGGACATAGCCTGAACCACAAATCTGAAAATGTGGCTATTTTTAAATGATGCATGTGTTTTGGGGCAGGTAACTCTCAGAGGTAAAAACAACAGCTTCCCTTGTTTGTAGCTTGATGAATTACCAGTAGCAATTACTGATGTCCTGTTTAAGGCGACGATGATAGTACAGAATAAAAACTTGTTAAAGAAAATCACTTCTTTCTCCCGTGTTCGGGTATGTGCAGGTGAGCAATACTAGAATAAATACAGTAAACATTCTGCATGTCAAGGTATACATCAAGAACTGAAAAAACATGCAGCAGAAGTTCCTGATAATAGGCAGCATTTTATAAGCTACTAGTCACATTAGTGCTTCAATGCAGAATGTGACCTGCAGGTCTGGGTGAAAACTATCCAGACCAACAAGGCAAGGAAGTCTGCAAATCTGTCATGATTGAATTGATATGTATTTCAGTCTCCTGCTCTTCAGAGGACTTTTATTTCTGAGTAAGTATAACATGACAAGCTTACAGAAGACAGAGAGGCACTTCTAGCAAAAGTATTCATGTTCTCCAATACTAATTTAACCACTGAGGTGATTGTTCTAAAATGTTCCTCCAAATGGCATTAAAATTTGCAATTTGCCAATTATGCTACTGGGAGCTGCAAGTTAAACCTAATCACTATTGACAACATTAGATAAACTGCTGTTTCCCTTGTGCAAGGTACGGTAATTGTTTCAATTTCAGTGCTGTTTTGCTGGAGAATCATGTGCAGCTCTGTCAGGACTGATTACTTAGTCTACCACATGAAGAACCATATTCAAACCTCAGCATTTACAGATAGATGAATGCCAAAACAGCTGGAATGAAGCCAGATACAGCAGATGTACAAATTCTGTACATCCTTCTGTGGGCTCTCACATTAACGAAGTGCTTGATACCTGGTGACCACAAATGTTTTTTGGAGAGGAGGGAACAGGTAAGCATACTGAGAAGCCATGCTCTATGCCCCACTGCCATCAACAAACTGTCTGAAAATTTCATCCAGCATTAATGAAGTTCCTATGGAGACAGCCAGTGATGATAGGACTGGTGTCAGAAGTACGGCAAGCAAGGAAGGAAGCTAGGCAGAAAACTCAGGGTACCCCTCTGCATCTGAACCAACTCACTGGACAGCTTTTACGGTCAGCTGAGAGAATCAAGTACTTTACACATCCAGTTCATCTTGTCCCAAAGCAGGTATCTAAAATAGATCAAGATGAATCATGTCCAGAAATACCTGTTTATCCCCACTGACTATAAAGGGCAGCCACGGAAACTAGCTCATATTTATATCTACTCTGCGAGTTCTAAGGCTAGATATAGATCATTGTCCTCCAGCACCACTTCTGTCTTCCAAGGTTTGGGCACATTTAGGGAAATGAAACATTCTGCTGCAGGCACAAGAATGCAAACCCTCCACTTCTACAGCTGCCAGTTAGATAAATGAGACAAATATACATTTTTATTGAAGCACTTGAGTTTTATTACCTAATCCCCAACCAGCCTTTTCTTCACAAAGAAAGAATACATAAAGCTAGTTAGAAAGAACAGCTGGAAGAACAGACTGCTGTCAGACACTCTCAATTTTTTGGAGTTTGTATTTTCAACAAAATTATGTTGATTCCAGTGCAAGTTTTGATGGAAACCAGGCTGGAGAACAGGTTGATCACTGTGCTTTTCTGGCTCTCCAACTCTGCTGCACTCCCAGTTCTCTAGAAGTCTACACAGCAGCTGTTGGAGCTGCCTAAAATCCCTGGGTCTCTGGAAAAGATGTTGTGGTTTGCTGAGCTGCTCCCTTCTCTATTGTAGGCTCCCAGATTCCTCAGACATACATCTGATGGTCAGACAGAGAGCTGTAATCAGCAAGGAGCTGGCCTCCATCATCAGTGGCTGCCCTGGGATAGCTAGTTTCCCAGTTCCTTTGACACAGAAACACAAGATGAAAGCTGTACACTTTCATTTCAGTCCTCCTAAAGCAGAGTGCTTCCCCTCAGAGGAAAATATAATTAATTAAATATATATATGTAGGTATTTGTGCATCTGTGTAAATGTGTATACATATCTCTCACTCTGACTTACAAAGGAAAATAGATATGTAATGGTTGAAATGTTTTCACATGAAAGAAACTTTGTTTGCTTCACCAGATTAGTAAAGATAGTCTAACATCAGATCCAAAAAAATATCTTCTCAGAATACAGGGAATGGCTCAAAGACTATAGGAAGCAATCAAGACATGTCTCAGTGCTATCGGTGTGAGTTTAATTTAATAGCAAAGGGCAACACAGTACCAGAAGGACAAAACCTCACAGCACCAACACAAGGAGGAGATGAAGGAGTGCTTGTCTCAGGCATAAAGGAAGCTTTTCCTTCAGCGAAGGAAAGCTGAATTGTTTATGTTTTTTCTTTCTCTCTTATTTCAGGGCGTATTTTGCACTCACTTGTTATACAGAAAATGGCCATTGAAGATAGCTATTCCATAAACTGCCTGGCATCAAGTGACATGTACCACCTTCTCACTGTGGTGCATTAAAAATATGTGTGTGTTGAACTGTGCAATTACTTCACTAAAAAATGAAGTTTTTGCAGCACCTGATTCTTTAGGTTCAATAAAAGACACTGCAGTAAATACAATTATGTGAATGATAAATTCTCAGGATTTATCAGTGCTACTGTGCTCAGTTCCAAGAGGAAGTAATTGGGAATTATTAATTCTGCTGAACAAATCTCTGACAGAGTGTTCTGTTTTACAAAAATCTCTCTCACTACACTATATGTCCTTTCCTTCAGTAAAAACTAAACCTTGTTTCAAAGCCTTATATTTAAAATAAAATTTAAAAGAAAAAGCTAGATAAAATTGTTTCATCATCAAAGGCAGGGCAATAAAAGATTTGCTAGAATAAAACAAGCTATGAAGAAACTGCCCAGTCAACTAATATTCAAAGAATTTTCATCCTGGCAGAGTTCTGAAGTAGCAGTAACGAAGTTCAAATCTTCTTCATAGCCAAAGAAGAAGAGACAGTCTTAAAGCTGGTCATTTTTTAAAATTATAGAGATGCCACTCATTCAATTGGTTACTGTGTGAATAAGTTTTACAGTCCTGCCTCTCTGAAAGACTTCAAACATACAGTAAGTCTCTCCTCACATCATGACACTTACTTTTCAGATCTACAATAAATATAATATATAAATATTTTGACAATTCGTTATTAATACTTAGTATATTTCAAAAATTAGTTTTGAAAATAATTGGGAACATGGGACTAAGAATCCTATAACACTAATATGTACGTATATTGTTCCTGCAGAATTTCGCTTAGGGAGGGCTAAGTAAAGAGGATTTGGTCACCCAGATTCTTCGCTTCCATCTCCAATCCACTGAACATGAACCTTAACTCTGAATTTCACAGATTTATGAGTTGACCTTATAGTAACAATGTCCTTACAGCTTTAAAGCCATTCTTCGCCCTTGTCAAAATTCTGGACATCCTGGACTGACTGAAAGAGAAGCCCCTATGTCTTAGGGGGACAGCCACGATCCCTTTAACATCCTATAGTAACAGATTTCCTGTAGTGTATCAAGTTATTACTGACTATAAATCTGTATTTTCACAATGAGTGTGAATACTTTCATGACAATTGACATCAAGACCTTCAATTTTAGCTAATTTATTTTCAATTCCTGCTTGACCATAAAAGACTGGAGTAATTTACTTTATGGCAACAGAAGAATTCTTCAGAATAAAGCAATGGGAAATATGTAAAGAAGGCTAGTAAAATTGCTTTATGCTTGTGAGACTACCCCAATCCTTTGGGAATCTCTTCTGAAAATGCTGTGGTGACCCACAGGATTCTGATTTTCAAAAAAATAATTTTACCTGAATGAAGCATGCAGGATTTGATTCTCTAACCAAAGAATGCCCTATACACATACTAGGGGAACAAGATTCACTATCAAATAATATTTGGCTAAGTTAGACACATAGGCATATAATAACAAGAAAACCACTGTGGCATGAAGTTTTTGTAATCAACCTAAAAGAATGTGAGAATCAGAACAGCGAGGTGATCTGCAAAGACCTATGATAATTAAAAGTTACAGAATGGCTGAAAATTCAGATGGTAGCTAGAGGTTCTCCAAGTCAGTTACACCAGTTGACTCTATTAGAGGAATAACAGTTAAAAAAAAAAAAAAAAAAAAAGATCAGGAGAAATTTCATTTGAGATTATGGTCTGGTCTTACTTCTTACCAGAGATTTTATTTTTTGTTATGGTCTACTAGGTTTCACTTCTGCATTAGCATCTAAACCTCAGCTTCTTCCACTTTCTTATGTTGAGTGGGAGGAGAAGCAGAAAACAGTGAGTGTAGAACTCACAATAGTCAACATCATTAACTAAATATTCATGTTATGGTATGCCTACCTTTACAAAGATAGTAGAGTTGCATTCCTGTAAAGCCTCCATTAAACTAATCACATGCAGGCACACCATTTCCACCATCTTGAAAAAAAAAAAAAAAGCATAAAACCGAATTAGTGTTCAGCATAACAATGTTGTAAACTAAGCCAACAGTGTCTGAAAAGAATCCTGTATTTGCTTGGCAGTTACACTGAATCACTAGATATGCATTTATTATAATCGCTGACATATAAGCACATAAGGGACATTTTCTTTAGTTAGTTTTCCTCGATGAGGCAACACCTGTCTGTTAAATATTTCAAAGTGCTTGATGTATTTTAATTCATACCACACATCAAAACAAGTTGCCTTCAGCTTTGTTCTTTTCAGACTTCATAAATCCTTTTACATGCCTTTGCTGTGCAGTTCTCATCAATCAGTGTGTCAGAAAAATGATATTTTTATTTACTGAATCTTTGAAAATTAACATACTCACAAAATCCATCTTTTTTTTTCCCCATCAAAAGACAATTTATTGTTCTGAACTGGCAGCTAGCCCGTAATTCTTCCATTTTGTACCATGAATTATGACAGATGCAAATATCAGTTATTTGGTAGTAGACAGCATTTTATGTTTTATATTGTGTAAATTTATAGGTACAAGACAAATACCCTGAGCCAGCAGTAAGTATTTACAGTGCTTGTCTGAACTATGTGTAAATTCCCCTCGATAATAATAAACTTAGCTTTTATGTAGTGCTTTTCATCTTCAAAGCGCTTTACAAACACTAACTAATTAACCTCACAACAACCCTGTGAGACAGACAAGTATTATTATCTACATTTCACAGAGCAAGAGCTGAGGCTGAGAGTTTAATAACTTGCACTAAAGCCACATAATGAGATACTTTCAGAATAAGGATTGGAACTTGGGTCTTCCAGGTCATATTCTTGTCCTAAGGCTTGACAAGAAGCCTTTGTGTCTGACTAAACAACTGGCTTTAGAAACGTTATGCACATTTCCGGTTTATTCAAATGGAACTTCAGAACTACTGTTCCCAACAGTGGCTTGCCAGCCACAGAGACCTCAATAGATGTCAGAGGCTAAAATATCATTTAAAGACAGCTTTAGCTGGTCCTTGCCTGATATGGATAAGACTCAAGGGAATAGTAACTGGTTCAAAGGCACTCAAGTGCAGCCCATGCAATTGCAATTGAAAGGGCGAGTGTTGATACCTGCTGGGGATGGAAGATGTTTCACACAGGGAAATGGGAATTACATAAAGTAATTTCCATATGGATAGCAGGTCTCCATTTGAAAAAGAAAAAACCCCAAACAAACAAAGAACGAAAATTCCAAACCTTAAGAGCACCTGACTTAGAGGACTGGGCCATGTATAAAGAAATCTTTCTCATTCAAAGCTAATATCAGGTTCTCCAGGGTAGGCCTACTAGTTACCATCTCAGTTAAAGTTAAAAAGTTTTGACAAGTCATGACAGACTTGTCATGACTTTCTGGAAAGTGGGAAACACAATACATCTTGCCCATCAGAAACAAGCTCTCAATCCTAAACCTGCAGGCCCAGAGAACCATTAGTCAGGGGGAAGCAAAGGTAGCACCTATGAGAAAGCTGCTGGAACCCCTCTCCATTCTTACTGTACAAAACTGCGCCAACAGCAGTGAGTAGCTGAAGTAAATAAATGCTTAAAAGTTATTTCAAAAAAAATGGTCTGGACAATTTCTGGAAAAGTGAACATTTCCCTTTCAAACCTTATCTCTAGAGATACCCCCTTCAAGTCATTCATTACTCAAAAATGTTTCCAGAAATATTTATGTAGCGTTTTTCTGATGAGTAACCAATGGGTTATGAGTAGTCAAGTGTCAGCATTTGTGTAGTTTTTTGCCATCACATGGTAAAAACTATTCAAGTGGATATTCACAGAATTATCCTAAAACACTTAGTTGCTCCAGTAAGGCAGAATCAGATGAAACGATAGGACCACTGTGAAGAGCAGGAAGATATAGAACATGAGACCTGATGCAGAGAGCCCTTAATCCAATAAACAGCAGCTCTAGCTCTTCATTCTGTTTCAGGCAGATCCTCCTACCTCCTGTTTCAAGCCCACTGAGAGGTTAAACCACTACTGATTAGCTTTTCCTTGAATTTCTCAAAAGCATCCAAGTTGCTGTATGATGTTATTCATAGTCTGATGTATTCCACTGAAACTAAAACAAAGCCAAGCTTTCTGAGTTTAATCTGTACTACACCTGTACACAGCACTAACTCACCACTTTGTTATGTGCCATTAGCTGTAGGATGCTAGGTGTCACTCGGCTCCAGAACTCCAGGGCTGTAAGGATTGCTGTAAAGCTAAATTCATTTTGATTCTGGACTGTCGGAGCTACTGCTGTTTGTTCACAATACACTGTCCAGAGCTGAGCAAATATAAATGCATGGAAGAGGGAACACATGTGCAGAACAGATGTCTGTAGAAACAGAAAATAGAGGAAAATATTTATTTAAATAAGTGTAATGGATACAGTACAGAGGCTTTCAAAGCACTCTTCTGTCATGCATCCTAATGTGCAGTCTTGCCCCTCACTTTCCATGTTTCTCTCCCATTAGGGACCAGTAAGTCAAGTACTTCATAACATCTTCACCATGTTTAAAAACTGGTTTGATATTTACAGACTAAAAACTGCATTTACAAACGCACACTCTCATGCAATCTTAGTGTATGTCATTAAGGTCAGTCCCTTTAAAGAGAAGGTTAGTTCTGCAGGACAGCTACTTGGGACTAGTTCTAAGATTTCCTTGATGGAAAACTCCACTGCAATCTGTAGAAGACCACCTGGAGGCTCTGGCACGTATGACTCCATTTCAAAAATGCTGCTGGGGCGGGTCATTTGGATTCTGATCACCTGAACAGAAGGCTACTGTAGAAAATACATCATCTTATATCTGTTCTGTTAATACTGCTCAGTCAAGGAAAGTTAAGTTTTGAAAAGCTATTAGAGAATTAATTTTGCATACTCAAGCATGGCTCTTTGCTAATACATGTTACATGTCACAGTGCCTGAGCCTCCAGGAGTGATGGACTACTTCATTACAAGAAGGATGCTTCTGGTCAGAGACGTTTCTCAGTTTGCAAGTGCAATAGTGATTCATTCTCTGTGACAGTATGACTACACCAAACATTGCAATATTTGCTTGGTAACTGAAAGAGGTATTTGAAAGAGAAAAGAAATGCCAAAGAAATGAATGGGAAGCACCTGTGTCTTGGACAGGTGAGGAAAAAAAAAGGGGGATTTTACATACAAGACAAATGTGTGATCATTCTGCTTCTGTTGCTAATAAAATCCTGGTTGGTGTCAAAGACTGCTGCTATATCTGTGTTAAACTACTATCACAAATGACTTATGATTTGCAATAACTCTTCTAGTCCAGAGCACCTTGAAAAAAAAAAGTTGTGCTTGAATCATCACTGTTTGTAATTAACTTTTGATCATAACATTATTTATAGGTTATCCGATTCTACTACACAACTACAATAAGTAACTTTGAGAGATTTTCTACAAAGATGGCCATTGCTAAAGCTTCAATTTTGAATTCAGTTTTTCCTTCCTCACTCCTGTGCTATTTTGAAATAGTTGAATCTCAAAGTTAACTGTAATTTCACCACCAGTTTTCTATGCATTAAGAGGCACCTATACAAGAAAATCTACAGAAATTTCTTTCCCCAGATCCCAGATTTTAATAAGGTTTTATCCCTCCTTTTTTCTTACAAAGAAATAAATGTTCGCAATAATAAGGCCAATATATAACACACCTCCACTTAGAGCACAGAATCCCTTACCTTTGATTGCTCTGGAAACCCAATCAGAATAACAATAAGATGGTCAGCAATTTGTGAACCCGCATCCAGTGGAATAGGCATGCAAGATGATGAAGAATTTGGACAGACAACATTGTGTGTCAGAGACCCCAGAAGTAGCCAGGACAGCAAACGAATGTGTGAGACACATTCTATGAACTCTTTGGGCCTGTCAAGAAAGAGCGGATTTTACAATGATGCTAAATTTTCTGGTTTTCCCCAAAATATGGAGTCTCCTTATGCACACTAGGCAGATGCAGTCTCAATGTGCTGGAGGCACGGATCATTGGTACAGCTTACGGGAAGACTAGAACCACACAGAACTTAGTGGACTTGACGTACCATTAACAAGTCCAACAGAACATATTTGGTGGGTCCAAGAAACAGTCTCCATAAAAGGCTGAAACATTCACAGGTTCACTGGTTGCATATACAGTGATTTTTTTTTATTTACATGGAAATCATCAGATGGGAAGGGTTGCCCAAGTGGAAATGATCCTCTCAGCTCCCCTGGACAGCCCATGGGTAACAGGGTGATGACAGGAAATTCTTCATTCCATAGCAAGCTCCAAGGCAGGCACCATGCCTTACTTCCACTTCTCCAGTGGTAAAGTGGAGTTAATTTCTCTGTTCCTTAGCTCCTCCCTGGACATTTGAACTGCACATTTTTGAGGGCACTTTTTTTGTGACAGTTAAGTATTCATCAACCATCTACTGCAATGTCTAATTTTGAAGTAATGTGCTTATATAATTTAAAGAGGAGTAATACTTTTCTGGTATCATTTTGTCTGTCTCTTTGCTGCTACCAAATTCAGATTATATACTCATTTGAATTCCTAGGCACAGGGAAAAAAAATAACTGTTTATTTGATCAATAAATCAGTAATTACTAGGCCACTCTCGCTACTGTTTTTAATTTCTGATTTGATGTCATTGTCAAGGACTCCTAGCAGCAAAGGGGCATTCCATCAATTTTTTTTTTTTTTTTTTAAATAGACTGATATGATGCTCTTCCTAAGGAATTCACTACCTTCAACTCAGAACACATAGTCCTTTTTTCACATGTAAGAAATTTAAGTGCAAGGAGGTAACAACTCCATATTACCAAAATAAGACATGCTCTACACTAAAGTACATGCAGATGTATCTACAGGACTGGAGCCTGAGCAGCTTAGTCCCCCGAATCCTGGGGCACATAGTCTGGGACAAAGCTAGGACAAGAATACAGGTTTGTTGAAACACAGTCTACACTCAAAACATCTCATTTGTCGTCACTGTAAGACAAGGGACAGTATCTCCTTTTTGAAGACAAAATACTGCAGATTAGGATTTCTCACAGTGAAAACGGATAAAACAACATGTCTTGAAGGTCAGGACTTCCCTCATCTAATTAACCAGATGTAGTCAGTATTTTTATCATCATATCAATACATTTAAACTTACAGTTCTCACTCATTTTTACACCATCATTTCAAAGGACATTTCCCACTGTATTCTCTAAAATTCACAACATATTTTCTATAATTCTAGGACTGATCAAGTACCTGTATGCTTTTCACTGTCTGTATCTAGATCGAGAATCAAGTTAATTTCCAGGGTAACTCCAGTCAAGCAAATAGAGTTAACTCCACTGTTCCTTTGGCATGTACTTTAAATACTGCATTGATGAACTCCTCAGGGATCAGGGAACTACTGACCAGCTGTCTCAATGACCCATGGCCACCATTCCCTACTGCAGGTCTTATCTATAGAATCTGGCAATAAACACAGAATTCCATGAATATTTCTAACTCATTTTAGGATTCCTTTTTGTGCAAAAGCATTCTCACCCTTGTTGCATTGCAGAAGGAGGATGGTAAAGCCAAGGCAAATACCGGATCACAGCTTTGTTGTCTCTGTGGTTTCCCCGTGTGATTTCCATAGCAGCAATCTGAGCTAAACCAACTTTCAGATGTCCACCAAACGTGTCTTCATGCAGTGGCTGAGAACAAGTCTTCATGTGACTCTGCAAGGCAAAGATCTGATTTCCTACACGAAAATATTATGTCACTTAATTTAAGTTCTTCCAAGCAATAGCATATTCTATTTCATTTCCCTGCAACTCCTTTCTCAGGTCTCTAACTGTGTCTACAAAACTACAAACCACTCAGAAATAGAATTTAAAAAATTTTTAAAAATTAGTAACAGGTTTATAACACAGATCTTTCTACAGAGGGGCCACACTGTCAAGAGCCCCCATGAAATATGAATTGTGCAAAATGTATAGGCACCTTTTGATTCAGCAAACTCAACAATTGACGAATACAAACTAATGGTTGCATGTCCAGACAGCCTAAGTGAAGATGAAAGAATCCAACCATTTAAAAAGATAGCATCTGGGCAGGAAATGCCTTCCCTGTGCAATAATCCATTTATATGTACAGAAATAAGCTGTCATTCATTCACCAGCAACATGACTATGTTGCACTACTCAGCTGCTACAAATGGCTTCAAGCCCTGGACATAAAATGGCTAAATATTTTACCAACAAACATGCAAATATTTATGCCTGAAAAGATAATTCAATATCCTGCTTTGTCAGCTCTAAGGAATGTTTCACTGGTGCTTCTTGAGATACTTCCATATTTCTAATTAACCTAACCTAGCATTACCTTCTGTTACTAGACTAACAGAACACATGCTGAGTGCATTTGCTTGCTTAAAGGAGAGCCATATGCTTTGCACAAGAAAATCCAGGTCATCAGTTATTAAATTATTATAACAGGATAAAAATCAGTGGACCAGTAATATTTTATAACAGATAAGTATCGGATCCCACCAACTCAACACTCTCAAAAATCATTTACTTGAAGTCTCTTTCAAGGAAAGAAAAAAAATATCTATACCAGTATGAATATCTAACAATGTTGTTATAAAACCAGGTAAAAAGGATAGACAGGTGTGCAGGCAGATACATTATGCTACTTCAAAATGGTGGAATTTTCTCTAAAAAAATCTTGCTGAGCTTTACTGATTAAATTGTTATCCCAAAGAGAAAAAAATATTAAACTGAACAAAACCAATAAACTGGGATATGATTATCATGAGAATTAACATTTATAACTTTTTTATAATGCAGTTGCTAATATGTAGGACTGAAAATAACTAATATCTTTCAAAGAAACTACGCAAAATAAGACATTAGAAATTAATAAACAACTTTATCTCTGTTCACTGAATTTCTTCAGAGTAGAAATTTCAGTATCTGAAAACCAAGATTTAATTTTTGCTGTTGGGATTTTTACTGGCCATTTAAATGATATAGTATTCTTCGTGTTAGTTTGGTAGCCCAGATGCTGTTGATAATGCATACTCATAGTAAGAAATTGTACAACTGGATAATTTTAGGACTCACTTCCTAGGAACACCTCTGTTAATAAGTAAATTTGTTAAATGAGCTTACAATAATTTGAGTCTAGATGTTGTGAATTTGTTTAAAGTTCTTACTATTTATAAACTTAGAAATGCTTACAAATATTTTCCCAGCTATGTTGGAACCACAGAGTAAGTTTATTTGGTCTGGTTAAATAAGAACTGGGTTTTCATTTTCCAAAGACAGCCAGAGCTTATTCTTTACAATACATAAAATTATGGTCATATTTGACTCTCCTATTACATTAATCTTGTTCTCAGATTCCTGTATTACATGGCTAAATCAAAATAGCATGAAATTTTAGACCATTTGATTTTGATTTAGTTGTAAATAGTCAGACTACACATTTGGGAAGCTTCTTGTCTAATTTCAAAGCATAAAAGTGAAGAATTGTGTAAAGTTTTAGTTCATGTCCTATCTATATCCATGTAAAAAAAAGAAGTAGTCCTAGTGAGCATAAGAAATTATCATCTTATCAGACAAGCATTGTAAGAGCATTTCTAAAAATCAGACTACAAGGGAGAAGGAGTAGAAGGAAAAAGTGCAAATGGCAGAGGTTTCTACTGAAACATTTTACATGGGAGGGAGGATACCTGCAATTATTTATAAATAAATTTTCCCCATTCCTGCTTTCAGATAAGTTTATGTTTTTCTGTGGAATTGGCAAACCAGATGCATCTCACCCTCATTTACAATTCATTTGCCTATCTATTCTGAAAGTAGTTCTGAACTGTAAGAGAAATGGGTGAATAACATTAAAGAATAGAGTGGGAAGACAATCCAATTCAGCTGAAAATTGTTAATTAATTTGCACTTCAAAGTACATTTCTACTCCAGCACAAAAGGCTGCTTCCTTTATTAGTTTTTTTAAAACTCAATGGGATTCAAGACATATGGCCAACAGGGTAAGAACTTAACAAAAGCTGTATTTTGTCCAGTTATCCCAGTTTCAGCTGGGATAGAGTTAATTTTCTTCCTAGTAGCTGTTACTGTGCTGTGTTTTGGATTTAGTGTGAGAATAATGTTGATAACACACTGATGTTTTAGTTGTTGCTAAGCAGCCCTTACCCAAAGTTAAGGATTTTTCAGTTTCCCATGCTCTGCCAGTAAGGAGGTACACAAGAAGTTGGGAGGGAATGTGGACAGGACAGCTGACCTGAACTAGCCAAAGGGATGTTCTCTACCACAGAATGTCATGCTCAGTACATAAACCAGGGGGAGTGGCTGGGAGGGGCAGATCAGTCTCACCGCTCAGGCATCAGTCAGTGGGTGTTGAGCATTGTGTATCACTTTTCTTAAGTTTTGTTTCTCACTCTTTTTGTTATATTAATTTTCCTTATTATTACTGTTGTTGTTATTACATTTTCGTCATTTTAATTCTCAAACTGGTCTTATCTCAACCCACAAGTTTTCCTTTTTTTCAATTCTTCTTTCTGCTAGGAGGGGGGAGGAGTGAGCAAGCAGCTGCATGGTGCTTAGTTGCTGGCTGGGGTTAAACCACACCAGTAAAACAAGGTCACTGCAAGTTTCAAAAGATGTGAGTTTCAGCTTAGTTGAGATTCTTCTTCCTTTGTGGTAAGTATTATTAATTTGCAATAACGTTCCCTCTGAGGCATGAGGTAGAATGGAGGGGGCAGGGGGACAGTGAGTAAATGAATGTACGAGAAATTAGTAGGGTAAAAGTTCTCATTTCATTGCTTCATAAAGAAACTCCAGTATTGTAATCCACTACAGGTTATCATTTATTCTGTTTTGCCTGCTACAGAATGCTTGCATGAACTTGTAGCATGAAACACTCCAGTGCATTTCCAGTAACTTTTATCAGGGACAGGTGCAGTAGTAGAGAGGCCCTTTCAGGGAAACATTGTACTGATTTATCAGGAAAACAGACCATCAACACCCTTTATTAGCAGATGCACTCTGTGTTAGAGAAGCACAGTGGCTCTTGAGGTTAGATGCAAGACCTTGGTCAAAGAACTTCCCTAGAATATGCCATGAACCAAAGAGCAGGCATGTAAACAATAGAAATATGATTCATTCCAGTCAGAACAGGACAGCATTATATCTGTCAACTGAGCTTTAGAACACATAAAAGAAGCTTGGCAGCCCCTTGACTGTGACCCATGATGAAATGACATCTTTAATTTGATGAACTTACATTTGGATCACTGAGTTGTTGGTGTACAAGGACTAAAACTCTACTGTCAGATCTCAGAACTGGCTGTATCTTTGTCAGCACAGACTCTACTCCATACCTGTAACAGTCCCTCTGCTGTACTCCCACACCATTCATTTGTCTTGCCAACTTTGCAGAAGTTAGAAGCATCAGAGCCTAGTCACGCCTCTGCCTCCATTTTATATGCTGAAGGAAATCCACCCTTGTGCAGGGTACCAGTATGTAGCTCAAAAGACTATGCTCTTAACTTTGCTTCACACTGAGAAGTGACAGATGGTTCCACTATGACAGGTATTTTCCCTCTACAAAAAGGAGGATTTTAACCACCAAAGTTTCACCTCCAGCTCAGTGCTCACTCAGTACTCAGCTACAATAAAACTACCTAAAGGGATAGTGTTATGCTAAATAGAATAAATATGCCCCCTCCACAGCATTATGACTATTAGCGATATATTAGCTAAATAAAGAATGTAATATTTCAAGCTAGTAACAATAGATGCCACTTTGCTAGCAATTGAAACAGCTATACTTTATTATTTCCTATTAAACAGCAGCAATGTTACATAACCTAGTTATTTTCTAAAACATCTTAAAGAATTTCCATTTTGTAGGAAATTTAATAGATACTGGCTTCCCCCATGAAACAGAAATTCCAGGTTTTGACCAGATAATTATTACTAGGATGTTTTCATGAAATTCATTCCTAAATAAAATATTTAATGTTGATGGAGTATTTTCCTATCACTCCTCTTAGAATTTAGCATCAAACTAATGTACAGAAACCAAAAAGCAGTTTGAACTGCAGAGATAAGAACTACACAGTTTTCCCCACCTCAACAGAATATGATCTGACAATAAAAACAACAGTACCCATAAGAAAAAAGACTCTTTTTTTTTTTCAGGTCAATTAACTGCATTATAATAACCTCTGAACTTCCAATTAACTTAAGCGTCTGTTTGTGTATATAAGAGACACAGGATTCCTCCAGAAGAGTGTAATGAGTTTGTAATGAGTTATACTGGCAAGGAGTTTTGTGCTTCCATGGGTTATATTGACATGACTACTTCTCACAGAGATTTTGGTATGACGTTAGCTTATCATCAACATTTCAGAAAAATCAAACCTGCATTTTTATTGTGTGCACACAATATTTGAATCAGCCTCTACTTCAATAATGCATAAACTACTTTTTACCAATCCCCCAGAAGCATCTAATCTGTAACACTACTAACATTTTTTAAAAAGAAAGAACAAAACCTGTCAGTCATCTTCCAAGACTTCCAAACATTTTTTCCAGGCAGGTTCATTACAAAAAACATGTTTTTGTTAAAAAAACACATATACATTAGATCTATACCCAGAACCAACCTTTAATTTGGTTAAGGTATGCATATCTGCAATGAAATCCAGCACTTCCCCAACATACTGTCTCATGCATTCCATTGCTGCAGTTCCACACTAGAACAAAAGAAATAAGTTTAAGTACCAGGTTTTGAATACGTTCATGTTTTTGTCTTTGTTTCTTGTTCACCGGAACACAATGTATCTATCTCAAAATCTTTATTTTACTTTTGAATTCGATTAATTAGGAGTAGGTATTCTTTGATGGTTTTCTTCTCACTGTAATATGCCCTATTATCTGATGATAATATTAAAAGATAGCCCAGTCACTGTAGTTTCTTCATGCATCGTAAAATACTCTTATCTGTGACAGCAATAAAAGATTAACTCATGAAACTTTCAAGAATATCCCTATCATGTCATCCTGAAACTTACAGTGGCCCAGAATCAGTCTTAAAAACTCAAAGAGAGTTTAACAACTCAGTTCTTCAAGCAGCTGAGCATTTCTGCAAGTGGAACCAATCAGCTACAATCCCAAAAAACAAAATTCAGTCACAAGCACAGATGGTCTTATATGCACATTAATCATAATGGAAAAACAGTTTAAATGACTGGCTTTGGGATTTTATATGTAAACATCACTAAAATGAACACCACTGAAATTTAACTGTTAGGGTTTTTTTTCTTTTTTTTAAACTAACAAATGTTTCTGGGATATTCATGAAGCAAAATCATTCAAAATACAGCATTCTAATGGCACTTAAGCTAACTGCAGTTTTCAAAAAGGGAGGCAAGGCTAAGTGAATATAAGTGAATATAAAGGCTAAGTGAAATCCTTCACAAACTGCTCCAGTTTGACCATAAAGGGGTAAGCATTGAGAAGCAACCTGTGCCAGAGCAAGAACCACCTCAAAGGTAAAACAGTGTGGTGCTTGCTGTATTTCCACAGTATGAATTTTCATAATCCTTTTCCCAGAACACAATGAGAAATGCAAATCTGGCCTTTGGCTACTACAAGATGTGCTCAAGGTGCGCAAAGCAGTCAATGGAACAAAGTTGTCAGGTTAAATAAAGGCTTCAAACAGACCAAAGAACCCAGGAGAGAAGCTTTCAGAAGGCAGTATGACTGACCCACTAGGTACCATATAAACTCCTGTTTACATGTTAATAGTCTGAGGTGAAGATAATGCTAGCTGAGTTCAAGGGGAACTACGAATGCCTCATTCTTCAGGGCCAAGTAAAAGCAATGCTTAACTTTTGAGGCTAAATGATGAAATTATCAAGTTAGGTATCTTTCTGAAGTAGCCAAAAACTACTGTTTCCAAAGTCACAGGCTCAGGGCAAAACATTGCAGTAAAATTTACAGTGGAAAAAACTACTCTTCTTTGACCTCTATTTAATTACCTACACTTGGAAGCTGATTACACTATCTGAGTATATAAATGAACCAGATTTAGTTTTGATCACAGAATTATTAAGCAATAATTGAGTTTTAGTGGCTGAAATTTGAGAAACTGATAGCATTCTATGTTTAAGGAACTGACCTAGGCACTTCTTATTTTTGTGTTGATACCAATCTACACAGTGTTGAACTATGCCACCTTCTGGCTTTTCAAACGCTATGCCTGTCAGTTCCCTTGACAGAACAACGAACAGTAAAACAAGGTCACCGGCAGCCCTGACAGCATATTCTCCATCCAGTTTACGTGGACTAAGGATTCCACATGGGTTCTAAAATACCGAGTAACAGAATTATAAAAGAAACTATACTCAGACCTCTGAAAATAATGCTCAGTTAAAAAAGACTTCTCTCCAACCATCTATTCTGTTTCACTGAAGCAGCAGGAAGCCTGACTCTCTATGACTTCTTCTAAAATAATCACTTTCCATCATACCTTGCAACACCAACATTAGTCTATCTATTTAAAGCAAATAAAAAATTAAAATATTCTGTTGGGAGGAAAGTTTTTACTGAAGATTTGTTTTTTTTAAAAAATCACTCACTTCAGAAGATATACAGGAAAGATCCTATTAGGTCACCCCTAAAGCTGACAGAGACACACTTACAAGGAAACAAGTTTCCCTCAGCTTGTGAAGCAGACCTGGGCTAACCCTCACCCATCTGTCTGGGTACTCAGTCACATGTGCTATGGAACAAGCCAAGACCTCCAGTTGTATTACTTCCTCGCAATTACAAATACTGCTGAATTAGCTACACTCAACAGCAGGATATAGATCAATGTCTTTTACATTACTACAAAAATACCATTAACACCCTTCTTTAACCAGATAATCTTTTCTGAGAACAGAGGCAATGGCTTGTAGCTTTCCTCCCTGCTACCGTTTTTTGAGGCATTCAGCTGGTCTGTTCCCCACACGTTGCCATCTTGAGCGCAGGCTCCAGCTAAAGTCAGTTACATGACATGATTATCAGTGAAAGTAAGGGAAACAACATGAAGTTCAGAACTTTTCCAACATTAATAAAAAGGAAACAGCACCTCAATCTCTGCCTGCAATACACCTTGCCAACCAGAAGAGAAATGAAAAGGAAAGAACATTAAAATTAAGCAAAACAAGCTGAGTAAGATACATTTAACAAAAAACAAAACTAAGAAATTGAGTTTGATTCAGTACTTACTCCAGGCATAGAGGCAATCATCTGTTTATGCAAGATTGTTGACTCAGCTAGTTTTGTTCCAGCATCTGCACAAACAAACTAAGAAGAAATTAAAGACAAGTTATTTTTAAATTATTTTCGGAGAAACCTGAAGCCACTAATAATGTTATTCATAACTGTATTAAAAATCAGTTCAGATCTCTTCTTGCTTTTATTCACGATAATTTGCCTTTAGAGCTCTCTCTCTTTATAAACAATCTAGTTAACTCACCACTATAAATGAGCTAATTTTAATGAAAATCTGGCTTTAATGTGCTTAATTAACACATATATGCTGTGTAGAAGTAATTTGAAAAATATTATATAATAAATCAGACCTTCTTCATGAGCAAAAATATGTATCTTCGCTATTCCTTGCATATATCACATGTTCCTCTTTCATTATAGAGTAAATCATGATAGAGAATGATAAGGCAACATGCCATGTCCTTCACTGTTATACTACAACACTTTCACTGAAATTCTACAATGATTAATTATATGAACAATTTTGAAGTTGAGAACATACTGGTCTGGTCTGGTCTGGTCTGGTCTGGCATGGCATGGCATGGCATGGCATAACTTCTGCATAATACAGGCCACAGCACTACAAAAATACAAGTTGTTTCTGAGAGAAGGTCAGTATAATTCTGTTATAGTAGAATACCTATAATTGCTTTTGTTATGCTTTTATTTTCCTTATCTTTTTTTTTTCTTCTTTTTATTTTCAAATCTCTTGACCCAAAATCTCTGATGTCCTCATCATTCATACATTAAACCTGCTAATACTGTTATTTAATCATTATAAGCTTCAATAAGGCATTGGACAACCTGCAGATGATTTGCTTATTCCTAAAACTTGTCCTAATAATGTATCTGCACTTGAGCAATTTCTGTCCATAGTGATGCAATGCAACTTTCTAAGAAAGAACAAACAGAAAAGAGTTGTCAAACTAGAGGTCTAAACCTTAATTTTCTTTCTTGAAAATTAATATTGTGGAACCTTCACTAACTGAGACAGATATTGCCTACACCATTACGGTGTCTGACACGTGTGTTAGCAGTACTCTCAATGAATGGTCACTCTTCTTGAAAATATTTCCAAATAACCTTTACAGACTTAGAATTTACTCTTACATTTTCACAAGCTTTACCTTCCAATGATAGATTTAATCTAAACTCAGAGTGACTACCAAGACTTGGAAACTATGTAATCTATGTCTTGACATTCTGTTCGTTGAGATAAATACCAGAAAAACATACCTAAGTTTAGAATAATAATCTAATCAGGTATCCTCAGATGTAGGCCTGGCTCCAGTTGATGACTCTCCTAGTTAGAATTTATTTTACACCAGAATAAGCCAAATGGAAATAAACCAGGAATCTAACTCATATTTCAGTTGAGAGATGGCCTGGTTCTCTAATAGCCACAGTTCCACAATCATGACACTCCACTTCTGTTTTAAAAGAAGGACCATTAATGGACTTAGGCAAATAGATGACAGATTTTCTCTTAATGCCCCCTATCTCAGAAAGAGCAATGCTGACACTGGGTTCTCTGGACAACAGACACACTGTTTTCCTGTATGAAGGATTTCTCAGTCAACCATTTGTGTGTAGATTAGGGTTCCCTTTACTACATCAGCTGCAAAAAAGGACCATAATTCTCTGAAGAATCTGGCTGAGTATATTTAGTATCCAACAGTGAATTCAGTGTACTGCTACAGACATTGTACAGTACTAAGGCATATAAGTCAGCAAAAAACCCTTGCCAAAGACAAATGTCATTTATTTCAGTATTTTAAGAACAGTAAGAAGCAGCAGCCAAGCAACCTCTACTGGCCTCCTGTAAGGTTTCTATACCTTTTGCACAGAAGAGTTCGGATTAAGAAACATACATTAACTTATATGTGAAAAACTGCTGACAAACTCCATTCCATTTCTAATGCCTTGCTTAGCTTTTCTTTCTCATCATCACTGCCAGTCCCGTTCCAAGGATCCTTCCTCAAGTTGCAATACAGTCAAAAGAGGATGAGGAAACCAAATTCAAAATGAAAGACTTCTTACACTTCCAGTCCAATTCACTGTCATTTATGTTTTCTTCCTCTACAAATACTATAATACATTAAGACATCACTGGCAAGAGATTTAATGCCAGACATATGCAAAGAAAAAAGGAAAGAAAAATACCCCCCCACTACAAATATATGAGAAATGGGCAAATAATTGCCATGCCTCTTACTGGCACTGTCTGCTGAGATAGAGCTGCACAATGTTAAATGGGAATGTCTGCTGACTATAGTGAATTATCTATATACCATAATCTATCTATATTATACCTCCATTCATAATCAGTGTTTTTAAAGTATATATTCTTCTAAATGTATTATATGTAACTTTAAATCCTTCCATTCAGTAATTAGTAGATCAGATCTTCACAGAAACATAAAGTGGAACCAGTAAATATACAGTGATTTACATTAGCTGAAGGTCCAGCCCAAAATAAGAGTCACCTAAACGAACCAGATCAGATACACCGAATCTTAGAACCTGACTCGACAAGCAAATCTTAATGAGACACTAATATAATTTAAAGTCAATGGAAATCCTGAATATGTGTGCTGGTGAAATGTGAGCAGGAGAAATTACTGGGAAACAAAATGCTGGGTGAAGAAGCAGTTCCTATGGAAACCCATGGAACAGCAGCATGTACATGATGGCTTTCATTTGCTAGAACAAATCAAGGAGACAGACTTCATGTACCCTTTATCATGCAGGACACCTATCCAATGATAGGGGTGATCTGGTTCAAATTCTCATTCTTTGTAAAGTGGGATAAAGTTAACTCTCATTTTAGCACTGATGGCACCAGTGACACTGATGGCACCATGTAATTTGGATGAATGTGGGTGTCAAGTGTACATTTCTCAGAATTCCTTTGTTAGCCAGCCCATGACTGATCTATCATTAAAGTGATCTTAGTTCCTTTGTTAACATGAACATTTTGATTCAATCTCCGTATTCTGTGTGCACTGTTTGTATAGAATCTTGTATACAGGCTAAGATGTCCATGGGTACATGACTGTCTGAAATTAAAACCATTTCTATTTGGTGCTGTGTTAACCCTGCTACAGCTTTATGGATTCAAAACCATACAATCCGAATTAATATTGTAGTGGCTTTGTGTGGCAAAGAGGTGAACCAATCCTTTCATTCTACTAATGGTACCAAAGAAAATTAAAATAATCAGATACATATGTGGGTTTATTAGTAGGTTTCTTAAATTACAAAGGTGCTTAAGATGGGCTTAGCGGTTACTATGGTATTTAAATTAAAGAGGCTGTTGAATGATTCAGACCACATACTAGTGAGGGCTGCCAATTTGCAGTCAATGGGAGAAGTAGTCATCATGCCTCCAGTAGGCATCTATGGCAGATGGTCTGAATACAACTCCTATTCTTTACCACTGACTGCATAAAAACAGAAGCTGGCTGCTTTGGATAGCAGGAAATATGAATCACTTCATCAGCCATTGAAAGAGAGACATCATAAAAGACATTTATATCCACATTAGGTGCTGTTGTGTAAGGTATTAATACATTCCAAAGTGAATACAGCATATGGGAACTGTGCTGGGAGGAAAACCCAGGCAAATATAATTTTATCTTCATGAGATAAAGATAATATAAGAGAGTTTTGCTTACTATGTCTATCAGGTGATTGACTCAATCTGAGAGACAAGTGTTTACCAGTTAAATCCCACTGCCAAAACTGAAGTGGCATGTTTGCATTCTCAAAAGAGGAATTCAGATTGACTAGACTGTGGGACTGTCGACTGTGGGACTGTCACCTGTGGGGTAGTCATAGGACTGAGCTATACAATGGAGCAATGGAGAAAAAATGCTTTATTCTGTAATACAGGAAAGTTCAGTTCAAGTCAACAAACACCGTATGGTATCAAGCTATATCACTGCACCCGTAAGACAGAGAGAGGTTGGTGGTTATTTGATTGTCCTGGATGGGACTGAAAAAAGAAGCATGAGCTTTTTTTTTTTTTAAAAAAAAAAAAAAAAGCAAGCATATTTCTGCTTTTTAAAAATCAAAATGGATTTTTAAAAAATAACTTTTACCATTAATAGAAAAAAAAAAAACAAGTGTCATTCTTCCCTGGACCAAATTCTTCCCCTAACACTGATGGCATAATAATTGTTTTCAGAGTTATCCTAACTGCTATATAATTTCACTTGTCAGTATTACTTCTCTGTCAACTAGCAACCACTTATTTACCATGAGTAATGTATCAGTACTCAAAAGAAAGTGAGCCCATAGTAAGCTATATGAAGCTTTGACCCCATAATGGGAGGGGAAAGAGTGAATGGAGCTGTGATGCTGGGAGCATTATGAATGATCTACGTAACAAACTTCTTGCTTGAACCTTACAAAGTGGTGTTGTGGTGGTCCCCTATCATTTAAAGTTACTAAAGGCATGTAATGGTTAGCTCATTGTAAACAATGAGAGCCCACTACCTGTGATTAAAATTGGTGGACTTCAGTAAATTGTTTTTGCAGGGGACAGGCTTGTGGTGCCAAACAGTGCCACACTTGGCATTTTGCAGGCAGAGAGATTTTTCACAAGTTTGCATTCTACTTCCTCAGATTTTCCTATAAAAAAAGATAGCTTGACTCCTACCTCAGCAATTCACAGAATGAAATGAACAGAAATACTGTCCATGTATTCTTTGCTGGAAAAATCGATGTTAAAAGAGAATGGCCTTCAGGGACTGGAGATGGCTTACTGCCAGCCTGAACAGACAGAAACAGAGTTTTGGTCCTGATCAACCAGCACCCCTTCCTACACAAACTGCTCACTGGTTTTGGGGCTATGATATGACAAGGCAACTGCTGGGTCAGCTGCCCCACTGGGACACGGTATGAAGCTCAATGGACTTGATCCTTATGGATTCCTTCCAACTCAAGATACATTCTATGATCCCCAATACATCAGCAATGATCAGTATGAGAACTACATGGGAATCTCCTGTACCTGCACCAATAGCAGCAGATTCATGTCTGGTAAGGGTGACTTTAACTTGAGTGCCTGCAGTAACTCCAATATGACACTGCGCGTCAAGTAGAATTTGTCTCTTTCCTACAACAGAAAAACACAGAATTATGAATGTCCTGAAATTCACTGACATCTACTAGTATACCATAAAGATACTTTTTATCTGTGTTTGAGAATTAAAAAGTGGACTGGTTTCTTCTGTCTTACAAAAAAGCAGACATGATTCATCATTTACATAATTCTGCAGACTCCTTTGACATTGTATCAGTATATCCAAGATTTTAATATTTCACATGTGAAATACAGATATATTTTACAAACCATTTTTAAGGCCCAGGCATGCAGCGTAGCTTTCATTAAGCAATTCCATATAAAGGGAAAAGCAGTAAGGATGGACACAGGACAAAACTAACAATAGTATTTAGCATTATTCTTTCACTGAACCTGCCAGAAATGGTCTACATTTTTACCATACATTTTTTCTGTTGTCATTCTCCTTAAAATAAGGATGCCTTCACTAAGGCAGCTTGAATATGTATTTTCATTCATTAGACTAGCAATACTTTTCCACTTACACAATAAAAATCGTCTTGGCTACAGCTGCTACAACAGAAACACTTCAAACCATAGGGGAAAAATCAGCCAGTGGATATTAGAACACTAAGAACAGAGTTGTAATGCTGAGACAGCAAGGAGGTACAAGAGATAAGATGAGCCTGTTATACATTGTACTTTGACATTCTCTGTCTTCAGACGATAAGATAAAAATGTGAAATAAGTCTATAACCTGCTACTGACCACAGCAACTCAAGAATTTTGATCAGTAGGAAGACTTTAACTGAGCTCTCTTTCAAATGACCATTAGAGATGAAATAATGTTGTCTAATAATTAGAGAACATATCCTAAGCGTGCTTAAGATTTAAAGCCTAGTATCTTCCATCTTGTAAATCTCATGCACTTGCCTGCTTGCTTAAGTTAAATGTGTGGGATTTTTTATGCAATCAGGGCTTCAGTTCCTCTGTGACATCTGTAAAATGGGATAATGTTTGCCTCTTCCTCAGAGAGGTCTTGTGAGGTTTAGTTAGTAAGGGTCAGTTTGAAGGCCACCTTCAGCTGCGCACAGTAGTAAGTGAGGCTTAAAAGGAAGGAGCTGGAGGAGATGAAGAGCTGAAAGTGAGAGGAGCGTTGGTTGCAGCAGACCAAGAAGCCAGTCACCAGCGTTCCTCTTCAAAGAGCTGATTGTATATATAATATTATATATATAATATTATAATATACCACGTTGTATCTATGTAGCATCCTGCCAAACAGAGCTTACAGCAACAGTGTGTGTCTCCCACCACACCCACATATCTTTTAAAGAAAACAGATTTTAAATATCAGCTCCTGATTTGGGAGAAGGTGCCAAAACAACAGAATGGTATGTCTTTCATGGACATTATAATACCAGACTGTGAATCAAGAGACCTTACTTCAAGCTCCTGGTTTGATCTTCAGTTACATGGAGTGTGCAGACAGATAACACATTTAGCTGATGGAATGGGCCCCAGACTGCAGTTGTTCTTATCTGACTACATTGCTGCAGTCTAGGCAGCTAAACTCACAGGAAGTTAACACTCAAAAAACAAAAAAGAGTTTTTAATTTTTTTTTAAAAATCATTTCCTTATGGGAGCAGCAAACACTGGACCAGTTCAGCTGTATTATGAAACCATTACTTGAGGGGACAAGTACTCAGAAGTTACACATCTCACACATATGAATGGTGCCCTGGTAAGAATAATATAAGAATATCCCAGAGAGGTAGACCAGAACAAATGTCCTCAGTAACTTACCTCCAAAAAGGCCATAAGCAGACACAAAAGGAAGAATAAAAACAAGGCAAGCATGTATAAAGGCCACTACTACCCTCCTAGTCATCAAATGTTTTCAGCTCAGGGAACTTCTGAGCTCAGTGCAGTTTCTGTATAATTCATAACTCTCAGTGGATTTATACTGACCTCTTGGACTCATGTCTACTTTAAGCATACCCAGTACTTGGCAAGAAGTCACACACTGTTCAAGAACCACTTCCCTTTACTTGCTTTGACACTAGTTACTACAAACTTAGTATGTTCTTGTTCTTGTACTGGAAAGGCATGAAATTACCCATCCCTGTCTGGGTCACTTGTGACCTTACAGACTTCTTTCACATTCCCATCTGTTGTTGCTTTTTCAGATTGAAGAGCCCTAACTCAGTTTCTCTGTATGTGGAACTCATCCCACTGTTTGATCATTCTTGATACCATTATCTGAACTTTCTCTGATTCTACTACATTCTGATTGGGAATGGGGAATCGAAATGGTGCACAATAGTCAAGGTGCAAATAGACTCTGATTACTCACTAGAATTCACCATCAAAAGTGACCCTTCCCCACCATCATACATCTTCGCAGTCTTGAGACACATAATGCAGTGCCATGCTCAGAGAGCTGACAATTACATCCCCCGAAACACTGGACAGAAGTTCCTATCACTAACCCAGTACAGTAGCTGGCACATACCAGAAAAGAAGAGAGGTAAAACTCTCAAAAGCATGCAGCTGTTTTATAAACACCTATGCTACACAGGATATAATCGGGCCATAATAAATTGCTTTGTCAGAACACTGGGAGGATGCATAGGCTTCATGAATCCCAGCTTTCCTTGGCTCTAAGGATAATACAACACTGAGCTACCTCTTTCTCAAAGAAGTCTCCTATCTCAGTCTAAATCTTACTGTTTGTTAAGCACATGCAATGCAGAGAGATGAAGCAAAACCAAACAAAATGGTTTTTTGACATGTGACCTCTTGCTTCCTGCACTGTAATGATGACACTGAAGTCAATAGCCCAGAGCACCCTTCTTATCAAAGTCTACTTATTCCTATCATTCTGCTGGTGACATATATGTATAAACACAGTGTATACACACTTTAAGAACTTTATATTCTGCTACAGAGCCACAAATGGATATTAGTTCCATGAGAATAATGACCAGGGAGTCACATGTGTAAATCTTCTACCAAAGAGTCAAGAATACAACCTTTAGTCTTTCTTGAGCCAAATCAACCCTCCCAAATGTCTATGTGTCCATATAAAAAACAACTCTTGCAGACTTCAAACTGTGACTCCAGAAGTCTATGCGTAGAATGGGAAACCACTGAAGTTTGTTTCTAGCAACATCTCAGGGCCCAAACTTAGTAATAAGAATAGTAAATTTGATTCTTTAATGGAGTGGATGCTATCCTCCAAGTAAGCCAGTATAAAGCAAAATTCTTTATCTCTGTTGCTACTACAGTAATTATAAATACTAAAGATTGGCCACTTCAATATTCTTTAAAAAAATTCAATAGCAAAATCATGTCATGTCCAATTCAGTGGCATTCTGCATTTACTTAAGGGTCAACAGAATGCTAGCAAAAGGCTAACTTTAGGTTCAATCTTCAGCTGCTGTAAGACATAGGAAAGCCAAAAAGTGTTCATTTAGGACCTTGAGTTACTTGAAAGGAAAACTAAAGAAGATTACAATCCACAGAAGGGATGCTACTCTCAACTGAGTTCCAAAGGCACTGAAAAAATCAAATTGCTGACCTGCAACAGAAACTTAAGGGAAGAAAATATCAGATTGACGTGAGTCTTCAGGCTCCAGGACAAGAGAAACTGAGATGTTCCTGCCACAGGGCATTAGGAAAATGTTGGGAGATAAAAAAAGATTCTGAGTCGTCATACAGCATTGACCTCTACAAAGCACATGTCAGAGTGGCTTGGTCTTTGAAAAGACAAGAATCCTATACAGCTTAGCTGAAAGTTAGTGGCTTGTTCCAGCCAGCACAAAGTTGCAAAACAAGTAATTAAATCTGAATAGTTTCAATGGTCACAAATTTTATTCCTTCTGGAATTCACTTCTACGTGGTATTCTAGAACAAATACTCTTGCTTGGCTAAAGTGATTTCCACTGTAGAGATATACAGACGTCACAGCTGATTTTTTTTTTCCCTAACTGCAATCATTAATTTGATATTTATAATGCAAAAAGTTTTCAGAAATAACAGAGATAACGTAACATGGAGTTCCACTAAATTAAACATTTTGTGGCTGTAAATGCAGGAGACCATTCATTAACGATTTCATTTCTGGGTCACCAGGTTGCATTAAACTAAATCAAGGAGGAGATTTTACCAAGCACTATAATCCAGCTTCCTGTGTTGTAATTAAGTATTCAATATATTAATAGAACATTGAACCAGAAAGCATGCAAGAAACACATAGGGTTTTTTAATACCATGGTTTTAATAAAATTTTTGTGAAATAACGGAAACTGTGGAGCATGAGGGAAGTGAAACATTTCCTGTATTTCATAATTTGCTTTAGCAGGCATACATGAAATAGATCACAAATGCAAGAGAATTGCTTCAGTTTTCAGTGGGGCTTTTTTTGGTTCAATTAAAAGAAAACCCACTGTTGTATTTAACTTTACATTTTTCTCATTTTGCCTTGCCCAAAGCCTTAACTATAGATCTAACTCAAGTTACTTCCAAAAGCTGGACAGTCTCTTCTCTATTCAGGATTTTTTCTTTTATAAAGGCTTTTCTTTCAAATAGGACAAAAAGTTAGTATTTTCTTGTTGTAATTAAATATACTGTTAGTTTCTTTTAATGCTTCAAACCATTACATCTGGTAAAAGTTTTCTTATTTTCTTGTGGTGCAGTTTTTCTGTGAGACTGTCACTGCTTTTATCATTTCTTCTCCACTGTTTGTCCAGTTTAAGTCTTACCAAGAATGAAGACTGTACAGTTGTACATTGTCAATATAAAATATCATGTAGGTACTTATGAGAGAATGTTTCCTGAGGATTAATTAGTGTTTTGACAAACATCGGGGATGGAAAACTTGGTGGCTGAAGCAACATTTTTGCTCAGCACCTTAATCATCTACATAATGGAGCATAGAGGGCCTTAGTAAAAGGTTTGATTGTGTTTTTTGTAGATTTTGCTGGTGTTCAACTTCTCACCAATAGCCACAAAAATGAACCTGAGTAATAACTGAGTGTTATTTGTACATCATACCTTTCATCCGGGAATCTTAAAAACTTTTTAAGGGTGCAAACATATTGCTCTCTTTTCTGCACAGCTTACAGCCATGCACACCAAAGTGAGGTACCTGATACAGAATCAAACAGGATTTAAGGTGGGAAGCTCCTAACCTGGGATTTAAACTGGGAAGAATCCACCACTTTACTTAGCTATCTGTTGCCTCCTCTCAGAGCTGTGTTCTCAAAAGACACTATGAGGAATATTTAAGTTTTTACTGAACAAATTGGCTGAACTTGTGCACTAGGAAAAATATGACTGTACAGATATTTAAAGTCATGCATGAATACCAGGTATCATCTCTACAACAGAAAAAAATTTCCAAGTCATGAAATCACACCAAATACTTTTCAGAGCAATGTTTTCAACAGATTCCCTTTATCTGTGTCTACACTGTGAATGTGAAACTCAGTATTATTAAAAGGCACTGAATCATGATCGCTACTTGATTAGCCAAACTATATTCAAACTGTTGACATGTCTGAAACTTGACAGGGATATCATCTTTACTTACAAACGTACTACTAGAGGGAAGTAAGACTTTGTCCTATTTTCATTTGTCCCTAAAGGAAGATATAGTCTCATTATTACCTTAGTGAAGGCTCGGTAGCACAAACCACACAATTCCACCAGGTAGGCCAGAGTGAAGACAGCATTCTGAATTACAAAGCTTAGTAATTTTGAAAAAGGCTCCAGAAGACTCTGCAATGACATGATTTAGAGAAATCAATAACTGGTTGCCCAGCAAAACAAAAAGTATTTCAATTCTGAAACTCCTGAATCAAACAGCATTACCTTTGGCTCAGAGGTTATTTGCTGGGATTTACACTGTTTCAGCCAAATGGTTATTCTGTCTAACATTTGTCTTCATGTTTGTATGAGACATTAGAAGCCAAAAATTAGAAAATAAATTCACCTCTGACACAGTATTTTAAGAGATTCTGTAGTGTTTAGGCTGAAAACCTCACTGACCTCAGTGGAATTGCACTGCAGAACTTCCAGGGAATTTCATTATTATCTTTATTTTTAAAGAAAAAAGAGGAGTGGGCGGGGAAGAGAACATCAGGTCTATGTTCACATCCACACAGGAATGTAATCCCACCCACACTTTACTGTAACCTAGATTTCAAAGCTCTTCTCATTCTCCAAAGATTATTGGACTGCACAATTTTATGCTTATATATAATACTTTCCTAGCTAGAGGCTAAGAACACATTCATAAGAGTAGAGCAGGCTGGTTAAACCTGAGGCAACAGAGTTTTATCTTCTTGGAACTTACCCTGGTGGCACTAGTGGTAGGTATCTTCAACAAGCAAATCATGATTCTTAAACTAGAATCTAAAGAACACTGTAAACATATTTAAAGGCAAAAAAAAAAAAAAAAAAAAAAAAAAAAAAAGAGTTAGTAGCTTTCTGTGCACGTCTTGCTTTTATTGGTAGCAGCTATGAACAAGTTACAGCAAGTTATATTTTCAAGTAAAAATGATCCCTAATGATTAATATTTACTTACCTTGCCTAAACTGGCTTATTCTTGAACACACAATCATACCCCTTCAATGGTAACAGACAATAAAATTTCACTAAAGGGCTAGTTTAGAAAAGTTAACTATGCTGCTTTTAAGAGAAAAATTTCCTAGAAATATGTTTACACTGTAATGAAAATGGATTGGGTATAAAAAAAATTAAAAAGTGGAGTAGCAGGAGATACACACAATCTACCTAATTTTTTATTTCTGTGGTTGCCCTGGGCTATGACATTCTCACCCACACTCCAAGACAGGGCTGCAACTCACACCCTGTAACATCAGAATGCACCCTGGCAAAAGCTGTTCCAGGGGCCTTCTGGTGTTTTGCCATATGGTGTGATCAATTTTTCTTCTGAGTAATTCACACAGGTTGCAGCACTGAATGGAATTTTCAGGGTCTATCCATTGTCTTGCCTCATCCCTGCTGCAAACATCTATAACAAAAAAGAGTTACTTACGATCCTAGAGGAAGGAACAGGAGACGGAAAGTTCAGGAGCAAGCAATTGTTTTACTTGCATCAATAATGATACCTCCCATGAATAAAAAGATAATCGGAGTAAACACTCCATCTAAATATTTTGTGAATAGCAGATATGCAGTTGGAACTATTGAGATCCAATTAATTTCTTTTTATTTATTTCAGATAGACAAGATGCAACAGATTGCAGTGGCTAGTGCACAAAGGGAATGGTTATTGCCTTGTTTGGCTTTGTAAGTGATGCAGGATAGTGCCTCAATTTACCAAAATCTGAAGAGTCTTCAAGATCTGACTATTGCATAATAGTGTCAAGGAATTTAATATCATTCATGTAATTTGGTGGTGACACCCTATTTAAAAGACAAAGTCACAAAGTTAGATTTTGGATCCCTCAGCTCACACTGAGCAACACTGCTTTGCACAGAAGAAATTACTACTGGGCTCATTCATGCCATAGGAAATGAAGTCAGAATAAGGACATCAGAATTCTGTGTTTACTAGAAAGACTCAGAAAACTTTTTACTGTGTTTACTGAGAAGACATCTAGATATATACACACCAGAAGATAAGATCCCTCTGTACGTCCTCTGAGCACTCAGAAATCAGAATCCAAAGCGTCTACATTCAGTTTCCGCAAATATATTCTGATTACAGCCAGAACTACAACCTGGTCAGCCAAACAGGCTGGCTTCACTTCCCCGTAGTCTCAGTTCTCTCTGCCTGTCTGACTATTGTATACATTCAGCAAATTAATTAGGTGCTGCTGGTCTTCTTGAAAGTTTTGGGGTTTTTTAAAACCAGATGGATTTTTATGGCAAAAATGCTGATTCTCTCAAATGCAGTATTCTAATCTGACAAGGACAGGGCATGGAAAATGTAAAGGAAAAAAGCCAACAGGGGTGAAGAGTACCCTGGTCAGAGTTGTTATTGTTACCCAAAGAAAATATAATTAAAGGAGTGGGTCAGACATACAATAAATCCAGTCCTTGGGAAATATTAATTGAATCATTAGAAAATATTCACAACAACCCGCTCTGATTTCTCATCCACAGCTTTCCTACTGTTATGGTACACCCTGAGCAATGGCAGTATAGGTCATTTTAGATATACATACCTTGAGTGGCAAAACACAAGGGAGTTTAGTAAGGAAGGTCTGAAACTGATTACTAATTGTGGTCCAGAGGTTGCTGGGTGAATCCATTGGCAAGGCTTCCATAAAGGTAGCAATATTTTCCAAACACCGTAACATTGCACCTCCTGCTGGTAAATTCTTTTTGTTGTTTAAACCCTGGGAAACAAAACGAGAACTGTAAATAAATATACACATGCAGAAATGGTCCCTTAAACAGTATTTGGAACTGCTGAGGTTAATTTGTTCAGACCAAATACTACTTACTACTTCTCTAATTCTAATGATAAAATGTTGTGCAGGGAATTTGAACTGTGTACATGACAGTTAAGTCTAGTTTAGTTCCTAAAGTACTGACCAAAAGTTTGAGCCAAACTGTTATAAGCAGGGTCCTAACTCATAATCTGCTTAGACTAGCATGGTAGGAAAAAAAAAAAAAAGCAGATCTCAGTGGATTGCCCATGTTTTCCTTTGGGCAGCTTTAAACAAGATTGGTTCATTAATGTCCAGTAGACTATGTATGCTTTTTTGGCTTGTGTACTAGGGTTGGGTCTAGAAAGACATAAGCAGTTTTAAAGTGATGTCAAAATCTTTGTATGAAGTAACCACCATCTTCCTGGAAGAGCAGGATACGTGCAAGTGACTAGTGCTAAGGGGAGGACAAAAGTCATGGTAGAAACAAGCCAAGTGCATAGGAGGCAGTCAGTAAAAGGCAGGCAGTAAACCTTCAGACTAGTTAGAGAAACTGCCATCAGATACAGGGGAGAGGAAGAAATGAGATGTATGAGCAGAAATGTTCCTGAAAATGAGAAACAGTGCTGGGGAAAGGGATGGCCCACACTACCAGTGTGTAGGACAGCTCCAGGAGCTGCTCAGAGAAAAAAACAAAAACAAACAAACAAAAAAAAACACCACCAAAAAAAAAACCCAAACCAAACCCCAAAAACTATCAGTGAGAGCAAGACCCAGAAGGAAAATGGTGAGGACAGGCTAATCCTGCTTCCAGGGACTACAAAAGGAAAATTCACATTGCTTTTGGTGATGCAAGTTTGAACTTTTAATGAATGAGGAGAAATGATCCAATATGCCTGACAACGCTGATAAAACTAGCACCTTTAACAGAGCCAATTGCCAACATACCTCTAACAGCTGGCTCAGAGCAGCAATGGAACTCAGCTCACTGAAGTCCATAAGAGATGTGGCCAAGGTCCGTAAAAAACTTCCATCTGAAATTTGAATGACATTTTTGCACTGGCTGTCCATACAGAGGTAACCAAGAGGGTCAGAAATGCACTCAAGTACCACACATTACCTTTAATATTGCTCTGGAAGAGCTGGGGGAAAATGCCATTGGGAGCCAGCTGATGGAACACACAACGGAGGAACTGTTTGGCCACACCTGCAGCATTTCCAGGGATCATCATGCTGAAATGAAGGGAAAGAAAAGGAAGAAGAAAGAAATTGCATTGCAGATTAAACCATTCTCAAAGCTGACTACATGGAGAAAATAAAGATGATCCTATTCTTTTTCATTTTGGAAGTGTTCAGTTACGAGTGAGACAGTCAAAACCAGAAGTGTCTCAATCCCCCAAAACAGTTCAGCATGTTGATTTTTATTTCAGCTCGACTATGTAGAGCTGAAAAAGTTATGTACACATACCTGAAATATTTAAGTCTCAAAAACCAGTTACATTTTTCCTGACTCTCCAACACAGTTTTACTTGTGAGTCATCTGAGTTTGAAATATAATCCTGCTCTCACCTATGGTATTTCAGTGATACAGGATGAGGTTCTTGGCTTTTTATCATAAAACATATGAACCACAGGTAAACACACACATTACAATATTGATTTGCCTCTTGCAGTTTCCTTGAAGAGATTAATTACTTCTTAATTACTCATAAAATTAATGGTTTCATTTAAAAAGCTGAAGTATTTACTCATAAACTGCACCTCTTAACATGTTTTTCAGCTTCCCAAAATAAATTTATCCTATTCAGCATCTGATTTACATAATGAGACAGGGGTTCTCCATGGCCAAGGATGATTCACTTGATTGAATGTATGAAGATAGTTTATCAAGACAAATACTGAGCACAAAACAAGCTTGATAAGGCTGCAGTGAAATTGCAGAAACAGAAGGCATCTTTAAATTATGTCTGAACCTGAGTTTTTTCTAGTTCAATACATATGAATATGGGTTCCTATTCATCTTCAGAACACGAGATATTTGAAACAAGTGGGAAAGGACAGGTTTTTCCTCTTACTCACAAACCTTAGAGAAATTTTTAAAAAGTTAAATTTAGTTAATTTTAGGGCCAGGAAGGATGATGGTTTAGATTAACTGTTTCATTTTGGCCAAGGTATCCTTTGCTACCATACCTTTCAGCTTGATTAGAAAAACTGGTACTTGATGCCAACCTAGAATTTAAAAAAAATAAAAAAAAAAAAGTGAAGCTCATGTGCTTTTTTTGTGTTTCATTTTTAAGTAAGCCAATAAAGTATCATTTTCTTTTAAATAACAAACAAGAATTTTAAAGAACATTTAAAATGTCACCAGAAAGGTCTTCTGAAGAGCACATAAATTCAGTCAAATAATGTTTGCATAACATACACACTCTGTTCAGTCTTGCAGTCTCACAAATACTTAAGAGCTCTAAAGATAAATCTACTTGCCTCCCTGTACTAGCATGAAGATAACAAAATAGAGCTATTGCCTTACATGCACATCATGGATAATTACTAACCTAGAGAGATTTGGAGAAAAAAAGATTGCCAGAAGCTGCCTACTGGCTGAATTGTTTCTGATTAACACAGCAACACAGACTAAGCCAAAATTCTCTACTTGGCAGCCTAAAGTGAGGCTTCTAGTTCCAGATTTTGGCACCTAAATAACTGGCTTAATTTCAGAAACACCAAGTACCTACAACCTCTTAAAAAGTCAGATGAGAACCCATGAGAAATCGGATCTCAAAAATCAGGTCATTTATTTTAGCACCTAAATATAGACTTTAAAGCCAAATATGGGCATTCAGTGATGAAAATCCTGAACACAATTTTAAAGCAAAATCATGCACTTCAATATCCAAGACATGTAAACACATAGAATATCAAAGCAACACACCTTTAATAGAAGAAGCCACTAAAAAGCAGTTATAAAGATGGACACTGGAAGCATCTCTTACATGCGAAATACCATGCAATTTTTTACTTTCATCTGCTGCACATTATTATTTCAGTGGGTGTAAGTTGGTAAGTATAAACAGAAAGTTCACAGATCTATGCTAATTTACATCTGCTGATGATCTGGCCTTCACTGTTTAGACTCACAATCCTTTTAGGTTGGATTTAGCTGCTGCTCAATCCTCTGTCAGACTCTATTCTGAGGGCAGTTTCTTCTCTAGTCACTGTTGCAAAACCCAAAAAGGACCCTACAGCAGCTCAGTTGAATGCATCAGTGTAAACTAAAAAGGACAGTGATTTTCATTAACGATGCATGACAAACCAGGGATGCAGCATACTTTCAACAGTGCAATCTCAGGATGCATGATGCAGGGATCTGAAGATTATATTCTCTTCAACTGTCCCAGCATAAAACAGAAAGATTCATTAGAGTCCCTGACTCCACTGTCTTTAAGAGGTGTCCACACTAAATTACAACACATGAATTCTGGTCTGCAAGGCTAATTCTGGGTGAAAATAGGTCTGAAGCTACCTTCAAGCAATACAGACCTTGATTCCGGAACAACTGTAGCACCACCTTACATTAAAGCACATGAGGATTTCTGGAGAATGTACTGAGACTAATCACATGCCAATGGACATTCCATTTATTTTCAAACATCCTCTAAAGCACAGAAATACAAAAGCATAAAATATTTATTCTAAAACAAATTAAAGTCCTTTGCAATGTTTTCCTCTCCTTTTGAATGCAATAATACAAGTGTGGTTTTTATGATAAATGAAACGTTCGGTTTCTAACTCTGGAAAAACTTCCTGAGACATGAACTACACTAAATACTTGGGAACATCTGAAAAACTTTTAAAAATTTACAGCTTGTGTGTATTTATCATTACTACTCTAAATATTTTGTTGCACAAAGGCCACGAACCCCCCATTTTTACCTCCACTTTGCAGACCACAAAGCAGAACAGTAAACGGATGTATTCAAATTTGTACATGTTAAGAACAGAAGTTAAGCTTTTCAAAGCTCTTCACTACCTCAAAAGCCAAATGTCACTTTCAAACAGGGCTCTGATGCTTGGAAAGCTAAACTTCACTGGAAATTAATTAAATAAGAATGAACAAGTCAAAAATCTGATTCAAGAACTCGAGCAAAATTTAAGTGCATGCCAGAGTCTTAGAAACATACAAATCTCTAATTGTCAGTAATTTGAACACAGAACTTTTTACCTTCTGAAAATCCCAATAGATGCCTACCTATATCTGTGGGTACCCAAATAAATTTGGAAAATTTTTCTGTGTATTGTTTAAGGATTCTGAAAGATCCGAGATTTCCTAACTCCTTGCCTCCTCTTCTAAGCATGAAAGTCATAGTTCTTTTTCTAAGAATAAAAATACAGTAAGTCTAATTCATTCTCACTTCTGCTGTCAGATGAGTATTTGGAGGTAATGACACAGCACTGCCTGATGAAAGACAGTAACTTAGGTTATACATGAGGGACCTGAATGCCTCTCTGCTTGTATATGCTACTTACTTTGCATGTATTCAAAATTATTCCTTTGTGGGAAGCCTCTTACTGGATTTAGGATTTGTCAGAAATGACAGCCAGTAGGAATAACACAGGACATTTTGCAGGAATATCCCATGTTGCATGTCATCTGTTGCTCTAAAACAATCGGCTGTCTCACTCCAAAGACTCAGCATTTCTTTCTCAAAGCACAGAAAAAAGGTAGCCCACTTGGCCCTCATCCCTTGATAATTTATCTTCTAAATCATTTACTCTCTGTGGCTTTAGTACTGCTGTATTTACAAGAATCGTACAGAATTGATGGCATCTGTCTAAATTAGAAACTTTGTCTCCATCAGAGTTCAGTAACAGTGACAGCAGGGAATTGCAGCCTTGCACTTCATGGAAATGGAGGACTTGAATAGCTTCAGTGTTTAAATGGAATTAGGAGGTAGTGGAGAAAAAGAGCTGTGAAGAACTGTGCCCCTGAAGAAGTCAGAGTCAAGCAATTTTTACTTCAGTCATGGAAAAGAACACAGAAATGTAGAGCTGTGCATCATTTCTGCACTTCTAGTGCTGCTCAGAACTTTATTCTGAAACATCCCCTACACATCCCTCCCACCTCTTAGGCAGGAAGATGTGGAAGTGGCCAAGGCAGGAACTACAAGTAATAAAATAGTAATGGTGCACTTCAATTATCCTATGCACACTGGTGTAAGTCACAAGAGAAAAATAATAGACACCAAATGTTGAAGACCTTACCAGAGACAATCTCATATAGCAGCTGGTTAGGAAGCCTTCATAAGGAGATGCAAACTCTTTAGTTAGTCTAAATTAGCATACAAAACATGGCTGAAGAGCCTGAAGAGATTCAGGTATGCTAATGAATGATCATACCTAAGGAGTCAACAGTCCTCCAGGACCGACAATATGCAGAAAAGCTGACCACATTTGTGCACTGCTTCCAAAGCAGGAACTACATAGAAGTGAAAAATTCTGTCAAAGCAGCAAGAAGAGGTAGCCAAGAGAATCCAGTCTTTACAAGCACAGAAACTGTTTAAGAACATTACATTGGAAGCACAAGGGCCAAGATACTCCATCTGTTAAGAAAGACTTCAAGAGAGCAGAAGAAAGGAAAGGTGAGGGAGGTTATTAGAAAGAAGAAAGCTTCTTTCAAAAAGCTGAAGTCATGTCTCAAATTAAAGCAGAAAAGAGCATAAATTCTGACAAATCCAATGTAAAAAAAACTACAAGAAGGCAGACCAAAAAATAGTTCAAGAAGCAACTAGCAGAAGGAATAAAAACTAACAGTAAATTTTTCTTGAAGTAAAAACAGGATCAAGAAGCACACCAACTGCTGCATCAATTGCTGTTCAGGTAATAAACAGGGCACTCAAGGAAGGTAACAGTACTGCAGAAAAACCTAATTAATTCTTTATATCACTGCTTACAGTGGGACAAGCTGGGGAGATTTCCAAGCTGGAACCTTCTTTTGGAGGGTAAAAGGGGAGGACATCAAAGTTGCTGCACAGAATTGAAGTGACAGTGTGGAAGAAGTTACATAAGAAATTGATAAAATGATGAGTAACAAAGAAGCAGACAGAACCAGATGTTATCCACTTAAGAGTTCTAAAATATGTAACTTCATATAGTGAAGTTTATGTAAACCCAATTCCAAGCACAAAATTCTTTCAATCATATGAGAGAGAGGAAAGTCCTGAATTTACCTTCCTACAGACTGCATGATGTCCAACAGCAGAGGAGCAGCCAAGTCTGGACTAAGGTGAATGAAGGTTGAGAGCACAACTATGGCCAGGCCTAGTGTTTCTTCATCATATTCTTCAAGAATAGCCCCACAGTCATGGCACCTGTAAACAGTTTTAAAAACGGATATTAACAAATTTAAAACAAAGAATTACTACATACACATATATTATGTCTTTTAAAAGTACTATTATTTGGTACATACGATTCAAAACTTATTTAGAAAGATAATGTAATTGTGATCTTTCTATAATTAATAACAGTCCATGGCTTTCAAAAGTTAATAAAGCTTCTCATGGCTTGCACTGACTGTTTCTTCACTGACAAATGAAAGAGGACCATGGGGCAGGCCTTGCTTTGGGTTCTTCATTGCTAATTGTTAGCCATTCCCCTCAATGTATTGGACTGCTTCTGTTTGCACTGTTCAAGACAAATCTGAAGCAGTGAAGTCCTCAGCAATGTGAACACCAGCCAGTTCATGCAACTTGGGCTCAGGCAAGGGCTCAAGTCCCTGGCATTCTTCTATTAGCAGCACAGACATGAACAATGACACTCACAGATTATCTTAAAGAGATGGAACAATTTCACACTGTCCTTCATGTTGATCATAATTCATGACTGACAAGTTAGACAATTAGGAAACAATGATCTGATTGGTTCCCACCATAGTTATAGCTATTAAGAAAGAAATGAAAGGACCTCTCAGGGGCACAGAACCTTAGATTTCAGAAAAGTCTCCCAGGGCAGATTTGCTGCTGAGACACGCTTCCTGAAATGCTCAGAGACAACTAACTGATGAAGTTCTGAAAGGGCTCTGTAAGGTCTAATTATAAAGGGGATGTCAGATTTAGGAGAGATGAGACAGGCTTTCACAACCTACAAAAAAGGCAATCCAACATGGGAAACTGGCTTATATCAGCCCAGTAGGAAGGCTTGCTTAATTTGACTGATCAGTTGCTAATGACTCCAACAGATTATGATATTTTAACCGAACGGAATTGTATGGCCAATTTTCTTATCTTTGTTACTGAACAGAAATATGCCAACAAAGTCATGGAAGTCAAGCTCACCTGGTCTGTATGTTTACAGGTGGGGCTAGAGTTTGCTGAAATGGCCAAAAGAGGTCCCAGAGATAAGTCTAACTTTTAGGATGCCTCACTTTGTCACATGATAAGGTCCACTTCCAGTCATAGCCTGCCAATAGCACTATCTTTCTCCAGAGATCACCATGGCTTGTCTGTCTAATGGACTGAGTGCAGGAGCATAAGGAAAAACTTCTGGTTTCTCTTTCCCAATTTTTGACTATGCATGGCTCCCTGCTAACTGCTTTACTTTTCAATTAAATGAGTACACTTAAGTTTAACACTTCCTTCAGAGGCATTTTAACCAACCAATTAAGGTTTGCAGCTTTTGGGATCATTGACTATCAGCATTAAAAATGCTATATTGGTTACACATGATTACACATAAACAGTTACCTATTTCAACAGAAACCCAAAGCTCTTTTAAAAACAGCTTGCTTTTTTTTTTTTTTTTCCAAAGGCAAAAGTAATTTCTGATGTATCATGAAGAACCCTTGATTTAAAACAGCATGGAAAGTGCTTCCCCTGCCCTCCATGCACACACAATAGCCTGAGTCATTATTTCACCTGTGCAAACTCACACAGGTCCTACTTAATTAAAAGTACATCTTGCTGGCGGCATTTAGAAAATGTTTACCTCAAAGTAAAAGAAATAATTAAAAAGCTTAGCACAGAGATATATGATAGAATGGACTGTATATTAGATATATATGTATATTTTATGTATATATATATTTATTATGTATATATGTACATATGATATAAAGTATATCTATACTTGGCCTATTTGAAGTTCAACTAGTTCTTTGAAAGGAACAGAAAAAGAACTTACTTGTCAGTCATCACAATGGGCTGGTCATCAGCAAATTCTTCTGGTGCAGGTACAAACATACTGACAATACTGGGTGCTGACAGCAAGCTAGATTTTGTGGCACCTTAAGACAATTGGGGGGGAAAAAAAAAAACCAAAACTCAGTAAACTGAAATCCAAATTGCTTGAAGAGCAGAGTTCTAAAGAAGAGCCATAATGGTTTTACTGTACATAGAAGTAAGAAATAAAGTGTACATACAAAAGGATATATAGCACATTCCTTGCTTCTGCCAGATTATGACAATTACCTGGAACTATCAATTTTAAAAAACCCAACCAACCAAACAACAAAACACTTAAAAAAATCCTTGGTAAAAAGATAACAAAGAATGAAAATTCCAGGAAGGTAGATGTAATTTATCTACTCAGTTTTCACGGAGAGAGGATGATTCTACAGTTGCTATGAGACACCAGAATATCTGCAGTTTTCCACCATATTTCTTGGGAATTACCTTCCCATAATTCTTGGTGACATGAAGAATGAAGTATGTTCTTATGTCTCAACAACAGAGCATAAATCTATTCATATCATCCCTAACGAGAGTCATAGGAGAGAAATCAGGAAAGGCCAGCTAAAAGAAATAATTCCTAAGGAGATGAGAAACACTGAGAACATTAGAGGGCTGATGATTAGAAATGCTTTCTGTTGAAAACCTTCACAAGCATCTTTATTGTGCAAAGCTGAGGTGTTCAGTCGGAGGCACAGCCACTGTGATCATGACAACATGTGGAGTTCCTTTTGCCTTTGGTACTTTTTGTGCACCTAATTTCTGACAGAAGCTTGTTTCAATAGGAAAGGTTATGTATGATGGAAGATTCAAACTCTTGGCTTCTCTGAGTTCTGTTTTTCCAAATTACAGCAATACAGGGTAGTCTGACAGTCTAACATCTCTCCAGGATGGTGGTCTTCCTACCTTAGTCCCTTTGTTTTCATTAAGCAGACAACAGCAATAGCAGAAAAAAAAACCATACAGGAGAGCAACTGTCCAGCTAGTCTGGTTAAAAAAAACCTCAAGAAGAATCATCACTCATTCATGAGCCGTCAGAAAATTGGATCAAAGCTACTGTGATGTATGAGGTATGTCATTCATCTGAGATGTCTTGTGATGATCATTCAAATAGCAGCTTTGTTCTCCAGGTTACTAAAACAGATTGATACTCGATTTTTAAAGAAAAATATCTCTCTTAGTTGCCACATGTAGCTGACAGGAGACAGCATTACTCCTGTTGCTATACAGTTCAGCTCCAATAATGAATCCAGGGACCTCAGCTGGTAGACACCATCATTATGTATACAAGCTGTCCCCAAAGGCATCTCATTCTAAAGACCAATTTATGAAAAGTTGATTTTGTGAATCAATTTTCAGAAGAGTAGCAATGCCCTTTTGCTGACAATTCAACCATAGATTAAGTAATCCACTACTGACTTTCCTGCTGGTTGCTTCAAACTTCAGATTCAGATTTAACGTTAACATTAACCTGTTCTGATAATATTAAACTATGGAAACAGGGGGAAGCTTCTCCACCTGAGCTAGGTTCAGATGGAATTTCCAGTGGCAGACTTAGCAGAGAGATCAGGTCAAATGGACACTGAACTAACCTCTGATCCTTAGTGGTGGTCCCTCCAAGTCGGGGTTTAGGCAAACAGGGACATTGCAGAGCCGCTTTCCATGCTGTATCTGCTCTGTGAATAAATACAGAACTTTAGTCTCCAGAATTATGAATCCAGCACTTGTCACCAGCACCACAAGTCTTCAACACTTAAAACAAGAGAAAGACAAATACAACAGCTACTGAAAAAAACAAAGAAAAGACTTAATTTTTTTAAGCATAAGAAGGAGGGGAGGAAGGGAAGGGGAGACAAAGATTTTAAAAGTCCACAAAGGAAAAAGATAACCTAATACCAAAGGAGACATTTTAGAAAAGTAAGTGGTCATTAAACAAGAAAGGAAGTGCTAGCCATATAGATTCAACAAGATATGGAATATATGAGTCACAAAAAGAGAAAGACAATGTTCGGGAATACCAAGAGACTAGAAGTCAGGTGTATTTTGTGCTGACAGAAGCTAGACAAAATTATTTTATTTTATAGATAGCAAGCTTGGGAAAAGAGTGGTTTGAAATAAGAAACGAAAGAGACACATGCTACCTACCAATGTTAAAAAAAAAAAAATTAAGCATGCATGAACCAAGCCTGCATCATATACTTATGTGAGATAAGACTATTTCCTAATTGTTATAGCCGAGTATAATAAGTCTTAAAATTGTGGTGTGACACTGAAGCAACAGTAACCTTAAGCATTTGTCCTGAAAAGAAAACCAACCTGTTTTCTGTCCAAATAATAGTTTTACTTTGAAGCTAGTGGTTGAAAAAGGGACTGAGAGATGCAAAGCTTTCTGGAAAATAACATTTTACTTTGTAGCACCATGCCTGGAGGCCTTTAGCTGGAATGAATGGTGGAGGGAAAAGTTATAGGTGTTTTGAAGAAAGCTAGTGGACTTGGAATAAGATTAACAAGACAGAATCCCTAAGTGGTTTTGAGTACTGACTTGTTCCTTCTTGAATACAGGGTAACCACTTCTTGCAGAACGAAAGCAATAACTTTTTAATATCTAAACCCCTGCCTGAGAAACTAGGTGATACCAGCTAAGCCAGCTCAATAAACAAACTAACTTAACTGCTGATAGGGCAAATACATCCTCATTGTTATCGCTGACAAATTCTGACATTTATGATTTAAGGATCTCATGCTGAGCATGCTACTCAGCAGACTGGAATAGGAAGGATAATCCTGAACTATATACCATACCTTTAGCCATTCTTCAGCTACAAGATTTAGTATGATAGAACCTGACACTGAAGACTGAATTAAGCAAAAATTTTAACTCAGCTGTCCAGAACTGGTGGCAAGACAATCATTCAGCATGCTAAGTTCCATGTACATTTTAAGCATTCCTTTCACTGGAAGAATCTGGATCTGCTGATAAATTCCTAAGAAGCACAATTCTGTAATGTCAGTAACATCAATATAGGCAATAAAATATCTAGCATTTATGATAAGCCAGAGTGAATTCATTGATTAGTGATGCCTGCTATGAATTTGGTCATAACAGAAAATCTTTTATAAAAGAAAAAAATAAATAAAACACTTGAGTAATGAGGAAATTGTATGCTTAATTCAGTTTTCAGAACTTTGCATTCATAGAGAAATAACAGCTCAGTAAGTGAACAGAAACTTCAGGTGTTCAGCATGACTGACAAACTTCTCTAAAGAAAAATCAAACTGGCTGTTAATAAGGCACAACTCCTTGGTGTACCAACACCACTGTAAACATGCATGCAAATAAACGATTCCATGCACCAGGGATGAAAGTCCTATATCTAATGAAACCAACAGTGGTACTTCCATTTCATTCAATGAGGCCAGGAAATAATCCAAGTAATATGCAAAATTGTAGGGACACCACTGTAGCAGAAGGGCTACCTCCCAAATATGTAACTATTCCAATTCATACCAGGTAAGAATCTGGTAGTGAGTACAAAGTTTCACTTTAGACTTGAGATTGATTACTTATCTGCGATGGTAGAATAGAAATATTCACTTTTTTAATGGACTAATACAGAAAGTAATTGGTTTAGAAAATAGAAATAAAGAACAATAAATGCAGCTCACCAGTATCCCAAGTGCTGATATTGTGGGGAGCACTAGACTGGTGTTCCAGCTGCCTCTTCATTAGCTGGTTCATTGTCAGAGCTCCCAAAGAGCCTCTTTTCATTTGTCTGAACTGAGCTGCAAGTCAGAAATGCAAAAGGATTTCAGGGGCTCAAACAACATGTAGAACTACTCTTATTTCCTGATCTTACCAGCCAGTGTGAGATAAATACTGAAAGGACAATGACTGTTTGCTCTAAGCATCCTGATCAAATTAATATGCACTTTTCACAACTACACAGGGTACAATTCTGGCCCCAGTGACATCAGTTATAAGTGACTTGGATTCAGGATCTCAACCACTGTGTCAACTGTCAGTGCCTTTTTGTCTCTAAATATCATGGAAGATCTCAAAACACTCGGTATCTGTGAAGGTAAGGTACTACCCCAAAATTCCCATGCTGACAGGTGATAAATGTATACTTGAATCTCACTCATATACAATGTACCAAGGAAGGAAACTCTGTCTCCTCTCAAAGTATGGAGGACTGCCCTGTTCACACTTACCACAAGAAAACAAATTTATTGTGTACCATCAGCACCCTTCATGGGTGACACAACCTGAACAGGCCTCCTAAATACCCACCACTCAGGCATAACACCTGCACATTCTTCTGTAGCGTGAAGCCAGCATGCCTTTTGTAACTTCACTACTATTCTTCTTAAAGAGAGCTATCAAGCAACAAGCATTTGATTTTTCCTCATCTGACTCTTTACAATACTTCTTTAAATGCATATTACCGTTTCCTCTGAGAGATGTGTCTCACTGGATAATGCTCACACACAAAAAAAACCAACCCAAACAAAACCAAAAACCAATTGTAGATTTAAAATTTAAGACTTTTTTGGTCATGTATTTTCTCACTACTTAAACAGAGGAAGAAACAGATCACATACAACTCCTAACTTTCTTACTTTTTCCTCCATTCATAAGAAAATTCAAACTGAGCAAGTATAATACATTCGCTTTGACAGTTGAGTCTGAGCAATGTATTTCCACCACTGAAACCAAAATTATTCAGTGTGAAGACAGAGTTTTAAGGCCCTGCCTTAAAGGCATGTGAGACGAATCTCCATGCAGAAAAGCTTTTAAAATGTTGCCTTAAGTATATGTTTAAGTGCTTTCCTCAACAGGGCCTTAAGCAAGGGGAATAAAGCAAAATCTCCTCCTAATTATTATTTTAATCTGCAACCTCATTCAACATCATTAAAAATATTATTAACATAAATACCAGGTAGTTCCATTCTAAAATTACAAACAGCACCCAGCTAAGCTCTGAAAATAAACCTGGCATTTCACATTATTAACAGTGATGAAGAAGTACAGACAAGGGATAAACTACAACTATCAAAGCTCTGAGGGATTGAGTGCCTTCTCTTAAACTTGCTCTACTCAGTTTCTGCCTTCTCTTAAACTTGCTCTACTCAGTTTCTGCCTTAGAGTTTCAAATTCAGAGAAAGCAAAGAACTCCTTAAGAAAACAAATACAGGCCCTGAAAAATAATAAACACAATTATAACTCCAGTGGGAATCTGGACACAAATCATTTTATTAGGTGAAGTACTTTAAGTTTTCCCTCATTATATCCTTTCAGTGTATCAGAGTGCATTTAAACTCTATTTCTTGTCCAAGTACAAACCTCTCCAGCATTGCTGCAAAGCAGTCCTTGTATAACTGAACTTCTGGAACTGAACCAGACCAAGAGACCATTCCATGTTTCACTTTTAAAAGTTATATTGCAGTTGCCTTTCACAGCAAATTAGGAGAAAAATAGAATTTCCATCCTTTCCAGGGCAAGGATTTTAAATAGATGCTTTATCACTTTATCAAGCATAGAATTTCCTGATGAAAGAACAGTAATTAATGTTAGAACTGACAAGACTGCTTGGAGTGCAGATGAATGTCAAAATATAGAAAATTATCTCTTTGAATTTTCTTCACAGCTTTAATTTAAAAAATTTCATGCATATTTCACATTATCAGGCTATTGTTGAGCAGGTTTGGATTTCCAGGGTTATTTACCTGATTTCTCAAGGACAGTCATGATTTCAGATACTGATAAGAAAAAAAAAGTTAAAAAAAAAAAACCTAGAGAGCTGCCAGTCTTTGAACAGTGTTGGAGCCAGGCTGATTGCTGTGAACCAGCACATGACTTTTAATACCTATGACTGACCAGTGGCATAGGGAGGGAATTTTTCCTTGATTGGTTTGTCTACAAGAAACCTAAGAATCATGAGATGAATAGTAACCTTCATAGAGTAGCTGGTGAGCCTTTCATACATTAGCTAGCAACCTGGTCAGTCGTCTCCCTGTCGGTGTGGAATTCTCTGCTCAGGAAGAGAAGTCCAAAGGCAAAATCTTCCTATCACAGTTAATGATGTATGCTTTCTGCAGCCAGGCACTGGCTGTACAAGTAATGTAATCTATTTGTGTTACAGAAGTGCCTTGTGCTCACAGTTCTGATCGGAGCTTATTACACAAAGCACTGAAAAGGCTCATAGTAGAAGGTCAAAAATATTTCAGTCTAAGTGGACAAGACACAGTGGAAGCATTCATGTCCCTTTTTGCAGTTGGAAACTGAGACACACAGAAACAGGAAATAAATATTTACAAAGGAATGTAGGCTCAATATCATACAGATACTATTCCCAATTTAATATATTGGAATTTACAGGAATACCTAGGACTCGGTGAAACCAGAGAGATAGCTCTGAACTAGCACCTCTTTGGCGGCTTTAGTAAATAACATCTGTATCATTAGGTGGCCAACAAATGTACTCGGACTACAAGACGTGCATGACATGAGATGCTTGTGGTAAAACTGGAGAGGAAACCGCTAATTTGGAGTACTCATCTAGCATGTCTAAAATAACATCTTCCTTTAATAGGCCAGACACCCCTTCCAATCAAATCAGCAGATGCTGAAATTTCAGAAATTAAAGCTTTTCTACAGCAATCTGAAATTGCAGTTCAGCAAGATGGTTGAGCTGATCTAGCAGCTCACTGGTATCAGCACAGGTCATCATTTCCCCTCCCTTTTCTACTAGTCAGAGGCTTGCCCCATCAACCTGCGGATGTGTTACTTAACATTACCTAGATGGACGAGCCATTTTGGATGTTGTCAGTGGTCTAAAATGCCTCCATCTTTCAACGTTACCTACATCTGCTCTGTTAATCCCTGTGTCCAAATCTACTTAAACCAACCCAGTTCACTTTCCATTGAAATGGGTATGGGGGTCTCAGATAAACAGTTACTGCATTTCAGCAAGCAGCTGAGGAAGTGGCACTTCAAGGAATTTTACAAAAACCACAAGATATTTTTTTCCTAAGGTACAGCAAGAAATGTACTAAAGACCATAGTAACAGCCCTTTGGAGCTCTCACTCTGTGCACTGGCAGCTGACAATGCTTTCTCTCACCGGAAAATAAATATTCAGCTTTAGTGAAATACTGTCTTCAGCTGCTACCTAGTCTAATTCAAGAAGACTACATTTGTCAAATTTGCTGTGTCACAACAGAAAATCTTGCAGCCATTAATTGCTAAAATCCTGCTGACCACCAGATATTTAACAGATCTAATGATACCCAACACTTCCTGTGTTGTACTTCCAAGAATCAATGAAACTCAGAGGAAGGCATTTACCATACACAATATGCATCTGATACACAAATACTGCAACTCAGATTTAATCCTCAAACCAGAGCTAAACTCACTTGATATGGAAGAGTGACTACTTGTCTCCGGGACACCTGCTTCAAGGGTCGGTGCAGATGATGACTCTCTTGGCATTTCCAGTGTCGAAAGTCCTTTGGCAGCAGGATCTGCATGTGAAAATTGTGCTTAATCTCTCTGTATTTAAAATCAATAAATATTTTCCATCCACTTCCTCCTTGGATGCCTTTTTCACATCTTTTCAGTCATCCATTTGCCCACCATGTGGGATTCCCAGCAGTTTTAAAAGGACTCTCTGTGTGTGTCGTAAGACTTTTTAAGGCACGGGGATCTACTGCTTAATATCACTTTTTAACAGAGATTTCTACCTATGCTTTTGAGATCTCAGAACTAATAAACGCACATAGAGTTCGATTTTGATCCCACTCAAGAGTGATTATCAGAACCACCAACATGGAAATAAGAGAGGTACCACTGATGTAAAGCTACTTTAAGTGACAGCTTAGCATCTTTTAAAAACCTTATCCCCAACATGTTATCACAGTTTGCATTCAAAAGGCTGCTGATCTAGCAGTTGATCCTAAAGATTCAAAGAGTTTAAGATTCTATCATTAAAAGAAAAATAAGCCACTAAAACTAATGTTTTTATTTTATGATAACTGATACTGTCAGTATGGGAAGAATAATGCAAAAAAATTTTGAAGCGTTGAAGGCTGCTTTCCACACATCTTATAAAAAATAATAGGTATCTATGCTGTACAACTTTCAAGCAGTTTCAAGGATGACAGTGTTAGTTACTGCATGAAAACTGGCCCTTACTAATGGTCAAAAAAAATCTAAGTCTAATTGCACAATTCTTTCATGACCATTCTTCTCTAAGAACCTATGTGAAAGGTTCCAAAGCACTCTGCTCTCCTTTGTTTTTACAAAGGTCCAGTGGCTTTTCAGCTTACTGGAACCATAAAGGGGACGATGGGCCTGAAACATAAAGGGAACAGCATAACTACAATAACACCAAATTATTTCTCCTTGTAAAAGCAGAGTATCATAATAGGAAATTACACTATGGTTCCCTCTGAAGCAATTAAGAAAGTGAGGTCAGGAATGCATAAATACTCCCCTCACTTCACTGGCAACAAAGAACTGAGGCTTGAAGGATTATTTCCTATTTTAATTAATATGTTAAAAAAAGACTGGTAAAATTCTAATAACTGAAAAATCCTGGGAAAAAAAAAAAAAAAACAGCCACAGAAGGAAAGAGGCAGCAGCATACAGTTTTTAAACCTGTTTGACAGATCCAATTGGAAACTGAGGAAACAGCTAAAACACACTTTCTCTCTACCTGAAAAACTTAGTAACAAAACCCTGTACTGAAATGATCTGAAAAAACCTGGGATACAGAGAAATACTGTACAGCTTCCCCCATGCTTCAACTTTAAATCTTTAACAAACACAAGCCATGTAAACTTTGTGGATACCCAATATAAAAAAGGCTACAAACATTTTTTAGTGTATGAAAACAAAATATGTGTGTATGTAAACACAAACTGTGGTTAATGCCAAGTGCTCTGAAGCCTACAGTCTGCTCAGCTTTATACTTCACGATCCATTCTGCTTTCCACTGCCTTATGCTTGCAGAAGAAAAAAGGCCAAAACCTACTACACACAAAAGAGAATCAGTAGAGCATGGACTACATTAGCAGGATAAAAGGCACAGAAGTATGACAATTTTTCTGACTCCCTGCATAAAGAGGCCATGGAGTTTCACGCCCTAACTTGGATATCAGAATCAATATTTTTGCCACTGAGCTCCACTTCCTTTTCAAATGGGCCCTCACACATGCACAAGACCTGTATGGTTAGTACATTCCTTGTGAAAAACAAACATCTGAAAGCATTCAGCTAGCTCAGACCACACTAGATGCTATATATACACACATCTTTCCCTATACATATACACATGTCTCCTTACACTGGTCTGTTACTAAAATCTTCATTCAGTAATAAGCCTTTTGATTGTGTCAGTGATTGAGCTCACCTGCCTCCTTCTGCTCTCCCAGCTTGTCAAGGATGTTAAAGGAAATGTCCAGGTATTCTCTCTGAATAGCACTCACAGCAATCTTCCTCTGCTTCCTCTGTCGAGGAACAATCTGAATCTTGAATTCTGACTCCTCTGTCTCCTCTTCTTGTTTCTGCTCCATGTTTTGTTCAGCATCAGACTCTGTGTTGGTATCAAGTTTATCACTTTCTGTTTGGTTTTCAGAATCTTCGGGAACTTTAATAAGGACTGTCTTTACATTTGGGCTTGGAATTGCTCCACTAGGTCTAATTTCCTCCACGTTGAGCTCAGAGTTATCATCAAGGGACATTTCTGGAAGGGCAAATGACTTCTGCAGCAGGTCCCTTTTCTGTTTCAGTGTTAGTGCATTCCCACAAGACATGTCTTGAAGTTCTTCTGGCTTAACTAACTCTGAAGAGTCCTTTTGATCTTTGGGAGAAGTGGAAAGGATCTCTTCTATTCCTGATGAAGCATTGTTGCTTGTATCCTTAGAACTAAAGTCTTTGGAGCAATCTTCAATGCTGAACTGGACCAGCGGAGTTGTGCTGAGGCTGAGTGCAGAGACATTGATGGGGGTTGAGGGAGATGACGCAGCAGTTTTGCCAGAGACCTCATCATTCAGCTGGTTTGTTGTTTCTTCTTCTTCATCGCTCTCCACTATTCTAAGGGGAGGAAGTGGTTCGAAGACTAAAGAGTCACTGTCTGAAGTGGAGACTGCTGAATGCTTTTCAGGACCCGATGTTGAGTCAGAGGACAAATCTATCAGATCTAAATCTTCCTTGGGACCAGCAGGTTTAACTGGAGAGTCCACTTTCACTTCATAGGTTTCCATGCAGTTTAGCCTAACTTCTGGTATGACAGGTCTTCTTGTTTCCTGGAAGCTCTCTGTACGAGGAAGATTTTCTTGTGTTTCTATATTTTCAGCTTTAGTAGAAGAATTCTGCCGAGATCGTCCATAATCACTCTGCCTGTGTATGGCGTAAGCAGCAGGGACAGGTGGTTTTTCTAAGTCACACCGGTCTATGCAGGACTTCCTGCGATGTTCATCTAATGAAAACAACAGGGAGTCTGCATTCCCTATATCAAGAGATTTTTGTTTTAGAGAGCGCAGTTTTTTTTTCTGAATGCTTTCTTCTCTCACACAGCGTAGAATACTGTCTTGTAAGGCCCCCGTCTCTCTATATTCAGCCAGCTCTATTTCACCTGATTAAAACAAAAAGAGCTAATACTACCCCAGTTGGAGAATTCTGGCAGATATCTTCATCTTTATCTCACCATACAACATGACTGGCATTTCAAGTACAAACCCAGTATTAGTCAAAATTGTCTAGGTTTTCTTTTTACCTCAGAGCCACTTTACATAGATTTCTACAGTGAACAACAAAAACTATACTATTTGGATAATAAGGTTTATCTAAATTCTATCCAAATTCTATTCATCCTGGACAGGTGTGCCCTGAAGGTAGACTGTTTAACACCTTATGCATTGAAAAGAAAATGGCACAGGCGAGTAATTTCTATAGACACTTGGGATGGCTGCATTAAGCATGAGAGATGAAAGAAGTACTGAGCTACACAGACCACTCTGAAGAGGTTTCAAAATAATTTTGGACCACAGCACTGTGGACATCATCTGGACATCAGCATATATTAGAGTACATCTACATGTTATTTGCCACAGCAAAGTGGACTTCTAATTCAAAAAGCAAGGGTAGCAATAGCATTGAGGATGTGGTAGCACAAGCCTGAGATCAGACAGGTGTTCAGAGAATCACCCCCACAGTGATCCTAGACTCCAGCTGAGTTTAGCAACTACCACACCACACAGTCAAACCTCTCCATCCTCGGCAGGAGTCAAGTGAGCACAATTATAGTGCACTGGTATTTTTCTATGTGAACACATTCACTGAGAACATTTTAAAAGGTTATCACTGTTGTTATTATGAATGACATATTTTCCCATAAAGCAGAATATTCCTGAGCATTATTTCAATATGTTCCACAAATGAATCGCCATGTACAAAAAAAACAGTGAGAAAAGTTAAAGTAGATGTTTGTTCTAGTCAGAATCATTCCCCTGCCGTGCAAACACCTAAAAGAAAAAAAGGCAGGTGGGTGGTGGTGGAAATATCTTTAACTTTTTTAGGATATTCATTTCAAAAACCTAAATTTGAAAACAAAATCCTTCCTATTTTTTGAAACCACAAAATGATGCTTTTTACCAATAGAAAACCGTAATATTTGCAGCAGCAACAACAAATTCACTTACCCCAGAATCCCACCTTACCAAAAAAAATTAATTCCTGGGAAAAAATAAATTTGAGTAACAAGCTTCAGCCCAATGATGGAAGAAAATTGCAACAAGACCTCTTAAACTTTTTTACATTCAGAAGAGCTTAAACTTTCAGAAAACTGCTGACTTCAGATATTTTTATTGTGGAGTGCCTACTTGGAGATACTTATAAGAGAATTCATTCAGGGAAATGTGGAGTACCTGCTCTCAAAAGTCAGAGTACCTATATTCAAACCAGGCAGTGCAACAAACTCTGCAAAGAAAGGTGGTAGCTTGAAAAATAAGAGTAGGAAATTGTATTTCTGCATGAGTTTATACTGACAAAACAATTCATACTTCTCTGAGCATTCATCTCAACTGGTTGATATTTCACCATTTTGCTGCCACCAATTCTTTTCAGTCTTGCAAAGAAAGTTTGAGATTCTTTATTGCAAGGTCCAGTTGGTGTATCATGAATATCAGACTCATCAAAAACACTGTCTTCCTCTGCTGGAGAAAGAAAAACCTTTATTAGTCTTTAAAAAGAGAAAATTCTTGAATGAAAAGATGTCTATGTAACATAACCTCAGCTAGTTTCAATTAAACTTGAATCGGAAAATGAAAAATCATCTAAAGCTTGCAAGAAAATTTATATCCCAGGTATAACTTTAACATTCTTGTTACATCTTGAATTAAGGTCAGAAAGGACAGAAATAAATGAAAAATAGGTTACAGTGCAACAAAAGCATACCAAAGCTTTTATCATTTTAAGCTGATCTTTTCTACTGATAATAATACAGATTTTTTTAGATGGAAGAAATACAATACATCTGAACACTGACTTGAGTAAGTAACTTCTATAGTGTTCTGTGAGAAATAGTAAATTGAAGGAGATAGAAATTAGTACAAGAATTGCAAGGTCAGTAATAAATTATCAAAATAGAGAAGTGAAAAAGGAAGAAATGGATAATCTTGGGAAGCCAGTAATAGTAACAGAATAAGACCTAAGAGCACGAACTATGAAATTATTGATCTAAGTAGTAAGAGTAAAACATTATGCTCTAATTTTAGAGCTGCTGGTTGAAAATGGCAGAGAGAAAGATACAAATAATATTTATCCATCAAAAAATAACCACATCACCTGTATGAAATGATTATAAAAAACAAAAAAATCTTTATCATGTCTAGTAATTCATCTCCAAGGAAATATGAAATGCTACTGGGACAATAAAGAAAACAGAGCACTCAAGAGAAGAAACAAAAAAGGTTGCCTTGTTTATTCTAGTAAGTAAACACAGAGGAAATGCACTTGGTGTCTAGGAGTGAAAAGGCAAGTAAACCAGAGTTAGAATGGCCAAAAACTGAAGACTTAAACTGGACAACAGTATCTTTAGCTCAGAAATTGCTGGAAAGTTTCTACTACATGTGAAGCTATGGAACTGCCACCTAAAAGCATCAGGGATAAGATACCTAATTGATATGATGAATCCAGAAAAATCAATCAAAGGTGATAATAAGAATTTCTGCAGAGACCGGGTTTAATAAGTTAGGACATCCCTTTTAACACCATGTCCTATGAGTCCAACTTTTTGGCAACAAATGCTTCTTCTCACAAGATTTATCATCAGCTCTACAAAAGTTTGTACACTTACCATGATTCCCACAACAAAGTTTGGCAGAAAAATTAGGAAAAAGTTTCAGAAGTGAGAAAATCCATGTTTAGCATAGGGATTCTTGCTGCCTGAGAATGAAATCCTCACCTGTTGATCATCAAAACACCACCTTTGACCATGACAGCAGAATGCTGCCTGACCACAGACTAAATAAGCCTTCTTAGAAAAGGCGGGAAAGGCTTCAGCTTTCCAAGTCCCTAAGGAATTATATTGGCTGCTTCTTTCAGGTGAAATAAAACTTTTCTACATCCTTCTTTTTGTGCAGCACTTCAGCAAAGGAAGAGAATCAGCCCTACGATTAAGTCAGAACTTACTGAGTAAAATTTGCCCATTTATGGTCCTTAACCTCTGAGCAGCCCAGAGCCCTTCACAAAGCTTTGGAAAGCAAGTAAACATTATTCTCTTTACTTTAAACATAAGGAAACAATGATGAAGCGAGGCACAAGGTCACCCAGGGAATCAGCGCTGGACATGGGACTGGAACACTGAGTTTTCTAAATCTAACTTGGCACTGTGAGCAGGAAGCTGGGTACTTAGGCACCTTGCCTTGTCTCAGAAACATCTCAGAATCAATTCAGAAACTGAATGTATTTTATAAATTTATGATTACTACCCTTAGCGTTATTAAGTCATTATGAATCAAGTCATTAGCTCAAAACAAGGACAAATTCATAGTAAGTCCAGAGTTATCTGAACCCTCTTAGCCCTCCTCCAGCAGTACAAAATGTCCAAGTGGGTGAGAATATGTAATACATCCATTTTAAGGTTGATTTAATTTTCTAGAGCTGAGTAATAGGGTGTTCAAGTAAACAAAATTTTGTGTTCTTGTTTTGCTGGATATCTTTTCATGCGCAACAAGCAGCAAAAGAGAAAAAGGTGCTGACATGCATAAGAAGAATGTTTCTTGTATTTTTCAGAAGAGGAGGTTGCTGCACACTAGGAAGACTGGGAAGGAGGATCTAAAGGGCAAATAAACAGCTAAAAGGCGAAACAGCTGAAAGGCAGCTACAGATTACATTCAAAAGAACCTGTTAAACTTTGATCATACTTATCACATAATAAACTTCACAACTGTAAGGAACTACACTAAGTGACACCATGTTACCTCAAACCCCAACCATACTCCAAGTCCACACCATCACAGTACCTCTGCTATGGCTAGCAAGCACATACAGAGTTAACAATCAGACACAAAGGGCTGAACCATTCTCTTCTCCCTTTAGACATCCATATCATATACATCTGCAGGTAAACTATTCAGCTTCAGCTCCTTTTACAGAGAAAACCAAACTGTAGACTGAATTAATCATTGTCTCTTTTCAACATCATATATTTGCCACTATGCCATGTTATTATAAAGTATAATCAGAATGCAGTGTCAGGATGGTTGCACATTTTGTGCGTGGTCATAATCGGTTAACATAGGATAGAAGAGGCCACAGACTATCCAAGCATGGTGACTGAACTATTAAGTCTAAGGTATACCCCCCCTGAGAAATGTTAGACTGCTGTCCCATGCTTAGCCTACAGAGAAATTATGAATTTCTTTTACTATAGATGGCTATAGCTAGTTAGGTAAGTCACACCTTGGACTTAATTCTGAGTATTATGTTCTAAAACTCAGTCCATATTTACCTGCTTCTACAACATCCGCAAGACTTAATAAATTAAATCAATGACTATCATATAAGTGAGAGCATTAAAAGTACCTTTTTCCTTTTCACTGTATCGGCTTATGTTACTGTTGTCACTATACAAAGGGCCAGCAGTTGCATGGGGCTTGCAGCTGTGATATTGAGCATTGAGGGTATTGACTGTGATGTGGATTAGGTGAAGCACAATCTTGCTGATTTCACAGTCTCTGTAGGGGTACTGTTCAGTGAAAGAGAAAAACTTTGGCTTAAAAACTAACTTTTCTCCTTGGATAAACATTTAGGCAGTAAAATAGAAAAATGGCAATATTGTCAGCTGGATGGTCTTTGACGTCCTTTGATCATACATTACTAAATACATCATGAGAAGCAGGACTGTTTTCAGCTTTATACACCAAATTATTTTTTTAAAAATTTAAAAATCCCTATTAGTAACATTTAATAGATTGTTTTCTTGACTTTTATTTGGCAAAACCAACTATTAATAATAATGCAAGAGGTCTCTCATCAGAACTCTTCTTCAAATACTCTATTTCAATCAGCATGTTTTCATTTCTAGTTTCTTCACTTCCTTGTATGCCCTATAGACCTGCTAGAAGTTTGTTAAGCATATCAAAAGTATTCACAGCTCCATTTTAGAGCATTAACATATCACATTTTGACACTTCCTAAAAAGCATCACTCAACTAAAGAATACAAGCTGACACACACACCCCATTTAAAGTTACTATTTATTTTAAAAACTAGTTTTAAGTTACTCAAAATACTCTTCATTGGAACTTTATATAGTATTTTCATATTTGAAAATACATATTTTTCTTTCTCAGGTAACCATGTGAAAGACAATAAAGACAGAAGAAGTAATAGGTCAGCAGCACAGGTGAAAACCTATTTCAGACATTGAAATTAAATCTATCAAATAAGCAAATCAAAGAAGTGTCCTTTACACTTCCTTTCACTTGCAGTACAGTTAAATGTTCCCTATAATAAATTTCAAATTGAAGTGCAAATTTTAATGTGGACAGCATCTTTTTAAGCCCACTCACCTTATAGAGAATGACAAGCAAAGCTTTTAACCACATCTGCCGAATGTGAGGTTTGAGGGACCAGAGGGAGCAGCGAGGAGGCTGCTGAAAGTAATGCCTTAGCTGAGGACAAGTGCAGTATTTCAACACCTGCACCACCAAGGGAAGAAGGTGTTTTCCCAAATTGATGTTATAATCCATCACCTGAAAATAATATTAGCACAGGAGTTAGGTCACCAAAATCAAATCCACTGATGTTGAAAAGCAAAATAACTAATACAGTTGAGGTATTAGTTGAGTGAAAAGAAACAGATGTTTTTAAGTCTCACTATCAGTTAGAAACTTTCTGCCAGCTTGCCACATTCTCATTTTGGCTAGATAGGTAAAACGAAACAAAAGATATGTTCTGAAAGCCTTTCATCCTGCACAGTCTAAATTTTAACATACACTGGCAAGTTCATAAAATACATTATGCTGTATGCTTCTATTACAGCACAAGTTGATCATGGCTCAACAGAGAAATCCATATTAAGTATATCTCATGTTTAATAGGATCCAATTGTAGGTTTTGGGAGGGGAGTTGCATATTTGGTTGTTTTGTATTAACACTACATTGCTGGTTTTCATTTTCTCATCAGGCTTGCATCATTAGCTGTTGGGTTTTTTTAAGCCCCATGTTCTAGTATTAGCTAATGAGACAAGAATCCCTCTCTTTACTATAGCAAAGTTAAGATTGTGTCTGCAATGTTATACAGAAAGTTTAAGCAGGCAAATCATAAAGGATCAAGAGTAAAACTAATGAAAAATATCTTACTCTAAATAAAATGCTCATCAATTTTCAGCAGTGGTGTTGCTGTAGACAAGTTGCTGTTGTTACTGCTAGTCATAAGCTTTACCTGTATCACTGAAGAGCATCATGCTATTTGGTGCCTAGCCTAGAGGTTTGAATCCTGATGGTTAGGTGCAGTGTGGCCATATATTCCCACTACCCTGACACAACTGTGTTTTCAATTGAAACTGCATTGCTATTTTTCCATTATCTTTCCATCTGTCTTGCAACATAACTATTTTTATTTAAAGCCATATGTTCTGAAATCAGTAGCTAAACTAGATCATAACAAGGATCCATAAAGCCCTTGTCTCTGACACTGACCTATACTGGTTGACACCCAGGAAGGTATAACAGCAGGCCAAGCAAACTCCAGCACAAGCCCCAAGGTCTAACACGTCCCTGCAGTTTCAGTGGACTTAGTGCACTTTATCAGCAGCCCTGTACATCTAAACAGACACAAACAACAATTTTCATCCACATCATCCTTTTCCTTCAGGTCTGTATTTCTTTTTTTCGTTTTGTTTTTATTAGAACAAGTGGATGAGCCTAATTTATAAACATAGAACTCATCTCTCAAGCTCCCTCCTGAACAAGCTGACTAGAAGTTTTTCCCTGTATAATTCTCTAGTTCAGTATGCAGCTGTCTCAAATTTTTGTGCTGCATGCACAGACCTAAATAGATGGATCCCCTGTCTGCCCGTGAAGGGCTAGCCTGCCGAACAGATGATATATAATCACCAAATATGGTCCTACCCTGTAATGGCTTGTCCCCTCAGAGTGTGATACAGTTACATAGCGTGGTTAGGAAAAACTCATCCATACAAGGAAGACAGAAGCCTGCTTAACACAGCACATACTGTAATGCAGACACGTGCTAAGATGAGCAGACCCATTTTTTAAGTTGTCACAGGAAGATCTGGAATCAATGATGTTGCAAATGCTGAACAGAGCCCAGCCGGGGATGCTGAGCAGAGCCCGGCACCACTGCTTCCCCATTCCGACAGCCTTGTACAACATTGCCACCATGCGGGGCAATACCGCAGTGACTGCAAACGCCAAAACTTGGCTACTTCTGCTGCTAGGAAGAGACAGCGGCATTTTATGCTTTCAAGAACTCCAAATACTCAGATTTTATGATGCAAAATACTTTTTTTTTTTTTGTTTTTGACTGACCATTCCAACCAAGCTTGGAATCAAAATCAACGAACCAGCAAGACGGACTAATCCCAACCTTTCTGAAGCTGATTGGGGAAAGCAAATATTTATGACTAGGGGAGGGAGTATTACTGAAATAGATCTATACTGAGTTTTCACTCTGTAAATGCATCTTTGGACTTCAAATAGCATTTCACTTGCAGCAAAGGTGATTCCCCACACAAAGCAGCCCTACGCCTAAGAAAAAAATGCCCCCATAATATAAATTAAAGTTTTGATGTCTGCTACATAGAGAAAAATCCTGGCCTACTGAAGTTCTCAAACTCATGTGATGTCAGGGGAGCCAGGATTCAACTATGAAGCTTTTCAAACAGAGATGGTGAATTTGGCTATGATGACATCTTTTAAAGGCAAAGAGGAAAGGCAGGAACTGATATTTAGAGCTGCAGTAAGTAGTACTTCTGAAAACCAGGTGAATTATGATCACTGAAGCTGGGGAATCCAAACTTGGAAAACACACAGAAAAAAGTGGAAGATACTGCCCTGTAATCTTAACTGCCACTTCCAGACTCTCAATACAATGGTAACAGGCCTGAATCTCCTTTTACATGCTTCAGCTTAAAACTGTACAAATAAAAGATCGTTAACAACACAATGCAATGGTGCTCTGAGACAATGGATCAGGATGCATTTGCAGCTACCTAGTTTGAATTAACACCTTCTAACTTACCCGCTGAAACACAGATACCTGACGTCTCCACGACTGAAAATTTATCCAAGTAACATTACAACTGTCTTTGAAAAAAATCACTGATTCCAATGTATGAACCAGAAAATCTTTGTAAGAATTGCAGATATGGTAGAGGCCAGGATAGTTCTGAGCAATGTTTGAAGGTTACAGTTGGCAATTTAAGAGCTGGGGGAGGGGGAGATCTGAAATCACAGGCCTCTCTCTCCCTGAGGTAATCCCTTATGACAGACCATGATATGGAAAAAGCATGGAAGTGATGATGATGCTTCACTGGAAATAAAAGTACTGCAAGTGGGAAATGTTTTTCAGCCTAACATTACCAACTGCTCTATCAGTAAGAGTTAACTGAGTCTTAGAAAACCTTTGTAAGGTAGGAAATTACAGTCCTCCTTCCAAGATGTAGAAAGAAGGCACAAGGTAAGGATGTGCTCAGACATCTATCATAGCAATATAGGCAGAAGTTCCTCAAGATAGCACCACTCTCTAGGAAAAAGAGAACAGAAAGTCCTGGTGCACTCTAAGGAAGAACAAGAATGAGTCTCTTACAAAATGAGCTTACAGACCACTGATGCAGGGAAATAAGCAAGAGCAATTGAATCCCAGGTCTTCCTGAATGGGAAAGAAATGGCACATGAAAAAAGCAAGGCATTCAAAGGCTAGGGAAAGAGGGCAAAGAGGTTTGAGGCAGTCTCTAATTTTTCATCATGTAGTATTTGCATGCCTTCATGCACAGAAAACCATTATCTCTATGTCAGTGATGCAGCAAGTTTAGAGTACTAACTAGAAAAAAGTTTTAAATTAGCACACTTCTATTTATTTACTTTTTAACTGCAAAGCAAAAACCTACAGAAAGCACTTGATTAGGCTACATGGAGCCTTCTAAGAATAAAGAACAAGCAGCCATCCTTGTTCCCAAATTCTTTCACCAACTGAAGAGTCATTAAGAAGTTTTAAGTAGGATTACTGCACTCGTCCATTATTTTGGTACAAGGAAGGCTGTGCTACCACCATTTCAACAACAGGCAATGAGAAATAGCTGCAAGAAGTAGAAAGTGCTTTCACCTACTTGTGCTATTCCAGCAATAAAAGCATTAAAGCAGGTTGAAACACGCATTTTTTGTGGTGCAATCATGAAGCATCCTTCCTGCTGATCATAACCAAGCAGGACGTACAGATGGCGCTTGACTGTGTTGAAAGCTTTAGCGCTGCTGATGTCCGACTCAGCGCTGCTCTCGTCCTTTGCCATGAACTTCATTAGCACAGTAATGAGCTGGTGGACAGTCTGGTGATCGATCCCAGCATCCTCTGGAAGCAGGTCTTTTATTGTATTATCATTCTCTGGGGAGGGTTGTCCTATTGACACAAGAGAGATTTTGGTATCAGACACTGGGTAAGATGTTAAACAGCATACAGAATACACCAGAATTTTTTTCCAGAGTTCATTAATCCATTTCTGCCCAAATACACATGGTGAAGTCACAGGAGATAGGCATCCATCTCTGAGGGTATTGTTCCTCCACTGCCTCAGGCTCAACAGCACAGTAGCACCTACTGTGTACACTGAACTCCATTTCTCAGCTTTCCCATGTTTAACAGAGCTGCTTATATTCCCATCCCAGTTCCAGGAGAATCAAACCCCACTGCCACCAAATTCTCATCTGGCATGGTTTTCAGTCTTTCCTCAGCAAACATTAGTGGACATTAGTCCGGGGGAGAATATACAAAACAGCAAAGGTAGGAGATGGAGAATATTCTACCAAATAATGATTAAACAAAGAATGAAGACTTCCTCTTTTAGCACTGAATCCATATTTCTCTCAAATAACTTGTGTCAAAATGTAAGCACTACAGTATGTTAGGTTTTGGGACACTATGTATTATGTCAAAACTTTTGACAACTTTTTCCCAGAGCGGAAGCCTAAGATTTGGTTTATAAACATGTTATATGGATTATATGGATATGAAAATAATTAATCATGCTTTGTATGGGAATATGATAATGTGAAAGACAAGAGGCTACTTACAAAGCACAAGGAAGCCTGGGTGCTGGCTATCACTATCCAAGCAAAACAGACACACTGCAAATAACAGCTGCCAACTGGACAAGTATTTTTTTTTATTTTTTTTTTTTTAAATACAGTATTTCCAGTTAATTTTAAGACTATTTATCATTAGTAGAATTCTTTAGTAACTGCCTTTAGAGTTACCCTCTTCCATTTCACCCTATGTGTAAGGCCTTTTTTAGCACTTAGCAGTTCCTAAAGATTTACATTATACTAACACCAGGAACTGAATTCACGAAAAGAAGCAGCTATTTCACATATCAGTGGATCAGATTATTTTTATTAAGTAATTTTTAATAAATGCATAGCTAGTATATTATCCCAACATGTTCTACTTTAAAACAGTAATTTAAATTAAATGCTTCTATATAAATAAAATGCATCATATATGCATTATATGCAAAATAAATAAAAGATATTTCCACTAGGATAATCAAAGGAAACAGAAAATAGTACTTTCACAGCATCAAAACAGGGCAATGCTTGAAAATTAAGTTATTATACCAATAATTTTCATTTGTTCATTAAACACTATAACTATTAGCAATTAAAATTAATTGTTACTAAAATGTATTCTGATGCATTTTCTGATCCACAGTTAAAAATCTGTCTAACAGTGAATAATTAAGGTAAAGCAAACTGGTATGAAACAAGAATTACAAAATGACCTACTTGTTTTCATTTCAAGGATAAATCCTTTCAACTATTGGACATAGTCCTTGCTTTTGCAAGAACAGTTTAAGTTTACAGGACAGACCCTACAAGCAAGATTAGCTCAAAGTATAATCTTAAAATTTCTCCCACATGTCTGCATTAGGGTCACTAGCCAGAAACTAACATCCATTTAGTCTGTCAGAGTTACTTACATGCCTTAGGGTTTATATAAACTCATAGCTATATATTTACAGAAAATGCTAGAAATTATTTTAATATTCTAATTTACCCATATTCTCAATGTAATATACTATTCTGACAAGGGACTCTTGTCTTAGGTTCTTCAGCAGCAAAACTGTATTTTTTTTTCAGTAATTTTTAAATATTTTACCTTTTTTTGGTGAGCAAGCAAAGGGGTTTGTTTGATTGGCTGTTTTGCTGAGCATGGGAGAAGGTTGCTATTTCTGTGATAAGTAAAAATGAAAACTTGGGGGAAATTTTCAGGATCACTTCCATTAAGAATAACCTTCCTTTACTGGTCTCACTTTGGTAAAAATAAATCATGAACTCTGTATTATACAATATCTTTTATTATTTTTTTTTATATTATTATAATATCTTTTATTATATAATATCTTTTATTTTATTATATATTTTATTTTCACTGGGATTTTTATTTACAGAAACCTTTCAAAATGAAAATTATCCAAACTTTTACTAGACCAAGATTTACAATTGCAAAAAGAAAACAATAAATTCTGAAATAATTAGAAATACAGCAAGTACCATTTTCAGAAGCACATTTAAAATGTATATAGAAAATAACTTCAGCTTTGTAGACACTGACTGAGAAATAACCTTTCCACATATTATACCCAGGTTAAAGATTTTTCAGAAAATTGTATCAAAAGTACACCATTTTCATAAAGATTATATTGAACTGTTTTCTTCAGCCCTACTTAATTTCATCTCTATTACATGTTGTGAGACTTTCAATAAAACAAGTGAGGAGGTAAAATGAAATGAGTTAAAGGATCATAGGGGCTCTAAATCCTGGTTCTCCAAATAGAACTCAATTAAAATTGGATAAATCTAGTTTACTTTCACTTGCTGAACAATGTAATTTAGAAGCTCAGGGATAAAAAGCTCCATTTTGCAATACTAACACTAGTCAACAGATACTTCCTAGGACTTTTCCTGACATTTTACTTTCCAGAAATATTACTACATTTTCTGAAGTACTTTACCCTCATTGAAAACTATACAGCAGGACACAGTAAAGAGAGCTTCACCCTGAGTATTTTGTCATTGCTCCACTAAGGATCCAGTCTAGGGAATGTCAGTCACCTCCTGTTTTTTCTTCTAATGTGGAAACTTGCAAGGAACCAGCAACAGAGAACCTACAAAAACTCTACAATCCAGTTTAGTTAATAAACCTTCAGAGTCCAGAAAACCTTCTTCCACTATCTGAAATGGATCTTAAGTTATATCATCCTTGAACTAAACTTTCACTTCATCAACACATGATGAAGGGCATTCTGTACCAAATCATGATGTTTAGATTCAAACTAAGAATGCAGTGCAAGACAGTTCTGTCTTTACAGTGGCTATGGCAGCTTTTATCCCTCAAAATGTGTGCACATATATATGCAATTTGTGTGCGTGTGTGTGCCTACATATGTATACACACATCTCCCCCCTAGGAAAACCTTCTCACATGACCAAGCACACAGCCTACTAGTTAATATACAGCCACCGTTCCTGAATTTAATCTAGCCTTATGCCCACAGATCCATCTCTTTATTCATGTGTCCCTTATATCAGACCCCTTTACCTTCAAATTACTTTAAGGTGTATCACAACAGAACATAAAACATCAGACCAAAAGTATATCATGCTTCATCCTAGTTGTGATCCCCATGCCTATCAGTGAAACTATAAATGACTCTCCAGGATACTGTAGAGGATACATGAACAAATACATGATCCTGGTGTTTAATCCATACAGAACACACACTGAGTTCAGTTTCCATTTGGACTGTGCAAGGACTACATTTTTAGATCTAGAAGAATGGACAACCATAAGGACTTGCTCATTCAAGTGGTTATGTATAATTTTTTTTCTACAACAGATGCACAGCCTATGTTTAGGAGCCTGTTGCTTAGACAAATCAGATATGCTCAGTACTGTCAATGCAAAGTGTTAAAAACTATGAGTCAAACCTTAAAAAAAAATTTTACAAAAAATTAAGATTTTAAAAAGTAATAAATAGTGGGCAGGAGGAGAGGGACAGTCATTCGTCCCCTCGTTTCCAAAGCATCTGCGATAATTTTGAACTGTATTATCAGACTTTTCTTCATATCAATGGTTACTAGCTACATGCAAATTTTTATATATACATTTTAATGGAAACTTAATTCAAAGTGATTAATTACCTGAGCCTGGAAACAAGCTCTGAAATACCAAAATAAAAATCACAACAGCTAACTATGCCTACTGTGGGATTGACAATTCTTATGTGACAAGCCCAGTATATAGAAGGTTATCAATGCCATTAAATGAAGAACCATTCACTGATACATCTATTCATCACACTATTATTTCACTTGTTTCTTCTATGAGCCTGTGACAACCTGCACAGCCTGCACATATGTCCTATAAGGAACTGGCTGATTTCTAGCTTTCACTGGGCTAGTATGACAGGGCTATATACTGCTATTTCAGAAGCTCTCCCAGTCCACTGCACAGCTTAGTCAGCACCCACAACTGGCAAGGTATCTTCCTTTCAGCTGATCACCCAGTAAGCTGATCTGTTATGACTCTGAATTTCTGCCTGTTGGAAATACTGCATATCTTGAAGAAGGAATGTGAAAACATCTGAATCTTGAGATTTTTCACTTCCAAATGGTCAGTCTACAAAGGACTTGGAGCAAGAACCATGAGCAGTCACAATTATTTAGACATTACTTAGACTCTGATAACTATTCCTCAAAAGCCTAACAGAAGGGTGACATCTTCACAACATGTCAGTAAATATAAAGTAAGGGACTCGAGATGTCTATAAGCATACAGAGGAGACAAGTATATTTTACAGTACAACAATCAGAAGCATTCTGTCTGCTGCCTCTAAAACCCAAAGGTCAAAGATCAGGCTGAACACAGGTGACCCATGGGACCAGCCTACTAAAGATTTACTTGTTCCTGTAGGCAATGAAACACAGGAGGGTGAATCACTGCTGGCATAACTGACTGCCTCTGAATAACCTCCTAGCATCCCCAAAGTACTATTTACAACTGGGGGCAGTTTTCAGTACAGATCCAGAGCAAAACTTCAATTTATACCTTTTGGAACCATGCTAAGACATGATTCGCTGTGCTTTTTAGACCACTTCCATCTTGCGTAAGTTGATCTCATGAGTCAGCAAGACAGCCAGTGCTAGTGCCTTCCTTTTCCTGTTTCATCAAAACACCCCCCTTGTAAAACCCACCTGGTGTTTGCTCTGGTGTTCCTCCAAGAGCTGGAGCAGACTGCTCGTGTCTGGTCAAGCTCACAGCTTAAAACAAAACAAAACAAAACAAACAACACAAAACAACACAAAAAAACAAGAGCAACTCTGTTTAAAAATGCAGTACTGACATCTTATACTTCAGCATATAGTCAGTGCTACCATATTTATGTTCATTTACTCATGCACTGTTGTCAGGCAGTGAGTGTAACCATTTGAATTGTGTCACTTCTGTGCCTTATAGATTCTATGCGCTATATTCTATAACTAGTTTTCTTCATTGCTCAGTTTTGCTGGTACAAGAGTCACCATGCAGGAGCCCCTATGCAGGATCAGAAATCGATCAAGAAGGATTACCTAAGAGTTCCAAAGGTGGTGTTCATTTTAGAGAAAAGAAATCACCTTTTGACTTAACAGTTCACAGTATCTGTCTTTGAACATTTTATTAGTTCCTATTATATGGGCAGGAGCAATGTGAAAGGTCCAATTTGAATATAAAGACTGGTCTATGTTAGTAGAATTCTCTAAATGCTTTATTTCTGCTTGGAAAGGTATCTGTACAGAGGTCCATACAGGCCTACGGTTTTCCAGCACCTAGGTCCTCCTATAGAAGCTGGCAGGAAGGATGCATTGCATGGATATTGTTTTCTTAACAAAAGAATTCTGAATATATCCAAAAGTTCATTTGAGACACTAACAGTTGTTTTTAAGATGTCTAGTATACGCCGCATACACTGATTAATAATTACAATTAATAAATAAATTAGTAACAGAGGAATTCTTCTGTAAACACTTCTGTATTAGCCACAAATAAAAATTAAGATCTATCCACAAACTAGTCTCTAAGAATTCTGTGCTGGCATTTTAAACAAACACAGCATAGACACAATGTTTGTCTATGTTCTTTGTCAAAGTCACTAACTTGTCATTATCTGAATAATGCCCAAATGAGTCAGAAACCTATTATTTGCTATCCCAATTGAAAAAATACTGACAATTCCGATGTGTACCCAGCAATAGGATACGATCGTAAGGGAGAAGATACAGGTGTGTCACAAAAATATAAATAGATACTCAACGAATTTTGGTGGTTAAGGTTTCTGGAAGGGAGAGCGCTCTCTTTGACTCCACTGGTCCCTTCACACTGTCCCTCAGGGAACGCACACTCTTCTGACGATTACGTGCGAAACGAGCCCTCTTGATCTTCCACATTGCTGCATCACTGAGGTTGGCGACATTTGTCCGGACAGCAGTGATAGCTTTGCAAATGCAATTGACCAAGTTAGGATTCATTCCACAGCATGGTGAGGCCCTAAAGCTGCCAAGTGCCAAATGCAACTGGGCCCCAGGTCCCACTCAAGTCAAGAAAGCTTCATATGGGCTCAAGGGGTCCATCTGCAAGGCACTCATTTGCATGCTCTTGTTCTGAAATCCGTAAAACCCCACATGGCATAACTGTGTTTAAAAAAATTATGCTGTTACTCTTCCTTTAGAGATTGGAAAGAAACAGGTTCTTGAAACCAAAACTAAGTGGGGCTAAGGGAATATGAGGTGCCCTCTGTTTAAAATGGCAGAAATCTCACAAGTATGGACCACATTTAGGGCACTCATACCCAAATGTGGCCTATAGTTTTGCCTCACTGACCTCCTGTCCTGCCTACACCTATCATCCTGGATTTGAACAGCGCCTCCAAAAATCTGTGAGTGTGATTATGCGTTTACAGTGGTGTTACCAGAGGTATCACTGCATGTCTTAATGGGGTTACCAATACTTTTCTATAGTCATGTCTAACAGTGCATTCAAACCCTTTGACTTTAATTATCTGAGCAACTAAAGCCAGTGAGCCCATCCTTTGCACCACTTATGTCTTTGAAAAGGCAAAGAGAAAGGTTAAAAAAAACCCTTGAAAAATATCTTTTGCACATTTTAAATCACTCCCAAATATTCATATTTAAAGATATGACCATACATTTGCAGCCAGAGGTGCTAGAAACTAGTGCCAAGATTCACTCTTCAGGCTACAGCAGCAGTTCCCAGCTTTTGGTGAAGCTACTTACTTATGGAGAAGAATATACATTTGCAGTTCGACCCATCTCCTGTATGGATGCAGCAGCAGCCCCTGGGCTTTTTTTAGGCACTGGGCTCCATGCAAATGTAGGAGGCGGCATTAGGCTGCTGAGGGAGCATGTGCTATCCAAACAGCTGTCCCCACCTCCTCCAAGCAAATCAGATGGAAATAGATCTGCCTCATGCCTCATGGGCCACCACTAGGAAGTTCTGAATTACTCGGCATGTTAAACAATCATGCACAAATTATTTTTAGCCCCCCCACACACCCCCCCAGTGAATGGAAGGAGACATGGTATCTCATCAAGAAACCAACTATGAACAAGACAAACACTTACAAACATTTGCCACTGCAGAAAGAGTTAACTGAGCACCAGCTCTAAGAGTCCATGTACCTCTTGTGCTGTGACCCACACATTCACATGGTTTTTGAGGGTCATACAGCTCCTAGGGCTGTCTTTGCACAGACCACTACAGAACAGGCTCAGGCATAACCGAGACCTTTGCAAACAGCAGTGTTGATAGCATAAGAACATCTACAGAAGAACAAGCAGATTGCAGCTGATCATAGAAACAGACTGCATTTCAACCAAGGCTCACAATCACATCCTAGTGAGAGCAAAACATGACGCCCAAAGGTGTGACAGAATATAGACTAATCTGTATTTGGCTAGTCAAAAAATGCTCACTTTGAATTATTCTATTTTGGCCTGAAAGATTACTTGGTTTCAGAGAATTTATACAGGTGAGACCAACATCTCTGTCTCAGACCCTTGCAGGTAGCTGAAATTCCAGAAGCTGATAAAAAGTGATCAGATTGATTTGGACTGTGCTTACTTGTTGGGAAAGGGAATTCTTTGTTGCAGTCCAGATGAAGCTGTGCTTCCAGAGACAGGGTCTCAAAGCGATTCACAAAGAACTCCCAGCTCAAAGCTGGAATATCCGCTTTTAGAAAATGAAGTAGTAAAAGCTTACTAAGAATTGTGGGCCTGTCCTTGACAACTGTGTCGAACTGGAAATCGAGACAGAGGCAGAGACCCTATAGAAAATAAAAAACAACACCACAAACAAAACAACACAGAACTTAGATGTTAAAACTTTTAATCATTTTTTTAAAGCAAAGGGAGTTCAAAGCTCACAACTTCTATTAATTAATACAGGATAGAGGTTTAGCTCCTTTTTCCAACCAAGTCCTAAAGGACTAATCCGAACTAATACTACTGATATCAGTAGAAAAGTAAGATAAGGACATAAATGAACACCATATTTATAATGTAGAATTTGCTAAGATTTTGAGGAGTACAAAGGTATAGTCAAAGTTCTGTCCTACTGCACATTTGGTACACAATATCAAAGTATTCTCTTCACACCCCCCTGCCTGAGAAAAATCTTCTATTTAGGCAACTGAATCAAGCCCTCAATTACAAAAAGAATAAATCACCAAGCCCAAACAGAGGAAGAAAGATTATGTGGTAAACTGTATCGGAATCACTTTGCCTCAAAATGCCTCTGTATTTTATTTGCACTAGAATTTTGGCTGTAGTGTCAAGACTTACATTTGAGAATAAAACCCACACATTAAATAGGAAAGTGCAGTATACTGGTAACAGTCTCAGTGAATTCAAGTTCTCTGGAAACTACTTTGAAAAGGCACTATATGGAATAAAACTATAGCAAGTATTAGCAGCTTTTTACAGGCAGTAACACTAAACTTTTAAAAATACATATTCATTCTATTCTCCATAAAACTGAATTGTGTACTATAGAGATTTTTCAGGGGTTTTTTTATCTTGCTTGCATATATAGATTCTGATCCACTTTCATATCTGCTTACTTTTAATCACGAGAATTCTGACTGGCAGGTTCTCTCATATGCTTAAAGTTACATGCCTAAGTAAATCTTGAAAAGATTAAGACCATGTTTGGTTATGCTTGAAGGTATTTCCTCACTGTCAGGTCAGCAGGGTGTCATAAGACTTAGAAATATTTTTTTTTTAAATATAAAAATGTCAATAAACTTAAAAAAATAAAAAACATTTAGAGCTTTCTATGATAGCAGTTCAAATGCAATAGTAATCCTTTGCAATCAAAGTTTTTATTGTTGGACTTGAAGATCTTAAAGGTCTTTCCAACTTAAATGATTCTGATTCTAAGTTGGAGCTAGGACAGTATCATTTCCCTTGGCTATTGGTGCCTGTGTCAACTGCAAGACCCATAAGGCTTGTCTGAAGAGGAGTTAGTTGTGACTGTGATGCTGTACACCTAAACTGCTTTGAACTTCAGGTGAAAACTCGGATTCCTGTTTGAATGTACTTTTCCCATATAATGAACCTACCTGTAGAGCTGGCCTCTTTATTGTGTCAAGTAATAGCCCAGCTCTTGTAGCTACTGCTGGGTTGACATCTTCCACAGCAGTCAGGAAACAGCAGAATGCATGAGCCAAAGAGTACTTCAGTAGGTGGTTTTTTGTCACAGAGTGAATATCCAAAAATCTGCACAACACAGCCACCTTCTCCACTGTAGCAGTCGTGCCCCCAGACAAAGAAAATATGCATATTAATTTAGGCAATGGTTTCTTTATGTCCTGATTAATATACCTCTCCTAGAAATATGAACATCTAAGAAAGTAACAACAAAAAAATAGCTGGCAAGTGTTACAACTTTAATTTTACATTATCAAAAATGTCTCATGTTCTCCTCTGTTTTACTGCATTGTTGCACCATAGTTTTGCACCAGATGATCTCCAAAACTTCCCAAAGCAGCAAAAAGATAATTATGTCTTACAGGTCTCCTCAGTTACAACAAAGAAAGCTCTGCCTCTTCAGTGAAGCAAAAAAGAGCAAATAGTGTACATTTTTTGGGCCTACCTGCTTCAAATCTCATCTTCCAATCTTTGCTGTTGAAATTGCTGTTTATGATTGTCCAGAAAATGTCAGCTCCATGGGAAAGTGAAAGTGCATGAAGAAGAAGTGGGACTGCCAGGGAAGAAAGCTGAGAGAACTCAGACTTCACAACTCCCCATAAGCTGGAAAGACCAAAAAGATGAAGCCTGATCATAAAAGCACTCCCTTCACATCCTTTCTTCTACATGTCTACATTGCATTGGTGGGAAGCACTTTCCACAGAAATCTCTATGGGCCATCCTGGGCATTTATGTGAATACTACAGAGTTGCTGGCAGGAAACCAGAGCTACTTGGAAATCTTCAACTACAGGAGGTTTTCTTGAAAATCAAGATTCAAATATTCCTCTACATTAAAACACTTCACATTTGACCAGTTGGCCTAACTCAAGCCACAACTGCCATGGAACATTATCTGTGCTACAAATTAGCAGTTTCAGCATGACTAGCTTTAGCACAGAAGCCACATGAACTGTCTTGGCAACACAAATGACTGTTGGGTGTTCGCAATTTTCTGGTGTTTATATTCAGGACAGATTCTCTAGTCTGCTAAAACCCTACAGTATCATCAATGAAACCGATAGAGAGCAGCTGTAAACGCTGATGAACACACACTATTTCAGCACATCACATGTTGATGTTTATTCATTTTTTTTTCAGAAATACCCTTCTCCAAAGAGAATCTTAAAATGTACATATTTTGCTCTGATTCTAAATTAAAAACTTCCTCTACCGCTTAAAAATAAGGTGCAATACTGCTGTTCTCTCAGCTTTAATGCCCTATAAACTGTGTATCTCTCCCTACATCATCTTTCATTTTATTTTGTAGAGTCAGGGAAGATGCCTCAGTCTCAGACAATGCTTTTATTCAATATGAGAAACTATGACTTACTGCAAGACAAGTGGTGCATGAGTAGCCAAGATGGACAATGCAGGGTACCTTGGTTTCATTTGCAACTTCTTAATTAGCCAGTGCAATGCGCCCGTATGTAGTTCCTTAACCTTTCCACACTTCCCTATGTCCCCTTGTTAATTTTCCACACTAAACCTACAAATTCTTTGATGCCAACAACAAATGTATAGTTGGAGAATCAATGAAGCATGAAGACAAAATATGCAATAAAAACCTACCTTGCAATCAGCATGTGATCTTGAATATAGGCAAGAAATTGTGGATGGTCCTTTCTTGCTATATACAGGCATTCTCCATGAAGACACAGGATCTTCAGACAGTTAAGCATGTTAAAAAGAATGTCTGGTTCTTCAAATCTTGACATTTCCTGTGTAAGCAGATGTACTACTCTCAACAATGGCACCACTTAACCAAAAAATTCAAACTAAACAAACAAGTAATCAGTGTTACCTGCAATATAGTGTATATAAGCTTCAAGGTAACTGGAAGTTGCTGATAACAAAATTTTCTTTCTGTGTCATTCTTTATTGCTGTTAAAAATGTAAGTTACATAAAATGTTGTTAAGGTTCTCCCATCTGTGGATTCAAAATGAAACTAAAGAATGTCAAAGTGCTGAGTGATAAATTAATTCTAGCCACAGTAACACTACAATCAGTAAAGATACAACAGCATAGAATCTGGCATGGAATCTTTTTGCTTCTTTATATGTTCAAAGAGCCAAGATCTCTTCTAAAACTTTTTGGAGAGCGCCACACTTTCTATCAGCATAAATACAGACTTCCTATTTAATTAATATGTTGAAAAAATTAAATGCCTGAGAAAAAAGTGATTGTGCATTGTTGGACCTGAACGACTACTTCTAAAGTTGTATTCTGTATGAGTAGAAGGGTTTCATTTAAAGCCTTACTGAAATACTCAACCTTCTCACCCCCACTTACCAGCATTTTCTGTGGTCTCTGTGTGATTTCCCGGGTTTTCTCCATGTTTTGGTGCCAATTTGTCTTCCTCTTCTCCTTCAGTTCCTATAATAAACTCAGGTCTAGTATACAGAAGACTATCCTCGAGGTTATCTGTGGGCTCCTTTAAGAATATAATAAGTTAAATTTGTTTATTGATGTTATCTAAATACATAAGGCTGTATCCTACTTTTGAGTTACATTTGGTGTGATAAGCTGAGCTCAAACAAGGCAGACACTGTCTCGTTCTGCATACACTTGTTCATTCAAATCACCTGCATATCTAAAATGCTGCATCGGCAAATGCATACTAACAAGGAGACTGTTTCAAGTGATTTAAGTGACACCACTTAACAGAAACTGTATTGGTAGATCCAATCACAGGGATATGGTTTCACCAAACTTGTCATCCTTGCCTCACAGGAGTAACAGCCAGGAGCAGGGCAATTTCCCTATGCTACTGTAGAGTTACAGGCTTAGAGGCAGGAGCTACTCAATCACTGCTACATTAAGAAAAGGACCAGGCTGGAGTTATTTCTGCCTGTGGCCAGGAGCCCAGGATTACAGATTGTCATTGTGACCTTTAAGTTATAAATCACACAGTGGATCCCAGAAATAGTACAAAGCCCAAGTACGCAAAAGACTTCACCACTTGCAGTTCAGATTCTCACCTCAGACAAAAAGTAGCAAGGGCATGAGATGATTTTTTTAACACAAGTTACTGAATGCCACATGAATAATACCTACAATTAGCATACACATCCAAGTGGAATTCCAAAACTTTTACACATCAAAAGGCATCACTATGTCCACCACTGAAAAAAACTACTAATAAACATCCTGCCACTACCATGCCACAGTAAATAAGCACTCAGACTAAGGGGAACGATACTGTCTTCTGAACTATCAGATGGAGCAGTTATGTACAATAGACATACAGCTGAAAATAAATTCATCACACCACAGGTAATGCTTTAATTCTTCTGCAGAGCTACAGAGGACCTTAATGACAACTAGTGATCGGAGAGTACATAACTGTTTGATAAAGCTGGACACTCAACTTGAAGTATATTCTATTTTTCAACAGTGCACAGCATCTTCAACAATCAAGCACCAACTAAGGCTTGCTCACTTGACAACTGATTCACTCAAAATCATTAATTACTTCAAAATATTGATTCATCTTTTAAAAGATGAAAAGCACTAAATATTAACATTTCACATTTTATTTAAGACCCAGTATCACAGGAGTGTCCTTGCAAAGTGAGACAGCACTTCAGTGTTGATGGGGGAAGAGTTGATACCAGATGAATATTGTCATATTCCCTGGCTTCTTTTCATCAGATCAAACTTATGAAATTTTACAGTTTAATGGCATTTTGTTTTAATCTCCCAAATCCTCCACACCAAAGGTCAATGTAGCTTTGCTCCCTTGTGCACAATGTAATGAAAAAAATGAGGAAGAGGAGTTTCAGCACACCAATAACATAGGTCCTTTCCTTCTCTACTTACCACAAGCCTGATTTCTTCTTTTGGAGCAAGCTGTTCCAGCAGCTCAAAACCCAGCTGGTAACACAGAATGCTGGACTGACACAGACCACATTCAACTGCTTTTTCATCTTTCTGACAGGTGTGAGAACCACCCCACGGTGCCTGGAACACATTGTTTATGATGGATATTATATCTTTTGAAATGCTGTTCTCTAAGCCCAAAGTGACACCATCATCCTGAAGTTCCATCTGAAAGAGAGTGAAAAGAGTAAGGATTTATTATTTATTTTTAAAAGCCAGAGCATTAACTTTTCTACCTCTTCCCACATTTCTGCTAGTGTTATATTACAGTACTGGAAAGAGTTTGAGATAAACCTGGAACTCACAATTTTAAACTACCACTGGTGTTAAGGACCAAGGTCGAATAGCTAGAGTAAACAGACAAACACCAGAACCATTAATTCTACCTGCAGACAGTTATCCAAAACATTCAGCCTTGGATTCACAATGTACAAATTCAGCTATCCAAAAAATATGCATTGAATCCAAGTCTATCAACAAGCCTCTGCTTCTAGTCTGTAGAAATAAACAGATCTCCAAGAAGTTCCTTTCACTCACATGAGCTACCTAAGATGAGTGTGGAGGTATCTAACTTCTCTTCATTGAACATGAGCCTATAACTCCTATATGGGTAAAGGCAGCTGTAGAGGGATTTAAATGTCATATACTTCATGCTAGTCCCTCAGTAGAAAGGGACTCAATACAGTATCAAAGGAGAGCCAAAAGTGATTGCAGAACTTCAGTGTCCCCTCAATGCGAGTACCTGCTTCAAGATGAGATCAAACATCAGAATGAAGCAATTAAGATTCATTTCATCATCTTCACAGTCAAAATCAATTGTCTTTCCACTGGGGTGTCCAAAGTTCTTGAAAGGGCTGTGAAAAGGACTGCGTATTGGACTCCGAAATGGGCTCTGGAAGGGGCTTGGGAAAGGACTCAGCATGTTGTGCTGGACTCTGCGCCCAGGGTCAGAAGCAACGCTTACCTGAAGACATAAAGATTCAACACATCCAAATGACTGCTACACATTTAAGCAATCTCATTCTATGCAAAACTGCAGAAAATGGCAAGAACTTTGACAGCCTTACTATTCCCTTCTGTAGTTCTTTTTCAAAATGTATACGTGTCCCTTAAATGCCATTAAATGATAAAATATGATAGAAATACAGGAATCATATTCTGCACAGATGCATAGATTCTCTTAAGCTAAGTGGCTGACATCCATTACCTTATTCCTACTGAGGAATTTTAACGTCATAAAGCAAACAGAAACTTGGTGCAGGCAATAAAGCGGCCATCAGGTTACAATGATCTGCTCCATAATCCAGGCATACGAACTTCAATAGTAAGAGGCTAATAAAGGAGGGTATCTCAAGAGAACAGTGTAACTAAGACTATACCAAGGCTACAGGTAGCTGGAAATTAACTAGACACAACAGTAACAAGATGTGCATGTCTGTACTGATTTATATCCACACCACAGTAAGGAAGCTGGAACACCGTGAGAACCTCTAAGTGTTGTAGGGAGATACGCAGTTAGATGACATGAGGACTACTTTTAGGCCAGCTATGGTCTGAAAGACCAGCCAGTAAGTCTGACTGTTTTTTCAGCTTAGTTTGTAAGTGGTCGTGGGCTAGGTGTGGGAGTGCTCTCTGATGAGCTACATCAGAAGACAGGCAGACCACCTGTCAGGAATCAACAGCCTAGATGCTGTAGTTCCTTAAATCTAAAGATCTGATCTTTCAAACACTATTATTCCTGCTGTCCCTGAAGCACTTCATCCAAGACTACTTGGAAGTTATTTACATCAGTCCACGTATGTGTAGTACCTACAGATTTGTACATGTTTTCTTGCAGACCGTAAGCCTTTGACAGACTTTTAGATCAATCTTTGCATCTCCTGGATGGCGAAAAATAATGCAGGGAAACAGAAATAAATTCTGCTGTCACCCTTCCAAAACATACCTATGCCTACCAAATCTGTACTAGAATACAAAAGCTCACTCTGAGTTACCAGTTGTCCACAAGAACTTGTCGACGGTTATTAACAGAAGGTGCAGAGAATGAAAATGGTCAGAAAAGATACTAAAAACACTCCAAACATAACCCAAAATCATTCCAAACGTAACCCAAACAAAACAGTTTACTAAGGAAAAACTGCACAGCTTTTCTGCAGTTCCTATCCGCATTATCTTTACACTGACCATGTGATAGAGTTGTATTAATTGAAGAAGTCATACCAATTTTCTTCCATTTTCAAAATTTATAGTGTTTCTAATCAAATGTTGCCATACTGAAAGACAACTTCTTAATTCTTCACATGTGCTCTATTAGTAAAACTGTTCTAAGCAAAAATATAAGCAGGAGAAATAAGAGTTACCCTCCGAGCTGCAAGATTTCCTGCCAGTTCACTGACTCTTGATTTTCTTTGATTTGCTAACTCTTTTACAGAATTAACTCCATCAGAAAACATGCTGATTAATAACTGAAGAGGAACAACAATGTCTAGTTCAGATAACACCTAAGGAAAGACAAACAAAAAAGCATGAGTTTCAAGTTTGATAAAAAAATGCCAGCTACTTCATAAGCACCTTTATCATATGATCCTCAGTTCATCAAGTTCCATATATTTCATTTTGGTATTCAATGAGGTCAGCTGCAAACTTAGGGAACTGGCAATAAAAGGGTATTTTCAAAATCTTTGTGGGCATCTGCTTAGTGCGCCTTGAGATCAGTTTTATGCACAAACACACAGGGATGTGGGGTTGTTCCAAAAAAAATTACCAATACTTGGATGAATAACTATGACTGTATGTATGATTACTTAAAACTGAATTCTTGTATTTATTCTGAGAATTCAGTCAGAATGGTAGCCTACAGGTGTCAACATAGTGACAGGATGGTTTTCTGCAAATCACTGAGGGAATATTCATCATCTATTTTGTCACTAACACTCAGACAAATACAAGTTCATTCATATTTTCATTAAATATTATTAGGAGAATTAAAATCTACAAAAATCATACTTGAAAACTCTGCATACCCAAAAATTGCTAGTGATCAGGAAAATTGGTCTTTGCAGAGGCTTAACAAAGATTACCCTCAACAGAATAGAAGTGATAATGAAGAATACAGGTATTATGCTCAGGTGCCGTGGAAAATTTTGTATCCTTTTGAATTCACTGCCCAAAGCTGACATGATTGTCCCTGTAGCTTTCACCCAGAACACTGGGTGAATGCCAGCTTTGTGGGCAAATAGAGCATAAAAGGCCCAGAGCAGCAGCAAGCCTGATGAGTACAGCCCTAGTCTAATTCAGTTCTTCATACACAGGAACAACTACAGCTGTTTCTGGAGTCTGGAATTAATTTGGGAATCTACAGACCAAATTCTATGGAGACTAAAAACTACTGCTGGCAAAAAGTCAGACCGCTGAATGGCCCTAAAGACACAACTGACATTCAAAGGTAAAAAGGAGTTTCCAGGCTTCCATTATATTGCCCATGATGGGCTAGTAACAAAGTTTCCTGTGATCTGTCTACCAGTCATCCTTACTCTGGGGCTAAGCAAAGGGCAGAAAGGTTCCGTGATCTTGGAAAAGTGGCTCCTTTTCCCCTCTCCCCTCTTTTTTTTTTTTTTTCTTTTTCTTTCAGCACGACTTGTCAAGAGAAGACACTTACATGCAGCCAAAGCAATGCTTGCTCTTGCACAGAGGATGGATACCCTGTGAATCGACAGCTAATGAAACCAAACATCTCCTCCATTGAGAAAGGGAGAGGGCAAAGTTCAGTGTCAAACATTTTGCTGAAAAGTAGAACAAAAACACAGCTCACTGAGTCACCATGGCATACACTGTGTGAGACATAACAGAAAAATGGCAGAAAGGCAATCTCAGTACCAGCACTGATGATGTTCTGTAATCCTATTTGCACCCTCACCCTCCACAGGAGTTGAGCTACATTGCTGATACCACCTGTCTTGACTTTTTTAACATCCAATGTAAAAATTGTAAAATTTTTCATCTCACCACTCCACCACTATTCCATATCTACACCAAAAAAAGTTGACATCAATACCTACAAATACAAACTTACAGTCACTTTCAGAGCCTCTTCATCAGTTTAAAGGCAATGTGAAGTTTTATTGTCAAACGCATAGACCAGACATGAAATTATGGCTTAGACAGCCACCATTCTTATGCTGGTGTTTTCTTTGCCCAACAGGGGAAGATATTAGCTAAATCAATACAAATCATCACTCTTTCAGTGCCAGCTCTACTAATCCTCACTATTTCTTATCAGCAGTTGGCCAGGAGGAGAAAAATGTGTCTTCCACCACACTGCAGGAAACCACTGAAAATGTGACCTGCTCACAGCAAAGAAGCATCCATGTAGTTGGCTCTTGATTCAGATTTGAGGTTATCAGGAGCAATAAAAGGAAACTTTCCCAAAGCTTAAGTGCTTTAGTCTACATACAAGTTATAAAAAAATTCAGACGCGTTCGCTCACTGCTGCCTGTTGCACACGGGCATTTTTACTTGTTGTCACCATGTTATTGTGCTAAAACCTTCAACAATCAACATATGCTACGACAGAATGGTTCCTACATATGTCTACATACCTCAACACTTCCCGGAACTCTTTCAGTTGATTATCAGGCACTTCCGTCCTTATAGCTTCCAACCACTCTGGCATGATACATTCCCACACCGGCTGGTTTATCACATTGTATGGAATCAAGCAAAGGATTCGATTCAGCCCTTCTTTTAATTGGGTCACAGCACTACACGATTTGTCCCAGTATCCACCAACCTGTGGGTATTTCCAGGAATCATACTGATGAGCAATACTTCCTAGTCCCTGTAACTTGCTCAGCACCACAAATCTGCTCAGTGTGTTGCAGCCAGGAAATTGTGGGGGGTGATCATCAGTACCTTCCAGCCTGAATTCAGAATTCAGCCATGGGGATTGCATCGTTTTTTTCTTCTCTTATTTGACCCATAGTACATAAAAGCACTGTCCAAGATTTAGATGAAGTTTGCTCACCTCCAGGCCATGACGCAGAGTAACCTTTCATTGTTTACAGTTCTCAGCAAGGGACAGATTTGTTTGGTCAAACTTGCACCTTCAATTATTTGCTCTGGACAACTTGTTACAGTGCTGGGTCTTTATTTTGAAAAACTTGGTCTGTACCAGGTGTTCTTTTGTGATTGTTTGTTTTGGGTTTTTTTGTGGGAAGGTTCTAAGTGATGGAAGACAAAAAATATACTTCTAAGTAAAAAAGTAACTGGCCTACAGAGATTAATTATTCTAACTGACCTCGGCTCACATCTGCTGTTCCTAATGGCTCTAGACATGCCTGCTGTTTTGGCAGCAACTACTGGTAATCTCAGCCAACAAACTATTTTTTCTCCATTCATCACAGCTAATTTCATGGCTGTTTGTCTTCATGTTCTAGTGAATCCTTGCAAATCTGGCAAGTTGTCAGACTAGTCTTAAGTACTGCAGTGGGGGTAATAAAACTCAAAAAAGGGGCTGTATCCAAGAAAAAGATCCATAACAGATTACACCATGAGGTTCAGTCCTTCTTTCCCCCTTTAGTCTCAAAGCCATTATCTTTTCAATTCTAACATTCAAAGCATCCATCCACCTCTCAAATTCCCTCAGCTGCCCTCCAATTGTCCCATAGCCAGGTGTATCTTCAGAACAATGGTTCAGAGTAAGACATACACACATACAGTCTGCACATGTACACCAAATCCATGGATGCACACTTCATCCCTGATGATGTAATAGATCACATCAAGTCTTTATGGCTCTTCCTAGTCTAGCCACTTTATTTCAGGAAACAAAATCAGCATGTCCTCTGGACATTTGACATGAGAGGGTCACAAAATGAAAGTTTTACAAAAGCACATGTGCTGTAATTGGCAGTGATAAATGAGAAAAAAGCCTTAAATCACAAATATAAAGTTTCTATTTTCATGATGATGTTTCATTTTCTGTAGAGGAATATTCACACCCCTGACCTTGTTTCCTGTCTTTACTATCCAGGTTAACTGGCAAACTCTGCTTTATAATTAATGGACAGAAAGAAAGACTCTAGAATCGATTCCAGCAGTGGTCTCACTTAGGCACCCTGAATGACTTGACAGATAAGTCTTTTTCTCCCTTCAGCAGTAAGACGAACCATGGCAAACTAGTCTCTTAACTGAGTCACTTAGATTTGGTATCTGAAGCTACATGGCATCAGTATGTCCAGAGTTCCTTCCAGCTACAACACGTGTGATTTCATGAACCTTAATTCACAGCTGCAGAGATGAAGAATGCAAAGAACAGAGAAAAATTAGTAAACCAGACTAGTAAAGGACAGGCTTGTATCTGGGAGCAGATAGCTTTTACTAAAGACAAGCTTAAATGCTTCAGCAGCTTAATGGAAATGTACAGCTATCCAAAATGTACAGTATCTTTCAATACCTGTAATACTCTTCCAACCTGTTTTCATATTGCTGTAAATAATCCCTGGACTCTAACACAGTAAAACAAAAAATGCTGAGAAAATGAAGAATTCCTGAACTCCACCACTCCCTCAACCACTGAGATTTCTTTTGCCTTGACACAGCTGGGGGAGAAATGGTCTTTATATGTAAAGACTTTAATCTCTGTGGCAAATAAAAGAACCTTCAGATAAATTATTCTTACCCTCGCAAACTCCATTGGTTTAGGAAGGAGGCACATAACCATGACATCAAACCGGACATCACAAACAGTCTTCAGCCACTTAGTAACAAACTGGGGTTTGAGCTTTTCAACCAGGCTACCAACTTCATCATCCATCATGTAAGCTGTAGAGTGAAACCACTGGAATACCATGCTAACCAGCCTTGCTAAACTCTCTGTGGGTGTATTCTCACTGGGAGTGCAAAGGCTCACCTTGAAGACAGAAACACAAATCAAGTTTCATTTCTAGAATTAAAGGTATGAAATTGTTTGCTTACTATATTTTACATATTCTCAGAGACACAAGGATGCAGATTACAAAGAAGGCACACGAGCTGATCAGTTTTGAGTTTGGTACAGGTCAATAAACAAAACATTTCCAAACCAAAAAATAACAGTAAGAGGGAAAAAACCAAGCACTTAATATTTCGTTTCTTAGTTTCAATAGTGAAAATATCAATACAGAATGCTTTGACAAACTGAATAACTGGTAAAATACACAATACACATACACACATATATAAAATGTACAAGATAAAAAGACAAACCAAATGATGAGTTTCAAAAGTCTTAAAGATGTCTACTTAATATAATAAGTGATTTTTCTGTTGCAAAAAGATTCCAATTTTGATTTTTTGTCCTCATTTGGGGGTGGAAATATGAGTTTCAAGTCCTCAAAAATTCTCACATAATAATTAATATTATTCTCCTCCAGACTCTTTCTAGAACAATGTCTGCACTGTAAAACTGTCACAAATCTGAGACCAAGTCTGCACACTGGTTCACAAACCAGGTACACTGCTAAGCCCTTAATTACCTACTATTTGAGCTCTTGATATCTTCTGGCGACAGAAGACAAAGTTTCAATTCAGGTTGCTGCACTAAATCCAAAGAATGGAAAATAAGAGATGACAGGAGATTTAGGACGCTCCTTTAACCACCTATCTGCTGTTTGTTGCCAATTCCTAGTGATAGCCATACTCTCAGCACTTGGCAACCTGAAACCAGTGATTGCTGCCTTGTAGCAAGTGAACAAAGGAGAAACATTCATTTCATTTTTCGGGGAAACAGCTGGTGACAGCACCAGAAAAGTTCAGAACCCATCTTACAAGTGCTTTTCTTCAATGTTTTTTCTTGGAATGAGGCAGTTAACACCATCCTTGCCAATTCAAAGTAGAGCCTTCAATGTTCTACTTCATTGCAGGTTGAAGTTAAGATGTTCACTTCTGGTGCTTGTCTCAGATGAGTGTTAACTCAAAGGCAGTATCAGCTGGCAGCCTTTTAAAATAGGAACTCCTGAGCTCTGTCCAGTTTCTAGATAAAAGGTGATCATTTCATGAAAGAAAAGAGCAACCCACTATTTCTCACAATCTGTGCTGTCATCTCTAGCAATACTCACTACAGAGGGATCAAGAGATTTTATAAGAATAGAATGAAGTCAGTGAGTTCACCCTCCCTACCATATAAAGACAGATTCTCAATGTCAAGTGTGAGACATGTACAGTGTAACAAAACCTGTTCTGTTTTTACTTCAGTTCTATTTCTGGAAACATAAGCCTTCAGTCTTTACAAAACATCATTTGAAACAGAATAGATGAACATAGCACAATAAATTAAAAAAAAAAAAGCTTTAAGTCTAAAACAATGTTAAACAACAAAACCCACAAGTTATTAGTAGACTATAAAGTTTACTCAGGTAGTCACCTGAAAGAGCAGAGCAGCTTTTTTTGCATTATGAGAGTCTAGACCTACCACCCTGCTGTCCCTATCTCTGTTTAGATGATGGATGAGAAGTCCTACTGCTCCCCATTTATCACTGGATGACTGAGGAGGACAGAGCATGAGAGCTCAAGGTGAACAGGAAAGAGCCTGAGAAGGAAAATTCTCCTTAAGGAGAATTGCAGAACCCAATTTTGGAGGATCTATCAGGCTCCAGCCTGGCCTGTTCATGAACTAGCCAGTAGCAGCCCTGCTATTTTCTCTGCTAGCTACTGTAAGGGGTAGAACAAGCAGGGCTTCATTCTGTCATCCCACACCAAGTGAATTAGCTTGAGTACAATGACTGGGCCTGGTCCAGCTAGACCAATCTGAAGGTAGGAAGGAAAGCAGCCCAGTTAGACTCCTCCAGCCTATTCAGAGGTAAGAGAGAAAGATGAGCTTCCAGAGAGTGATGTTGAAAGATGAAAGGTGAAAGATCTTTAGGGGACTGTCTTTTAAGGTTAAAAATAATGGCACTCAGCAGGGGGCACTTGTGAGCAGAAGATGATAGAACATAGGAAGTCAAAAACTGAGTAATTCTGTTACACACTCTATACAGGACTCAGAGACAGTCAGCAGCTCCACCCAAACTACTTCTGTAATCTCCAAGTATGACAGCTTCACAGAACTCATTTTTGCTCATAAATCAGAAAAGTATCCAACTAAATTCAAGAAGCAGAAAAAGAAAAAATTGAGGCTTCAGAAAGAAAAGGACAGGAAAGCAAGAGGAGTGAGAGAAGAGAGCAAGAATTTCTCACCAAGAACCAGATTCCAAACTGGCTCAGGAGGCGTTGGTCATGCTTGTCATCATCTTTATTATCAAAGTCTGTGTTGTCGAGGGAGTGATGGGAAGAGGAGAGGCCCATCTGCCTCCTGCGGTTTAGTTCATACTCCCTCTGTTCAGCATGAAACTCTGCTTCCTTCAGCAAGCTATAAAACAAGCTTGTGGTCAGTGAACGTAGCTTTCCTGCACTGGATACAAATATCTGATCAAGAATAACTAGAGGTTAAGGCATGTGATGTCATCATTTTCCTGAAAGCAGTAACAAAATAATGTTAAATTCTAGGATTCAAGGTTGACTTCTTCCATGAGGACAACACTCACACCTGATCAGTACTCTGCTAAAGGAGCAGGAGGTCAGCTCTCCTGCTTTGTACTTATCCTAGTGAAACTAAAAGCAATTTTAACAAGATTTGCAGGAAATATCTACGTGAAAGCCTGATGCTGCTTTACATATCTATGCTTCATAAGCTGCCATGTTACCTGATCACAGCTTCCACAGTACACACAAGTTCCTCTGCCCCACACTCCCGGGTATTGATAGGGGGTGGCGAGGTCTGATAAAGATGGGTTTCTGCAGCTGCCCCGACTTCACTGCTGTGATGATTCGAATGGCATCTCTTGCAATAGCGCACCGGCCTGTTGCCATGGCGGCCACAGCACCCCGCTGAGAAGCAAGTGACAACAGCTCTTCTGACATGTGAACTACAGTTCTGGAAAATAAAAAAATATTTTATCGGGCCACAAGTATCAGGAAGCAGAACTGAAAACACATAAGTGTCAGCACTGGGCAATTGGCTCAAGTGTTGGTTATTTCCAAAATCACTATATATAAGCACAACTGTGTGCAAACTCCTGATGCCAAGTGGCACTGAACTTCCAGAAAGATGAGTTCAGGCCTAAATGCTGGGCCTGGAATTAAATGGCACAGTTGCTCTTCTTTTAGAGCAGACCAAACAAACAGTTAAGTCATCAACCTCAACTTTATGGCTTGGAGCAATCTCTAATATTTACAGTAGTTCTCTTAACTCCTGCTTATACTTCAGAATGTCTTTTTAAATTACGTGTAGCAACAGGCAAATCCTTAGGAGTGTAGTCAATGGTGCCACACCAGTTTATGCTTTGTAAGGATCTGCCTTATAGGTAACCATTCAATCCTCCAAAATATGCACTACCTTTATTTTTGTCACCTGGTAATCCAGTCCAACATAAAAGCTTTCTTTACCACATAAGAACTAGAATATATTATACATTGTATTTGTCATTATTAAAATGTTATTAAAACACACTAGCTGGTATGTATTGCAAGCAGATTCTTTTTGTCAGCAATCTTTTTAGAGCCAAGCGCTGAAGACTTTCAATCCATATATTTTAAAAAATATAGTTCACAGTAGGATTTTTGTTCAATTTAAGATTAATGCAAGACCTCAAGGAGAAGATATAAACACTCAGATTTAAAATTAATCTCTTGCTCCATCCTCTTCATAAGCAGAATTATAAAATAAAAACTGAGCTCAACTGCATAATTGATTTGCTTTACTAATTGCCTCTTCAACAAAAACCTACAACTCAAATCAAACATCAGCAGTTTTAACAAAAAGAAACCTTGCTGCTGAATCATTCCCATCCACCACAAATGCATTCATGGATAGTGTGAAAATTTGGAATGGTACAAGAAAGAACACACCACATAGTAATGGAATGACACTACACACAACAACAAATCATGCCCCATCACAAAAATGACTGTATCTTACCTTCTTCTGACATATAGCAGAAATTTCAGCTGTAAGGGGAAGGCATACAAAACATCAACACAGAATGATGATCCTTCTGTTTTACTATGGCAGCCACGGGAAAATGGACTTGCTGCAAGGAAGTCTCTGAGGCTAAATTTGTGTTTCCAGATATTTATTACTGAAACCTCTAAGCCTGTTGGACTGCATGAGGTAGGTTACTGTATATTGAGGCCTACTGGATCCTTCACTTCATTGTAGAAATAACAGCCTTGGTGCATTAAGTGTGGTGTGCTCTGCATCCCATTCACCTTCTGCCTATGCTTCTGCGTCATGGACAGACTTATACAAGTACACCTGTAAGGACACTACTGTGGCATGCTGTAGGAGACATGGCTCCAATGTGCCTACACTGCCTGTGAAAGCATGCAGGATGAAAGATTAGTGAATATGGATGAACAGTGTAGAACTTGTCAGCTATTCAGTCTGTCACCCTGACAACATCTGATTCAGTAAATACAGGTGGCTGAGTAAAAAGAAGTACTTACCTGAAGTAAATAGAAAATTCTTAATCGGGACTAGATTTCCACTAAAAAGAGACAGCAAAACAGTCTCCACTGACTAAGCATTTTAAGTTTCCAGAACAAAGAGAGAGGGAATGTCTTTGTTCTGTTCTTGAAAGGGTTATTTTACAGAGTATGTGACTGTCCTTGTAAACCCAGGAAATTCTGATTAGTCAGTCAACAAGCTTTGTCTGCATTCTGATAGATAATAAAATATCAGGCTCCTGATATCACTGGCCAAAGTACAATGATTGGATCAATGACTGGATCATTTAATTTTAAGTCCTCTTCTGATATCCTTTATAGCCTTCTCTTTATAGAACAGATTTTCAGAAGCTTTAAGATCTGTCAGATCAGACACAGGTTACCAGAAGAACTAGCCCCTTATTTGGACACGGGTGTGAGACACAGATACTTTTAAAAAACTTGGCCCTAACTGTGGATGCTTCAAGATTTGAAGATCTGTTCAACTGTGCTTCTTCACACATAAAAAGTTGCATACTATTTCAGATAGAAGATGAATCAATTTTTCGTAGTACTTTAAGGACATCAAGCAGTATTAAGTACAAGCTACTTCAAATTTTTTTTAAAATTCCTTTAGAATAGAGCGCAGCATCTCAAGTAATACAATATGAAGAAATATCAGTAAGCAGTGTTGTACAATTATGATTAGTTTGTACCTACCCTTAAAATACCTCTTACCTTGTGGCAGAAGAACATCAATCAACCATTCACTGTGATCCCTATAAAAATTTTATATTTAATTAGCTTTCCATTTTTTATTTATATACGCATTTATTTTTGCACAGAGGAAATTCGTCTAAATTAACATGGCAGGACTTACATTATTCTGAAGCTGCTTTTTTACAAATGTAGTTTTTTTAATTACAGACTGCTTTACGTTACCTCTCTTTGTTGTGCCTGTCTTATTACAAATTACCACTTTGCTGATGTTGGTCCACTATGTTCCAGGCTTTCAAAAAATTACTTTTAAGGCATACATTTATCAAATTAAAATAGTGTGTGCTCTGAAAGTGTCATGGCTAAGAACTGATAGAAGAATAACAGACGAACATAGAAAAAAAGGTACCAGTACCATTTTCCGTGAGTCTCCTTAGAAGCTATGCTTCTACCAAATTACTTTTTCCTGCAGCTTTAAATCAGTGATGACTTAAAAATTCTAAGGTGATATGTACAGCTTTTCCTACAGCTGTTATAAGTATCTTAAACTGGGGACAAAAAAAATCCACATAGCTTCTGAACTACATCCATTTACATGAACTATTTGAACTACATCCATTTACATGAACTATTTGAACTAATGACTGGAACTCCCCATAACTATTAGTAGATCTCATGAAGTAATGCAAACTAAATTAGCAATTTTTTAAAAATAATTTTTTTAAAAAAAGGAATAAGTGAGTTTGAGTCAGCTCAGGCTATATTCCCTCCAGGTACTGGACAAGCCTGGACCAATTTCAACTCTTTAGTCTGCTGCTTCACAGTATACCCTAGAGAATAATCTGAAATACATGCTACAAAACAGTAATGAAGTCTCTGTGAAAGAGCTTTCATTGTAATGTCCTGCTTTTAATGACAACTAAAGGATGAGGACAAAAAAATGTTTCATAAGCAAAAACTTGTGGATTAATGAGGTTCCCCTATTACAGTCAATGCATCCCACAGCATCTATTCATTGCGAGATCTTAACTTTAAAACAACTCACTAGATGAGTTTTTCAGAAACTAGATGCAAATGCTGACCATGTGAGGTAAATTTCTGCAATCCTTATTCATACTGTGTGGCAGTGTACTCCATATATTTCAACAGTGTTATCTATATAAACAATATGCTAATCAAACCAAAACAAAATGTCACTCCACAATTCTGAACAACAGACTGTCTATATCTGATCATTTTCCAGCTCTTAGTTTACCTACCCTGCAATTCTCTGGCTACATTCTTCACAAAGATATAGGGGTGGTGGCTTATCACCCAAAGCCACAGACAAGGATGGGTCAATGCACATCTGAAACACAGAGAAGGAAAAGACTTAACATATCTTTTAATTGAAGCTCACTAAAAAAGTTCAACACATTAATGCTAGGACATACAATATAACAGAGCTTTAAGATGTGTTGAGAGCATTTAGTATTCTGAAAGACGGTACTCAGCATCTGACAGTACAGGATCTCAAATTATTTCTAACAAAGATAGGGATGTAACTGAAAATGAGAGCTTATGGGAAGAAAACAGGACATATTTCAGTATCAGTATTATCACTCTGAAAAATAAGTATATTTAGTGTTACACATTTATACTGCATAGTCATGACAGACCCGCTTTTTATTTCTTTCCAAAGAGATAGTCACTTAGAGAATCTATTGCTTAGAACAATGTAACATACAAGTCTAGATTTTTCTATCTCAGTAACAACTTTCAGCAAAATCAAATTTTCAGTCATCATAGTTACTAACTATACAGCACAATTCCAGTGACAGAACAGAGACTATGGACCCACAGGTCTCTTGACAGCATATATACAAACTTTGTCTTGCATTAGCTTTTATCCTTCCATGTTAGCCAGTTACAGAAAACAGTTACAATTAACAGCCAGTTATGTACACATTTGTTTAAGTCTTTTGTACTATTTAATGAAAACATGAACAGCAGTATGCATACACAGTATCTTAACCACTTAAATCATAATGTTTCTTACTCTATTTCAAGTGCAAGACTTTATAAATAAAGACAAATGCCTCTTCAAATGTTTCTCATCTTTGTTAACCAAATCTATATTCATCTATCCAAGAGACAACAGACTGCATTTTTCTGAGTGATGACTGATCAAGACTGGTTCTGTCAAAGTTAAGCTAAGAGATCATTCAAAAATATTCAGGTATTTCACCGGCAAATCTTGGAACTGTAAATTTCATTGATATTTTGCTCTACTCAGTGATTAATCCAAATCTAGTGATCACTATAATGTGAAGCAACACCTTACAGCTTTATTTCCTATGAAAAGGGATCACGGAGAATGACTGGAGGTCAGAAAAGTGGTCCCTAACAGGACTTGTGAGGTAGGTGTCACCATTATGCCCTATCAGTATCATAGCCTATGAAAAAGCTCACTGAAGAACAGTTTGACTAATGTAATTATGTTAGTATATGAACCAATGCCGGGAAAATTGGTTATATCTATGTATTTAACTAGATACAAATCTAATTAATTAGTACACCTAACTGTAGTATGCTCTGGACTTCAGATGCTGTTCTTGACTCTGCCATCAAATTGCACTACAGTCTTGGTCAAGCTATTTAACTTTGTTACCCTGTGTGCAAACAGGAAAGACATCATGTACCTCTCTCAAAGAGGGCTGGATCAGGGGTAAATAAAGCTTTGTTGCTATTTGCTTTAGGAGACATTCCAAGCAAAGGATTAGAGAGTAGGTGCCATTGTATGCCCTTTCTTAAGATACCAAGGTGAACATGTACCTATATAATAACTGACGTTTCCTGAATATTGTGCGGGTATTTACACACATGTATGTGTTCAGGAAAATAATTACATGGATTAGCCAAGAACCAGCTTAATTTTATAAAGTACTCTGCAACTATCGCCATGTTTAATATCAAGACTTGGTCCACAGTAGTTGGAGGAAATAACCCATCTTGCTTTAGGCAGCCAAGGAACAAAATTCTGTCCCCCCTGGTCTCAACAGGCTTTGCTGTTCCCTTAGCTCCTGCTCTTGGTCACCTGCACACAACCAGAGCATATGGCTGGGGCCAAAGTACAACCTCCCATCCCCCAGATAGTTGGGTTTGACCCCTGAAGAAACAGCAGTACCTTCACAGCTGGTTTGTTAATCGCATTATGGCATTCAATGTGCTGGCAATGAATAGGATTCCAGGCTGCAAAATCAAAACACAGCTGATTAATAAATGGATAAAATATACTTGTATTCTTTGTGTCTACAAGTATCAACTGAGAACAAGATCTTATCTACTAAATACTATATAAATATGAGAGACGACCTAGCCATTCCTCTGGAAGCCTAATAATTACAATAAGCAACCTAGAATATACGTGCCTACTGAATTATTTGGGATATAATTACAAAACAATCCATGAACTCAGTGAAGAAATGGAAAAAGTAACGTTTGGACATCCCTGTTGAAGACCCTTCCCTCACCAACATTGAATTAATTAATTTTTCTTCCACTCCAGGAGCAAGATGGTAGGAGTAGCTGAGTAAACTCAGTAACATTTCTAGCCACAATTAAAACAAAACTATGATAAAGGAAAACTAGTCCAGCCACAGAAGGAGACTTAGCTTTGTAACAACAAGATATAAACAAGAAAGGTATGTTCAAGAGGCATCGCATGGATGCTGTAAGGGACACCCCTCCAGGTGAAAATGTCCATGCAGCTCTAGAAAATACTCCTCCCATTCTGGGATACATTAAGGGATAATTTACATATAGAAAAATTATTCCAGTTTACCTAGTGCTAATAACAGTTCAGATAATATCATGCTTAGTTCACAGACCTGTTTGCATGACAAGTAATGCAGAGTAGTACAAGACTGATTTTTTTTTTTAAAAAGTCAAGAAAAATCTATCAACCCTTCAAGGGAAGACAGGCTTAGCACAGATCAGACAAACAAGTATCAGGAACATTCAGGATGTGCTTTAATTGGTCTAGGGGGTCTTCTAAGGTATCTCCTAACCCTTCATTTTTATTACTTAAAATGTCTCATTCTGGTCCAGAAATTTTAAAAGTGAACAAAACATATCCCATATGACAAGAGATTATTTGAAATAGATTGAGACAGGCAAGTGCAAAATCAAGTCATGAATTGCTGCTAGACAGTCTCCACTGTAGCAGCACAATTCCATCAGTATCACTGGGGAGTCTGGGAGACAGAGGACTCTGTACCATCTGCCTACTCAGCCCCAGCTGCATTGCTGACTTTGTCTCTCATTTTCACCCTATAGTCAACCTTGAGACTGTATAATCCATTATACTGACTGCACCTGACATCACCTGACTTTATTTTGACAGTAACAGCCAGATAAGGAATCTTAGCAACAGCAGCAGTGACAGCAGCTGGCGCAACAAAGGTAACCAAAGCAATAATTGAAAGGAACGTAAGCCAGAACCCTTGTGAGGCCAAGGCAGCAGTTTCACAGACCATTTGGTATACTGTACTTATTTCTTCTCCTGTTCTGGTTTAGTCAGTATTGGGTGTAACATATATTTACTAGATACAATCAGAGTTTTTAATTTTCATAACATCTCTGAATACATAGAGAAATGAATATTGTATATACTTATGAAAGTACCAACTTATCAAACAAAAGATTTCAAAATACGTTACAGAACCGTAAACACGTGACATTAACACACTTCTGATTATTTCCTTTGTATTTATTTTGGCCTATACAAAACGAGCTGCACTGACCTGTGTACTGCAGTCCTCTGTACTCACTGATTGCCCCAGGGGGTTTCAAATTGGGCCAATAGTGAAATAACATTTGTACTGCTGGAGGTTTAACTTGAGATGGTCCATAAGCTATCACATATAGCAAATCCTAAGGAAAGACACATACAAAGTGTTTATTTTGAAAAGTAGCAAAACACAATTCAATAACATCACTTGTGTTCAGAGATATCTGAACACATAAAACATATACATTTCATGCCTTTGTACACTCTTACAAGTAAATTAGATGACTAACTTTAACTGTTCCCAACTGGCTTCTGGGTTTGGATCAGAGCTTCCCACAGCTACCACCCACACCGTGTAGTGTATTAACATATAGCAAATGAAGCCTCTATCTAGCCATGGAGCAGAGAGGTGCAATATAGATAAACAGCTGGATCCAGATAAGATTCAGGCTAAGACAATATTCACAAATAGTCCTCATAAAAGTTCAGTCCTACACAAACTGAGAAGATTGGTCATTATTAAAATTTCTGCTAACTGGAGCCACAACCACATAGTATTTAGGAAACAGAGCTCTATTCTACAAAACATGGAGCTGCTTCTGTAAACTAAAAATCAGAGGGACCTCTCTCTCCATAATCCAGAAGGAGGACTGGATACAAAGATAATTTATAACTCCTTGGCACACAGTCAGTTCAGTTTTCAAGCCATCTGGTTTTCATTACCATCCAATTACAGTGATTTCCACAAAGTATATATGATCATAAACTTACTTTCCATACTTCTTGCTTATATTTCATAAGGCATTCCAATAATTGGCAGTGATACACTGAGAGAGAAAAGACAGTACAGACATAATATTGAAGTGGAAACTCGAGTTACAGAAGTGATATAATTAGCTGATTGTCTTTGTTTTGTCCTTCCAAAACTCTATACCTCATTTAATTACTTTTTATCTTAAAGGGTTTGCTGAAGAATCATTGCCCTGAGAGTCATGATAGAATATGAATATGAATATGAAAATTACATAGTAGTAACTTGATTTTGTCAAGGAATGCAGTAAAATAATTAGTATTATGAGTATTATGAGTGTGCAGCTTTTTTCAAACACTTTAGTTTAAGAATACCTGCTAATTCCCTTAAACTTTGTCCCTCTGGTACAATGTAAAGCTGTAAATGAGCATCCTACCATTCATCTTGAGGCAGTAAGGAAGTCACATGTAACAATGCATTATTTTAATTATTTTCAAATAAACTACTTCACAAGTTTGACTTCCCAAAAAACATGGGGCAACATTTTCCTCAAGTGGCTGGAACATGGAATTCACAAACAAAAGAACATTTCATGAAAAAGAACTAACTTGTGTGAGTAGCTTTTAAAAATGGTGTGCTGCTTTCATTTACCACTGTGAACTACGTTAGCATGATGTGACAGTTCTCATGTCCATACTGCAGTGTGGAGTTCCTACACACACAACATCTACCCATAAAACAGGAGATAGTTGACTATCGTGCAATGTAACAGCTCCCTCAGGTTAAATTTTGTTTCAATTTGGTTGTATGATCCCACTGATTTAACTGGGACTGTGTCTAGCCTTATTTAAATTCATTATTTAAACTCATTATAGTTCTACTGAGCCTGCAGCCAGCATTACCTTTCTTCTTTAAAAAATAGTATCAGTTGTGAATTTGGTGGGATATGAATCATAGTATAAGACAAACTGTTACTATTAATTTCCATAGTCAAAATTTCTTTCCAACACTAATGTTATCTATCAACACTACTTTCTGATGTCAAGCAAAAGCAGATCAGTCTTCAATCCCGGGTCAAATCCTACTTCTTCATCACAATGAGATCTTTTATCTACATAATGACTACTTGAACCATGATGCTCAGAAATTACAGTTTTGACTAAAATCTTCTTCATCCTGTGTTGGATGGTGAGACTGATTTTTCCCCATCTGGAAAATGATTTCTCTGATTGCATTGGACAGTACTTCATGACTTACTTTTATAGAGAATGTTACCGTGTTGCATGTTTACACATACCCGGGTTTGATGTGTACTGCATTGCAATCATTAGCATTGATGATGCAGATAGATTGACATGTGCTGGAACACCTTCTCTTTTTGAGGATCCCACTTAAAAGAAAGGGGAAAAAAAAAAAAAGAAACATTTTCCATTGTATAACAAGGAAAATTAGGCAAGAATAGCATCTAACTGATTCCAACTGATACAAAAAAAATTCCTAAGGTACCCTTTCATTAAAAAAAATTTTAAAAATCCAAAAAACCCTAAAAATATAGAAACATTCTGTATTGAAGGTTTTTTTCTCCTGGAAGGAGAAAGATGACTAAGAATATGGTATTGATTCACAGAACCTGGTTTTCCAGATCAGTAAGATTTCATTCTCAGAGCTGCATTAACTAAAGACAAGGATCTTCTCAGGCACTGACCTTCAGTGCCCACAGACTAGTCAAAGTAATGTCATTTGTATAGTCAAGTGCACCTAGGGCTTGGATTGCAGAAAAGGTAAAGAAGAAGTGGAGGGTAAAGAAACATGGAAAAAAAAAATAGAGTCTGCTGTTGAGGTACATTAATGGAAGGGTTGGGCTGATGGTAGCTGCTGGCTGTTGGTGTATGGCACAGATTACTTCTCAGGGAGCACATGGTATGAGTTCAAGTTACAGCTACATACCAGCAAAATTAGTCCTCCTTGTTATATGAGCTGTGCTAGGATAATGATAAACAGTAGCACAGAAGTGTAGCTAGGCTGTTGTAACTTTGATCTCACACATAAGGTGGCTAGAGTTCCTTCCGGTCTCCTACAAAACGGTTACTATTAAATTGTATCCTTGGAAAAACCCTGCAAAGTGTAGGTGTTTATTTGCCGAACTGTAATATAGCAAAATGGCTTTGAGGGCAACTTCCTACAAAGAGATGTGCGATCTATCTTCCCATTCTCACTCACAGCTCTTTCCCAAGCCTGGCTGCTTGGGAACCAAGTATTTGGGATAGAAGTACAGAACTGTAGCTACCAGTTCAGTGAGATGCTTTCATCCCTCCCATCTGGCTCACCAGCTGCTTACACAATCTCTTACATCCTCCCTTTTGGTTTGATTTAGAGCTGAACACTAGGGGAAGGAAAGGCACTCACCTTATAGAGGGGCATACGATTCCTGGTTGGGAAAGGCTAGGGCACTAATTAAAAGAGCACTCAACTGCAAAAGAAGAAGGGAAGGGAAAATGGAGAATTCCTCTCTTCTATCCAGTACTTCTCCACATGACCCAACATTACTTTGGGTCTCTTCACTGAATTTTGTTCATCTTTTTTGAATCTCATCCACAGATGTAAGAGCCTCCAAATTATTATGGCAAGGTCTATTTGTATGGATTTAAACTGCAAAATACTCAGCAGCTCTAACCTGGCAATTAAAATGTGGCCATCAGAAGAAAAGTAGAACACAGTACTAGAAGCCAAATTTAAAGAGCAGCAGACTGGTTTCATACAGACATCTAACCAAAACTGAGGAAAAAGGCAGCATGACAAAGGTTGCTTCCATTTTCTACATGACTGCAATCTCTGCCAAGGGCAGTTAGGAAATAGTATCTAAATAAACCAAGAATTTGGATCAAGCAATTGTTTGGAGAATAGTTTTATAGATCTGAAGATAGACAGGACAGGACAAGCCACCTACATCAGCTGTTCTTTAACAGGTAACTGTAATGGAAGGAAAAGGAGTTTAATGCAACATTCTGGTCTTAACCCAGAGAGGATCTACTGCACATATGTAAGAAATATATCTTAGTAATTTTCATTTACATTAGACCTGTCAAAAGTAACAGAGAAAACACCATTGCAATGTCTTAGAAGGGACTATTTTACATGAGGAAACTGAGGTACAGAAGGGTTAAGGAATTTCTCCAAGATCACTGACTGGTAGAGCCAGAAAATGTACATAATAAATTTCCATGAAATCTTAATCTCAAAACACTGGATAATGATTCTTTCTATGTTCTAACAGCACCTTTTACATGCTTAAATAACATGAGTGTTGATCTCCGTAAAAAAGTGGTTCATGTTTTTCCATAAAGGTCTGGAATACAAATAAGAAAGAGACGTCACAGAATGACGGGATGGTTGATGTTAGAAGAGACATCTGGAGATCATCTCATCCAACCCCTCTGCTCAAAGAAAGGTCAACTAGAGGAGGTATCAGGACCAACTGTATTTTGAACATATGCTAGGATGAAGAATTTACAATCTCTCTGGCAAACTGTTCCAGCATTTGATCACCCACACCATAAAAGGCTTGCTGGTTAAAACTGACTTTTGATATTGATCCGAATGCTTCCATCTGCAGAACATGGTTAAATGTCTCACTACTACTGAAATCCCATCAAGCTTTTAATCAGGTACATAGACGAGCATTCAGAACACACCTGAGGATTCACATTGTGGAGGGATCGTGAAATTATGTAATCACGTGACAACCTCAGGGATAGGAATAAAAAAAGAAAGAAAAAAAGGCAGGCAAGCACTGTCAGATTCAGTCTTAACACTTACTGATAGGAGACATTACAGGCACAGCTATTTAGTACAGCACTTAAAGAGAATATGCCAAGAAGAGAGGGAAGGAGAAAAATCGGAAACTCATCAGAACATCATTCATTGATAAGAGTCATTCTTGTACATCCAGATATAGTCCAGATTCAAAAATTATGGTGTTATTGCATCTATCGTTTCAGGCGCAGTTTCCCCACTGATTTTGTATTCAAAACTCCCACTGTTGGCACTGAAAGTTCTGTGAGTCTGAAAACAGTGTGTTTCTTAAATAAACTTCACCTTTTAAATGAAGGAAGAATTCACACAGTAACACAGCATAATACATAAATAAAAATTATAGAAATATTTCCCTTTGAAAAATAGTCACAGGGTATTATTTTACACATATACATACAACAGATTGATATACCATTACAATTCTATGCCAGATCAAACTTTGACTCCTACAGGCTGATACTATTATAGCAGTGCATCATGTTTTCTGAGACATAATAATACTACAATGAGTTCTACTTACATATAGCCATAGGCAGAAAAGATGTGCTGAGATACTCTATAATATCCTTGTGCAGAAATGGAGGAAAGGTAGCTAGTGTTGAAATCATTGTATAGGGTAAAGTACTCAAAATGTCATCATTGAGAAAAGGAAGTAAGCATGTAGTAGTGTAAAAAATTGATTGCCCAAGATCTGTTGAATAAAATAAAAAAATACAGAATCATTACAATGGAAAAGTAATTATGAATGTGTACTTTTTAGTTTACAAAACTATTTTAAAAAATTACATTTAAATTCAAGTTTTCCCTTCAAAGTAATTTGGGAAGTTAATTACTATAGACAAGATACTTCACTGATCATTTTTAAACCCCTCCTAAAATAGAGGGAAACAGCTGTTCACCAGTACTCAGAAGAGTTTGAAGGGAATATGAACACTACAGCCAGTAAAATAATTGATGAAAATCAATGCTGATTTTAATCATACAGTGATTAACATACAATGGCCTGCATTTAAGCAGAGATATTTTTAGAATCAGAATTTGATATGCACTTTCGTATTGAAAAGCCTGCTTTTCCAAAAAGCATTCCAGTCTTTATCAGTTATAGAAAAATAAGATCCTGATCTTTAATTACCCTCAACAGAGCTGCAAAGTGTCCCCCTCCCCAGAGAGACTACAGGAAGCAACACTGTATTTTTCAAATAACATTAAACTATGATTAAACTATGGATCTTGTAATCCTGGGAAGCCATTCAGGCCAAAAATGCCCAAGGCTTAAAAGAAAGTATTTATTAAGGATTTCCATATTTATTCTAATTAATTATACTGTAACTCTTTGGAAGGGATACTTAAGAATGTGCAACATTTCAAGATAAAAAGGGAGGGGATAGGTTATTGTAGAATCTTTATACCCTCTTCCAAATAAGGAACTGAGCTGGGGCAAATAACTCTGAGAAAGATTACAATACTCAATGAACCTCAAGTTTGAACCTATATGATGATCCCAATACATCAGAAAGCCTTTCCCCTGCATGAGAGGGATTCCTTTCATTACTCACTTTGTAATCTTTTTTTACACAGGCCTTCAGTCTCATCTGCACAACTAGTATGATTTAAAATTGCCTCTGTAAAGTGCTGAGATCTGTAGCTGTAAACATCATGAGTCATAGTAAGAATTAAAATTAGCACTCCATTTCAGTGGTTCTGGCAAGTCTTCTATGCAAGGGTCTAACCAGACCCTTAATGCTAGAGAGTGTATATCTCTTGCAACACATATTCTCCAGCTAAGCATCAAGAGTTTTGTATTATCTGATTGCACAGAAGTTCAGGACCACTTAGTGCACCAGCTGTACTTACCCAAACACCACTGATCGTTCCAATAAAAAAAATATATATATTTAGTCAAATGCTAAACTGAGGGAGAAATAAATAACACATTGTATTGCAACATTTAATTCTCTGTACACAGAATGATAAAAATTAGCAAGTGTGACCTCCCCTTGCCCCAAGTATGAGTCAACCAAATTATTCCTGGCAGATACTTATCTAAACTGTTCTTAAAAATCTGCAAGACAGGCCACTCCTCCTGGCAATCCATCCTAGTGATTAACCATCTTTACCATAAAAAAAGCCTTTTTTTTCCTTTTTCTGAAATTTCCATTGCTGCAATTTAATAGCTTGGTTTACTTTCTTTCTCCTCGCAGCAATCTTTACATATTTGTATATGATAATCATGTCTCCCATTTTTCTCTAAGCTAAACCAAGTTCTTTGTTTTTCCTCACTGTTCACATTTTCTAGACCTCAAATAATTCTTGTTTCCTTTTCCTGGACTCCTCCCAAATGGCCCATGTCTGTCTTCATGCCAGGTGGACAAATCTGAAAATTTTAGTCCACCTGAGGCCTTGCTAGGGCTGTTAGAATGATAAACAAAATGCTCTGGGTGTCTCATACATAGAACACCTGTTCACATATTGTTAGAATAATATTACCATATTACTGACTTATGGTCTGCCTCTGACCTACCTAACAGCCAGATCTCTCTGCAGTACAGCTTCAAGCTAGTATTTCCCCCATCTCATTGCTGCCTTTGATTTCTCCCACTTCCAACACAGTATTTCACATTTCTCATTTGAAGATGTTGTAAAACAGAATGGAATTTACCAACATCATTTTGAATCAGATACCTTTCACACAAAGAACATGCTATCTGCCATCTTGATAACCCCTGTAAACCAAAGTGCGCTCTCATTTCTATCAGTCAAGTAAAAAAAAAAAAAAAAAAGAAAAAAAAAAAAGATATTTCATAACACTAGACCCAGCACAGACTCCTGTAAGATTCCCACTTGTACAGCCCTCCAGCTGACAAGAGTCTCTGGTGATTACTCCTGGAGTGTTTTCCTCACTCAAGTGGGGACTGTATGTCCCAGACTGCCTGTTAGAATGTCAAGCAACAAAGCAACAAAAGCCTGACTAAAGACAGGAAAATCCCACCAGGAGAGCCATTGTGTTGTCATAAAAAAAAAAATCATGTTTGCTCAGTGTTATTTGTTCTTTACAGGTCTCCACTGGTTCTTAATTACCACCATGTTACCTATGTATTAAAAGATTGTTTTGATAATTAACTCCACCATTCTTAAAAACTGAAATTAACAAGTCTATAATTTACTAGGAGGCCCCCTCTTACAAAATCATTTCATTTCCTAGTGCAGTATCCTTTGATTCAAAACATGATGCTGCCAACTCAACAGAAATTCAGGATTTAACAGAAACAACCTTCCTCCAAAAGAATTTCAGCAGTGTATCAGATTGCTGACAATCTTCCTGTACTGAACTGTGTAAGTAATACACCCTGATAACATGGTGAAAATTAATGTTTGGCTAATGTAACATAAGGAGAACATTGGGCTCCTGAATCTCAGTATGGAAAGCCACAGGCTAACAAGCCATACATATGCAGAGCTTGAGGGAAAACAATACAAATAAAACTCAGTCACAACAGAAAAAAAAATCTTGTGATTAACTAATTTGAAACATAAGGAAACACGGCTTTTCTGTAAATCAGAGATATTGCTATCTTTTTACCCAAAAATATTTTAGAGCCATCTCAAATCACCACTACCATGGTTTTCCTTCAATTAAATACATGCTATGTTCTATTTAGAGATGGACCTTCACCAAAACACTCAATCTGCATATTTGTTACAGGCCAGATACACATTTGCAAACAATTTGTGCCTTTTTAAGAGCTACCCCAAGAAGACCAGTCTGAAGATATCCCAGCAGATTCAAATGCAAAATCCAGATTTATTTTTAGACCCATCTACATTATTTTTGTTATATACCATTGTATTTTAGTTACATACCAACAGCATATCACTAAAAATCAGACAACCTTAGAATTCAAACCCAAATCCACAGTAAGCAAAAAAAATCTTTTATTTAAGAAAGTCAAACCAAACACTTGGATATAAACACATCCCAGAAGATTTGAATTCCAGATCCAGGTCAGTTTAGGCCCATCTCTTCTACTGCATTTATGCATCATTCATGGATTCACAGCACTGAAGTTAAGCGCACTGGAAGGGTTCAAGGGCCTGCTTACCATGTTGACCATGTTGTAGCAAGGGAACTAGATCCAGCAGTGTCACCAGTGTCACGTAAAGTCCTTGATAGTCCAAAGATGGGTAGTCTGATAACTGAGCATCACGACTTTGCTGGCCACGTTCAGATGGAGCATCTCGCAGGACGCTGTAAAGGAGGGAGCGAGTAACAGTAGGGTTGATGGAACTGACCTGTGGTCTTAGAGATGGGGTGAGTGGGAATGGCACAGGAAAAAGACACATGGTCATGGGCACTGTCAAATTGGAGGCATCTTGATTCTCCTTCTTCCCTGTGCGGGACAAAATGCTGTTGGGGGGACAAAGAAAAAAAAGAGACAACAAAGACACAAAGAACAGCACATTACATTGAAATGACACTATAAAACAAATAATAAAAGACCAGATACATCCCACATAAGATGCAATTGCTACCAAAACCATCAAGTCTAAAAGTCTAGCAACCATTCACTTTCATGCTTCAAGATAAGAGAATTAAAAATTGACATCTAGGAAATTTCATTGCATCTCATGTGTTATCTGGTTCATAAGGAGCAAAAATATAAAAATGCATGTTTCAGTGCCCTACCCATGTTTCACAGTTAAGAAAAATTCTGAGAATTACAAGTGTTTGCTATGGAAAAATAGCTGTGTCACAATAGGCTGGTATCTTACTCTGAGATTTTGAGAGATTTTTTTTTTCCCCCTATAATCTTTTGAACCAACTGACTGAAAACATGCAAAATATAGGTGTGGCACTTGCAGAAACATGTTTTAGCAAAGAATAAACATGTGTGTTTGTTAAGATAGTCTTAAAAATCACATGTTTATTGCATTAAAATAATGTCTGTATGTATTTTATGATACTGTTTCATGACCACTCACTCAGTATCATTTGAGATAATGAAGTTTAAACAGGCACATGGATTTAGAAATAATATAATATTTCTAAAATGTTAACTAAACTACATTTGGAAAAGTTGTAAAATAATATATAGTAGATGGTCTTTAGCATATGTTTGTGAGCTAATGATAATGGTTGTTTATGTGTGTTTTTAATTTTGCCCATGTTTAGGGAGGAAACATTTTACTTTATGAATACAAACACTCCTTGGGTAAATAGTTACCTTCAAAAATCTAAGGGCTAAGCAAGCAAGACCAATTACGTAACTGCAGATCAGACAGTATGTTACCATACATTCCTGCTGTTACTTACGTTATTATTCAACAAAAATCTCTATAAACTAAAGGAGAGATAATTTCAAAAAATAAAAAGGATTTAGTGGGAATCAAAATAGAGGCTATACGTCAATCAGCTTGTTATGTTGTTTTAAGAATGTTGTAAACATGTTAATCTAATTTATTCAAAAAAAAAAGACCCACTATTTTAAATAGAAATAAATTGTCATTTAAGCAGTGTTATATTTTAGTTATCAGACAATTAGAGGGTTACTTCATAATCTTCATATGTGCCTATAAAATATAATAAACCTTTTAAATATATTAAACCACACACAAAGCCTTTTTTTTTTTTTTAAGCACATTTTGCACTTCTCAGTGACAGCAGTTGCTGTTGGTTTAACTCTGTTCCCAAAGTCAGTGTTAAAACTTCTAAAAGACAAGTCAGTGGCATTAAAACTTCCACTGACTAATCAAGAGCAGAGTTATGCCAAGAGGGAGCACTTCTGGAAACCTCTGTCCTCTTTTAACAGTATAGAAATCCCTATTGTATAATCACCTTAGCAAAGATATATCTTACCTCACAAGGCAATTCACCAATTTACATGAGTAAGTTAAACTCTTGCTAAGGTGCTTATAAGAGAAGATGTCATTCATTTGCCATATATATATAAAACACTCTTACAAGCACAGTTCTATGCTAAAGGGCTACTATCATATCACACTTGCAGTCAGAGATAGCAGACATAGTCTGTTTTAAGAAACTACATACTTTTTTTTCCCTTTTTTTATTGTGCCTTACATATTTGGCAGATTATTTTGGTTTCTGTTACCCAATGTCCAGTATAAGAAATGCGGTGACTGTCATGACAGCATTTATGAAATCATATCAGAAAATCACCTAAGATCTAGTATGACTTTAAAAACAAATAATCAAGAGTGCTGATTCCTTTTAATTTGCTTGATGTTCATTTGCCACACTCTGCAGCTCATGTTTAGAGATATGAAGGTACTAAATTATATTCCTTCCCTGTCTACCAACAGATGATACCAACTAACTCATCCCTTTACTTGCCAACACATCACTTCAAGCACATTTATTTCCATAAAGGATATTACTGTATTAATTTTTCCTTGCTTTGGAATGTGTAGTGATGGAGAGCTTACTCTATTGGCTTCCCTTCCTTTTAACAGGGAGCTATGGCCCATCTATGGATTAGAGGCCAAAGCACACCATCTTGTATCTTGATCAGGGCATCCTTCTGTTCACTTCAGGAACAGCAATGAGACCATATCTAAATTCCAGCTGCAATCACACCAAATTTAGGAAAAATAAAAACAAACCAAAACCAAACTTTCAGACCCAGGCTTTTGCCTGAACCTTGTTTTAAAACTAATAAACAGAAGAGTCAACACTGAAAATCTAAGAAGTCCCCTAAGACCAAGATACAATGATTGCAGTTTGCTCCTGCTTCTGTTCAAACCAAGTACTGAGAACTCTGAGTGTCTGCTGATCATAACTCCACACTGAACATGCTCCATGACAAGTGACAAAGCTACCAGGGCTTTTTGTAAGATTCATAACATCTTTGCTGAAGATCTATCCCAAAAACCACTGCCTTCCAGGAAAGGTTTCCTGAAATGCCTGCAAAAGAACTGCATCTCACCTAGGCAGCAAAACAAGCTTGGCCATTAATTAGCCACTGGGCAATTACAGCTATTCCTTATGAAAAACATTTCACTTGGAGAAAATTCTCCGTATGTCTTTCTAAGAAAATGTGAAAGAATGAGCTGTTCTGCAGGATGTTTATTACGTCTTAGATCATTCCTCAAATGAGGGAGAAAACACTGAAAATGAGCAGGGCATGAAACAAATTCATGCTGTAATGTAAAGAAATGCTTTTGCCCAAAGAGAAAATTAAAGAACTAAATGAATCAATGTGCTATGCATTGTGTATGGTGATTTTATGTGATGTTTGTTCATAGAAATAAGGAATTTAATTTTTTCATCCATTCCACATCTGTTCCCCCCACCCCTGAACTTGTGATTTATTGAGGCTATGTACAGAGCAAAGGAGCAAATTAATCCCTTGTGCAATCCAACTATAGCTAGCAGAATGACACCACATATGAATGTGATCCAAAACAGTGGGCATGCCCCACTGAAAAGAACACAGTCAATGTGTCCATTACATGGAAAAGTAGAAAGTATAATAAACAGTAAAAGCTGCATCTGTAAAACCCAATCATCATATGAAATTTTCCAACTAATCACTATTCCTCCATTACTCCTATGACTATATATGTTCATCAAAAAATGTTTGTCCTAAAAAAATTCAGCTGCAAGGAGAGTACACATCAAACTGGGAAACGGTTTTTAAAGTTACTTTAAAACAGTAGATGATCACAAGCAACCTATTCTGAAGACCACACCTAAAATCTCCAGAAATCAATGGGCATTTTTGCCACTGTTTGATGAGTATTCTGTTAGCAGCCCAGTTTCATTGCATATGCTCTGTCTCAAGCTAGAAAGATTATTCTCTGCCAAGTACTTCTATCATTGATGTTAAACTTTGCACAATGGAGTCTCAGTGTAGGAGGCAGAAAGAAGACTCAGCATGCAGAATATTCAAAGAAATTTCTGAACACACTCTTCAGAAGGGTTCTTAACTAGTCAGTTTAGTTTTAGGGTAAATCTTGCAGAGATCTGCACACAGTGGGTGGGAGTTTCCTTCTTTCCATCTGCCACACTAAATACAGGGTGTGTTTTGTTTTGCTTTTTTATCCAGCTTCTTTCTTAGTATCAGAAAGTGTATAAACTTATACAGGTTCAACCATAGCATTCGGGCTTTGACCCACAGTTAAAATTATCCAGTTATGGGGATTTAGAATGTGGATTTGACCTTGCTGAATATCAGAACTCAGTCCACTTAAATTTACATCCAAACCCTGGCTTCAATTTCTGCTGCCCTTTTAGCTCTGAGGCTGCTCAGATCCCAGATCATGAAGGGCAAAGCCATTTGTGTAGACCTGTGTATCAGATACGAGTATCACTTCTGCCCCATGAGGTTCAGCATTATCAACAACAGGATTTTGGTTCAGTCCCATTCTGAACATAAAATAAAGAAATTGAGTTGCTCAATTGTGCAATTGCTGCCCTGATTTCTTATCTGTTCTCATAGTTGCTAAGTATAAAGCTTTTTCAGTAAGTCTAGAAACATCACTGCTCGTGAAGCGTGAAGAATTTGTCCCACAGGACGTCAGCTCTACTGCTTAGAAAGATGGAGACAACAGAGTGGTATAAAGCCACTTCCTTTAAGCAGCAGACTCTAAATCCATCCTGTCCCAATAAACTTCTGCCCCAAAAGAAACAAATCTCATTATAGCACTTGGTAGTTACAGCTAAGAACGAAAACATTCAGAATCAACTTTCTTGCTTTAACATCTTAAAGGGCCATAGCATTTAATCAAAGGTTGTTTCATCACACAGAACCTTACTTAAATGTGATTTAAGTCTGTGTGTTGTGCAAATAATCCATCAAAACAGCCTGATGTGGGAACAGAGCCACATTTCAGAGGTATCTTTAGTGACTCTTTGAACATTTTTTCCCTAACTGCTGCAATATAATTAGACAAAATTTTTAATTTCCTGATCTTAAAAAAAAAATCCCTACTGGTTCCCATAAGTTTCTTCAACACTCAAAATTATGAGGGAAACAAATTTCACAGTGGTTAAACAATTCTACTCTTGAAATTTTCAAAAGTAAACAGGAGGTTTTTAAGTTTGCAGTGAACAGGTTTTCCACTGATAGTAATTTCTGTCTACTCATCTTTCCTTCTTATGAACAAGGTCAAGAACTTTGACACATCCCATGCGCTTTAAATTAACCTTAGAACAAACTACTGTCATTCTTTCGAGTTTAATTTCTTGCTTCTCAACTTGTATATATCATATGGGTATGTGTACAAATATATACCTTAATTGTATTTTGTTAATGTTTCCTCATCAAATAAGGCAAATAGCTGTATTTTCAAAGTATCTTCTGACAGCAAGGACAGTCTTTCCAGGTATAAATCAGGAAACTATGCACAGAACTGCAGCTCTAACTGCATTTTTCTGGACGTGAAAACTAGTGCCAGCCAAAACCTGGGCAGACAAAAATAATCTCTTCACTGTCAAAAGCCATTTTAAAAACAATTTCAAAATACGAATCCACTAGGTAGCACCATGGAACGTATGCCATTCCTAACTCAGTCTCCCAATTTTTCCTATCTTTTTAACAAGACAAGAGGTAGTATTTCCTATTCAAAATGTACTCCATAATCATATGGTATTTAGTACTATATATTATTACTAAGTATTGCACTAAATCAACATCCCGGATCAGAATAGTCCTGACCCGTTGTTGCCATCCGAAGCCAGATGTGTATATAAACTTCATGTCTATTCATATTGTTATAAGGGACTGAACCAGAACCCGAACCTGACAGCCAGCTGAAGTATGGCACCGTAAGAACCTAGTTCTGCTCATCCAGCTTACTGCTCTAGGATCCTGAGGCACCAGGACTGTCAAGGAGGTCATGAGTACACACATCTAAAACTCTAAAGAGAGATCACAAACTCCTTTTCTTCACAATTTCAGCATATTTGTGCATTCAGCTGAGTGTTAGGAGGGCCAAGCAAATGTGTAATCAACCAAGTTTATTTTAGAATCAGCCACTCAATAAGCAGCTCAACTGGGCAAATTGGGCAACAGCCACTGAAGAAATTAATTCATACCATTCTTTTCTTAAATTATGCTCTGACTCTTTTTGGCTGAGCATTGACCCATTAAATCTTGCAAATAATTCAAAGTCAATCGATTCTTTAGCTCTTTTCTTCAAGAGCATTAGTTAAAACTTACCTCAATAACGTCTGAGAAAAGTATTTCAGAGTATTTGCAATGTCAGTTCCAGAGGGCACAGGGTAAATGTTGTGGAGAACCCGATTGTGATATTCCTGAAGGTAACGGATTTTGGAAGCAACTACATAAAAGACAAAAAACAAACACAGAAACTTTCATTTAGGTATTTTGCAGACTTTGACAAAATCACATCTGTTCCTACCATTTCTGGGTTTTGGGGTTTTTTTTAATTTAAGAATTTAACAGTAAAAAAACAGAAAAGTCCCTCCCTTCCTTCTATTTTTGCTGAACAAATTGAACACTCCAGTGCCAAGGAAAGCATGGAAGTGAATGCCTGCATCTGTTAGACAAACCTAGTGCTAGCAAATTTATAAAAAAAAAAACCACCCACCAGTAAAACAACAACAACAAAAAACCCTCTGCACTTCTTCCATGTCTCCAAGCATCTCAATACTGATTTATAATGAATGAGTCATTGGATCACAGGAGGTTCGTGTGAGATGGTTAAATATTTCTACAGCCAAAGCAGAGATATAAACTAAGACAGGGAAAGCTTATATGATTTACTTTAGGCCATACATTTACTTTATGCAATGAACTAAAGATATGAAGAGATCTGTGCTGCTTAAGTGTCTTAGGAAGTCTGATCAAGCAGTTGATGGGATTTCAAAGAGCAACAGATCTACACGTTTACTGAAACCATTTTTTTATTGTTTTACAAATAATAGTGGATTTCTTTTCTAATAGAGATCCTTGTTCAGTATTGGAAATAAGTGATTACTCACCATAACTGCAATGCTTTACATTGCCTGTATGGCCCAAGACAGTCTTATCAGTCACCTAAACTCCTGTTTGCTCTGCTCAGGCTAATCAACTCTGTTGAGGAAGAGTGCACTGGCTGTGGCAGAGAGCTGAACCAGCTCAACTGTGCTTCCAACTAGACTGCTCAGCACTTGTTCACATCATCACTCTGTGCAGGCACGGCCTCAGTGAAAGCAGAGCTGGCTGACTTAATCATGTTAGAAGTGCACCAAGACTGTGTAATAGGCAGTTAAAAGGGGAGATGCTTCTGAATGACTTCAGCCCTTGAGCATACGGATTATGACAGTCTTTCACTATACCAAGATATACCTTGTTCCCCTACAGGACTCCTTCAGCATGGAAGATAAAACATGCTCCCTAAATGAGCAATTAATATTTTGCTTTATTCTCACTGTCAAATAGCATTAAAGAATGAATACTATTAAGTCCTCCGCTGAACAGAAGAGCATTAACTTCATGCCTCTCACTGCTGCTATATCTGCATTTCGATTTTTTTCTGTATCATTGACAAGTTGAATGAGAAGAGGCAACACTGTATTCAAGTCTGAGGGACAGACACCAAGAGCAAAGTGTCTGCAACTGCTATTGGAGGCTCAGCTTGAGATACTGAGAGACATTTTGTGAGTATAGATGGGAGTATGTATTGGACTTTCACATCTAACAAACAAAAGCACCTGTGAGTGCTCAGTCATCCAGTGAATGAGGTTTGACAATTTCAAGTCACTTATCCATAAAATGACGAACACTCAAATAAACATCAAGGAAAGAATACGGTTTGCTTGAACTGTATGACAAGCAACGCAGTCTTCCAGCACCCAGTTGCCCTCATGATCATCATCCTTTCTCCCATTTCCAACACTACTGACCATACCCTCCCAATTTCAGCAGCAAGTGAAGCTTCTACAGACAAAAGTCTCCCTCACAATATTATCCTGCTTCATCACATGGAGAAAGCCCCTCATGTGACTGAAAAGGGCTGGGGTCTATGGTAAAGCAGCAAATAAAGATGCTATTAGTGACACTGTCATAATGCATATGTAAAAGTAATCAACTAAGGATGCATAAGCAACTTTAATTATATTTCTTCACTTTTAAGTGTTTTACTTTACAAATTTATTTTAAGGTGACATTAATGGATAATTAAAATCGATCACTACTTTCCCCCCCCCCAAAAAAAACTGAAAACATTAGTTGGGTCACATGGACTCAGATTGCCTCAGTATATGTAGAAGAAAAGCTGAGAACCTTTCAGGCCACCATGTAGGCCTGTGGTATGTGAACTGTGCTCTGCAGGAGGTTATTCCTGCCTCTGTGAGACAAGCCATAACTAGCCTCCTACACACACCCAAAAAACCCTGGAGGTTTCACTCCAGGTTACAGAACTTTATTGTAGCAGTCCAAGACATGTTTTCCCCTCCTCATCCCATACCTCACTCCTTCCCACTATCTCAGTTTTAGTTCCAGATTTGCAGGTCAGTTTGCCAGATTATTTAAGGATAGACACTTTCTTTTTTTAGCTGTTGTGAGGATCCCTATAAAAACTATTCTAGATTAGGTTAGATTGGGCAAGAAATCATTTCATAAGTGTATTTTGTGATGATGCTTTCTCTCACCAAGGAAAAAAAAAAAAAAAAAAAAAAAAAAACATTTCACAGTACCCAACAAGGAACAATTCACAGCAAGATGCACAGTTTACTGTGTCTGCCATGGTTTGCTGTCGGATATCTGCAAGTGAACTGGATAAACAAAATGCCAAAGATGATGTCAGAACTCAGGTTTAGATTTATTCTGAAGAACTGCCTGCCTCTTTACAGCTACTTATTTTCACTAAAGGGTATGAGGTATCTAGAATCACCTTTTTTTTTAATGAAGAAGGAAATCTATATATTCCTATTAATCAGCACTGTCACACAACTCTATCAAGCAAAACACCAAAACAGAAAATTTATTTATAAAGCCTAAATATCAACATTAGCTTTAGGCTGAAGGTTTTAACCTCACCTCTCAGTTCTGTTTTCTAGAGCACTGACAATTGGTTCCCAGACCACAGACCCCAGAACACAAAGAATCTTCTGGAAGGGTGCCCCAGAGCAAAACTTTGCCAGCTTTCAAGATACAAAAGTGTGTGAATGACCCAATTTTCTGAGTTTCTGAGCACCCAGAGATACACTTCAAAAAGTAGTATCACTCTGTGGAAGTACTTTGACATTGTCACAGGGTCATGACATAAACGAATTTTTCAAAAGAAATAAAAAGTTATTCCAGGATATTTTGCTGGGTATCTCTTCAGGATACACACAGACCTAACGACATTCCCCAACCCTCTTGTAAGCACTGACCGAATCAAGACTGAAACCATTAGGAGTCTTTAGAGAGGGTCTTGGTTGCTCCACTGTCTTGAAGAACAGAGTGCGCATCAAGCACTGCTAGGACATTACTTACCACATCTAAACACCAGTTACTGCTATTTAAGGTGAAGAACTAATTTTCTTTGAATACAATAAAACATTTCAGGCATGCCATGATGAGTCAAATGATGAAAGTCACCATCAATACCGCTGGTATGAGATAGGAGATGCAAGTGGTTACAAAAAAGGGAAGCTTCGAGACAATTTCCCAGATTGCCACCATTTTACCTCTTGTTCATACAACCTGCCAAAAAGCTGTGGCATGGCCACAGATTCATGTTTAGACCAGCGCCGCTTCTGTTCTGATCAGTCTGTTTCATCATTCATAGTATTTCACTGCTGTTCTTGGTAAACTGAGATTCATTACGACTTGTGACTTGACTCCTTCCTGAGACATTCTGGTTCTTGCCTGTCAGTCAACGAGGGCAGAAGCAACAACAGCAACAGCTGGGGTTTGAAGGTTTGCCTGGTAGTAATGTATGCACATCAATATTATTCTTGTTGGAGTCCATCAACATTTGTCACAAATTGCAGGAGAGAGAATCTTGAAGTTATGTAGAGACATAGACATTTTGTAATGCCATAATAGTCAGGGGAAACAGCCTCGGTAAACAAAATGCATTCAGTAGGTTAGAACACAGAGGTTATGTCTATTAACCCAATACTCTACCTGGAGCACCACGAAAAGGAATGTCATGAGGTGGAAAGTTCTGAAATCTGAGCCCCAACTAAATCTTAAAATAGAGAGCAACAGGGACATGCCAGGCCAAGATGCAGTGTCTTGAGCAGTACAAGGGGATAAAAAGAAAAAAAAGACAAGGATAAAATATGAAAGAGAAGCTCAAACAGAGCAGACCAAAACCACTTGGAATGGAAGAACAGAGAAGGCAGAATAGAAAAGGAAGAAAATGCCAAAGGCAATGTTGGGACAAAAGGCAGCAGAAATTCTTACACATGCCAGCATGAAAGAAGCATAATTAATGTATAAGTACCACAAGAAAGAAGAAACAATTACAGAACTCAAGTAGGGGGTGGGGAAAGCAGAAAGAACAGAACAGTACAGATCCAAACACCGCACACTTCAGGGCTGCTGCATGGTCAGAACATTGCGTCTCTATTTATGAGGCCAGAAGTGCATCCCTACAGCAATAAATTAGCATCCACAGAATATTTTAATAGCAACACTATTCATCACTCTTAATAAGCAGTAAGCCCTAAAGGAAGAAAATACAAGTATTCTTTTCCTTAGATCTGATAAGCACAGGCATATATAAATAAAAGGATCCTTCCCAGTGACCTGAAGGAAGGAGACAGCAAGTCTCAGCATGTGAGGTGCCAAATCACATCATGTAATCATGACAAACATCAATCCAAACTACTGGTCACAGACTGCCTGGCTCACAACAGTGACACTGTAGCAGAAGAGAAAATAGATTTAATATGGGCAACAAGCTCAACTACCCTGGTATTTTTTTTTAAGCCTCCCACCAGGGCTTTTGCAGATGTACCAGCTGGTAGCAGCAGTAACAGCAGAAGGGAACACTAGCATGGCCCTGCCACTGATGCCCCAACCGCCGTGTGTCATCCGATCTTGCTCCGATGGGATCTAACATGGTGGTTGAAACATCCATGGCTGTGAGGAGGCAGGCTAGGCACTGGGCAGGGGGATGTCGGCACTTGGGGGGCTCCTGCTGGGAGACTCGGAGCTGTGGCATGCAGCGTGTAGGCAAGACAGTAACACCCAGTTTACGTTCAACGGGCAAGAATGACAGCACACCTCCCTCCTCACTCCATCTCACTGCAAGACCACCCTCAAGATGGCAACACATGGGCCACCTCCAGCCTCCCGTCAGATCTCCAGTCCCTCCGGCAGCTACATCCTTCGGGACAGGGAGCTGCACCGGCAGACGAAGGAGGCTGGACCCTTCCCACCGTGGGTACAAGGGCCAAGACGTCGGTCTCAATCTTAAGTCTCATCCCTGATCCCTCCTTTTTCGCCCTCGGCCCCCGGCGCTGCCCTTGCACAAACACGGCCGGCCAGACGAGGCGAAGCGCGGGGCGGGCGGCGAGATGCGCCGAGGGCCGCCGCCGCCAAGCACCCGGCAGCGGCGGAGACAGAAAGAGCCAGAACGAAGGCAGCCCTCCCCCCCCGCCCCTTGCACTAGCTG